TATATAAAAAGTCATAAGAATGGAATCAAATTTATATTTAAAAAATATGTGTTTGTTGTACCAGTACATATTTGCAAGAAATCCAGAACTTTTTAAATGAAAAAAGATGGAAAAACGACCGTTATATAAAAATATATGTTGATTGAAAAAATAAATAAATAAATAAATCAGAATTTCCTTAAACGTGATGAGGGAGGAGGTGATAAACTAGTAATTTTTTTTATGGGGCCTAATAATTATTTAATTAAAGAAAAAAAATAGTGTAATTATTCATGAAATTACTAAAAATTTTCTCAACAAAAAATAGTTGTTCTTTCCACGTTATAAATCAGTACAATAAAACAACTACAAGGCAAGTGCATATCAATCACATTAAAAACAATGCACAAACTTTCTCAACCTGTTTACTGAGTTCACCAAGCAGAAACAACGCTTTTCTTCTGCAGACTAGCACCTGCAACGCACCTCAGTAGCAGGTGGGATAGCACACAATACCCATCCAAGCCCGCCTCTACCTCACTTACGATCAAACCCTGTCCCCTATAGTTTGTTACACGCTTCATTAGCTTGGCCACAGCACGAACAGAATGAGTTGAATAGGCAAAGTATACTGTTAGTACTGATGAGTTCTATACCTGTAGTTGGCCTACTGTTAATAAATTATACAGTATAATTACAGTATTTGCATTTCATCAGAGACCACAAATCTCACAGTAGGAAAATATAAAACTGTGACATGCAAGGAAATCATAACAATACAATACTCGAAATATAAAGAAGGAAACAGAGAAGCAATTGGGGGAAAATGAATCAAACTTTTTAACTCTGTATACAGTAAATATAATGTATAAAATTTATAAAAATAAAAACTAAAAGACTAAAAACTTTTTGTCCATCCACTTTCAATAATGCAAAAACTATAAAATATGATAATTATCAAATTTGATTTGAAAGAATAGGCAATTTGTCAGTTTATCCAGGTAAGTATTCACGAAGTAGACTTGATTTGTAATTGTTTTTAGGGACACTCATATTTGAGGAAAATTTTGTCTCTATCCGAAAGGTGTCCTTTTCTAGTGGTTCAACGTTATTTTAAATTGTTCAATTCTTTTCAACTTTTTATGTCCTATTTCAAATTACAATAGAAAATACACAGCATTATGGCAGATACATTAGTCTATAGTATATGAGGTTATTCATTTTACAAAATAAAAACATAAATTAAAAATCTTAAAATTTTGAAATTGAATCCAAATTATTTATTAAATATAGGCTTACAGTATCCATAATTACTAAAAAAATGTTGTAGAAAACATAAATAGGACTTAGTTGACTAATAGAAGATGAGTTCTACTTTCCTTGAAAAAAAATCCACAAATATGATAAATTGAGAGTTAATTACAAACACTGGTACCGTACGTTTGCGTAGGAAATCAGTTATATCTGGATATGGGTCATTTTGTAATGTCCTTCTTTCACTACTTACATGAAATGAACTATTTATTCATTGTTTTAATGTGCTGAACAGTATATGAACTTCGCTCAGTTCAGCTATTTATTCAACTTTATAAAATTCTGCGCTGGATAAAAATTGTAAAAAAAATCATTTTATTCAAAATGTTATCTTGCCAAGTACTGTACTTGATTTTGCACAGGCTCATGCAGATTTGATGACTGCAAGGCTTTAGGACATATGCTATCGGACTGCTTTGTGAGCACTCCATTCATGAACAAATTTGCTTGAAACTCCATATTCTATTACACTGTACAGAGCTGTTATGCGTTGCCAAATAAATTAGAGGGTCGCAAGAATTTTACATCATGATAAATTTTGCTGATAGCAACGAAAGTGTGTTTTAAGTACCTTAAACATTTTACTTCAATTTTGTTAACCTGTTAATGACCAATTTTTGAGTACTGTATCTGCTTTTTAACGTCCCAGTAAGTGGGTCACAGCAAATTGTCTGGACATCCGTTTGGGTCTTTAGCCAAAAATTTTGTGAACCGCTGCCCCATTACATTAAGCATTAAGGTGCCGCGCTCTTGCAGGCCACATCTGTCTTGTATATGAACAATCTACAGTAATGGAACGCATGTATAGATACAAATGCGGCCAAGTGCTGCATTAAAAAAAATAAAAGCAATAGCTAATCACACGATAGAGTTCAGGATATTTACAATTGTAACATGGATGAATGTAGGCTAAAAATTATGTCTACTCGTGGAGGGTCTACTGTACGTCCTTCTAGTATTGGTCTAAGATGGATAACAGCTAATCACTGGACAGAGAGCTCAGGATCTATATTTTCAACTTAATGTCTTGGATGATAATGTGGACTCGTCAAGATATTATGTTCCATGTGGGAATGCTACTCTAAGCAAGCACTTAAATCACTGAATGAGGTCAAGCGTTACAAATCACATCCAAAAAGACATTTCAGCATGTTTATATTTTATGCAGGTCCCACAAAATATCAATGTGGATGGACACGGAGAATTGCAATGTTACAGTAATACTTATACTCTTCAGTTGCTCTAATAAAAATCTAAAAACCAACACAACAACCGCTAAACAATACAATACATTTTCATTTTCACTGTTGTCTTAATCAACAGTGAACTAGGCCTGGTTCAAGTTTCCACAATACCTAATACATTTTTCTAGTTAATAAATGAACTACACTACATTTTAAATAAGGAAGCATTTTAAAATGCTATTTTCTCTATGTGTAGTAACATATGAACTGCAATATTCTGCATCCACACTCTCTTACAGTCAGCCATAAAAAAAATGAATGGATGAGGCCCAAGAGATGAGCTGGAGAAAGATGTGTTCTAAGCTATATTACACGATTCATTTCCTTAGTGAATGTGTTAAAAACTACCTATTTATGAATGATTTAAGGACATCCAACCTTTGAGTTGACTCCTTTATTGAAGATGACACATGCAAAGTCTGAAGCAAAAATACAATAATGTACAGTAGGCACATTACTGTTTGGTGCCCCAGCTCAAATTTGTATTTTACTAGGGAGGCACAAGACTTTAATTAAAATAATAAATTTACTAAATATTAAAAACATTAAGCATTAAGTTAAAAATGAACAAGAATTTGATTAAAATAATATAATTATCCAAGTTAAAATTATATTGGTTAAACATAATAAAACAAAAAACATATTTTTATTAATATCTATTATTGAATTTACTGAAGTATCATGTATTTTTAAAGTTTTAATGCAATTTTCTTCAGAGTACATTATATCCGTTTACATCATTTAATTGTTGTTGATTACTACATCTCAATTAATAACAGTTAAGCAATAGATCTATGTATAATTTGACAAATGCCAAATACGAATGTATTGAGTCTGTGATCATGAGTGAGGCAGCTTGGATAAACAGTAACAGCTTCTTTTGCTGCAGACGCTGCTACTCCTATCCTGACCGTGAACTCCGAATTGAACTCCCTCAGCAATCAAAGCTGGAATTAGATTCAAGAAAAAACCACTAAACACATTAATGATAGATGAAATGCATCTACTAACGTGTGTGTTATACTATTTCTTCTATCAGACTACCTCAATAAAAACAGCGATGTTATGTACAGGGCAAGATACGGACTGATTGGCCTGTGTTTTATAGGCTTGTTTAGAACTTGTTTAGAGAAAGGGAATTGCAAAGAAGAGATATCTGGTAATAAGTTGTCCAAGGGAGTTCTAATCAGTGAGCATAAATCAGATGTAAACAAGTATGCCGTTTATATGGCCATATTACACAATTGCACTCTTCATAGTCAGACAAAACCAGCATTATAAGAAATGAGCGATGTATTATACCCCAAGGTTTTGTAATCTTTGGAACATCGGCACCAAATAAACAAACAGTCTTTATACTTTCATTTTTAAGCCCGTCACTAGTCCAACATATATTTTCATCAAGAGAGAATTTAGTTTATGCGGGGGACATTGGGCAGAGGTCAAAGATAATATTTGTTGACATTGGTAATTGTGACAAGGTCAAGCTGTTTATAAACAATCCATTCACGATATTAATTTTATTTAACACAAACAAATAAAGACAGAGTAGTGGAAATATTTCATTTATTAAATCATTTGCAAGAGACTATCAGCATCATCATAATTAACCTTGGATGACCCCTGCAAGCACTCTCCAGTTGCCCTAGTCAAAAATATGAAAACTATTACTAAAAAAATTTATTCAGTAGTTTCTAAAAGTTTCATAAGAGATAATGCTTCAAGGCACAGGTAGGCAAAGTGCATCCCGACAGCAAACTTGCATTGTCATATTTTTATCTTACATTTTTTGGCTTGTTAAACTATATTTGATTGATATAAAAATTAGGAGAGTGGAGGTCTAGGTGGAATTTCAGTAAGACCGTAAATGACCTCCCGGACATACACACACTACACCACTATGAGGGTAGCATTGGCAGATCTACCAGCAAGCATCACTTTTGGTAGAGCATTAATCATTCACAATTCCAAACTGTCATACAGTACCATCCAATTTTAACTGAGTTCCTAAAATCCCTGCACATAAAACCAAACTTTACAATATGGCTCTCAAATAAGCATGCACCAAATAATTTTTTTTTGTATTAAATAAGCAAAATACTAAAATCTAGCATTACAAAATATATTCCATTATAATATGAATGAATGTTGGTGGGTGCGTATACAGTATTACCCAATATGTATATGGATAATTTGTTGCCAATACACAGCAGAGAATGGTGTCTCCAAGACGGAGCACAATTGCCTTCAGTCACTATATTTAAGTGTTATGTGAACATCATATCAACTTTAGTTGTCTCAAATTTTTAACACAGGAGGCACAATTAGACCCCTTCTTCCATAATATGTCCTAGTTTTCAACCAAAGAACAAGGTTTCACTTTACCGGTTCATCTCTTTAAATCAAACAGTATTTTTCTGAAACAGGAAGAGAAAATCATGAGCAAAATGAGAAATAACTTACTTCAAAAAATATCGCTGTCCCTGCGGCGTCTTCGCCATCTCCCATCCTTGGGGCAACGGCATATCATCTGTGGTTACGTCAATACTTTGTTCTCGTAAGTGCGTATGTTGATCTTGCGTACTGCGATCAATCTCTTGCATTTGTGCCGGTGATGAATGTGCTCTGTTATGTACAACATGAACACCAAATAACCTAGACGAATTGTCAGCACTTGATTCCCTTGAATGCAATGGCTTAATATCTGGTTCTTGGTAAAATGATTTGGGTAAATTACGCATGGTCCATGGAATATGTGGCTGTTTAACTTGATCGAGTTGACGAGGATTTAACGATTTATTGAATAAATCTTCCAAATCGACATCCGAATCACCCCGTACATGAACAATATGTTTTGGATCCATGTTGGTTAATTCAAGTTGACCAACCCCTGATGGTGGTGCTTACGCTGATGACGTCTTGCTGATGACAGCCGCTAAGCCTGGCCTAGCACTAAAAAATATAAATCGCCCGTTTTATTACACAATTGAAAGCGTTACCTGTGTATTTCACAAATCGGTAGTCTTAATTTACATTCAAACAATAAAACCTCGCAATGAAATGCATGAATCAATCCTGAATTTTACTGGAAACGATGTTTGAAACCGCCGATGACTTTGCGTCGCGATACCGTACGTCTCTGGCTACCTCTCACTACACCAATGGTACTCTCTGCTCTGTGTTGTGTGGAAGGTACTTCGATAAGCTACCAACATACCTTTGCCACCAAATTTGGGTCAACGACCTAATGATTTTGTGCACTTCCGCACTCCAATTGCACACAAAAGAAAATAGTTCGACAATTATTGTCTTTTAAACAAAGAATACAGTATACTATCTCTATTTTTCACAATAATATATGCTAATGATATTTAGTAGAACAAATTAAAAGGCAGATAAGTGTTTATACGCCGCGTAAGAATCAGTGGGAACATAAGCGGATGAAGATACAGAGAGTTATTCGACTCCACTTGGTTGTACAGTAAGCCTGCGTACACAGAGAGGGCAAGACAAAAATGACGAAACGACGTGGGGGTTCTTGCATTGCACTTTTCTGGCCAAAGTTTACTTTTCTATCTTGACGTCACGTTACAACCTGGTTTAACAAGGTTCTTTTCGAAACAAGGGTGGGGCCAGTCTCCTCACGATATCTCCTCACGACGCTGACCACCAAAAGCCTGTTCTGGTTTCGATTATAAATATTAATCATAATTTCGCTCTTAAGCATCTTTATGTTCAACCATTTTAATATTCTTCAAGAAGAATTTGATTCGGTTTTTATTTAACTTTCCACATGGGATAAAAAAAATTAGCATTGTCCAATGTTTATTTTTTTTTTCTCTCGATGGTTTATTACATTCAAAGTAAGCCCCTGGCAGAGATGGTCCCGATCTGCGCCATGGTAACCATGGATGCAGCTATTTATAAATGATATAATCACATTTTGTAGGCCTACAAAATATTTGTAAATGTTACGATATGAGCTAACAACCGTGGGAAAATATATCCGCTCTCCCCTCTAGTGTCCCTTTGTATATTTTCGTTGAGTTGGTCTGCTTTTAACAGTATTGAATCTCTTTCACAAATTATATTATGTTTATCTAGGCAAAGTAAATTTTTAAAAATATAGAGAAAAAATTATATTCAAATCTTGTCTGGCTGAGAGTGCCATTTCCGGTCATAGAGGTGCCATAGGCCTAGTCATAAATGTTCTACCTCAGCCCAACCGTGGTTGGTATAGGCTCTCCTTAGTGTGAAAGTCCCTCCCCTAAGCCCCCTCTCTTCCTGGATTCGCCACTAATATAGAATGGTCATGAAAGGGGTGGATTCAAATATCCGCCTATATACCCAACTGTATAATGAGCGCCAATATATATTTTTACTGGGTTTTTATCGAACCTTTCTTTTTCCTCATGCTTATATTTTGTTTAATCCCGATTTCAGCAAAGCCGTTGATCATTGTTATCATTCATTATTATCTCATCACAAATATACCGCCCTGGGCCCCTTTTTTTTTTTTGTGTAAACTTTGGTTGGGTTTCTTTTCGGGGCTACTTTTGCAATCATGGTGTATCATGGAGTGTATTAACCGGCATTATATCACCTAACTGTATAATCCAAGCATGTTTTTAATTTATTTTGTTTATTTGAAATTCATGTACAGTGTATGATTGTACCAGGGAGTTGTTATTATAACAAGTCCCTGATTGTACTATCTCGAAAAGAAGCCCATAGTGCTATCTTGAAAAGAATCTTTTCGAGGCTATTTTTGCAAGAGGAGGTTCTATTCGAGATGGGCTTCTTCTCGAGATTAAGCCAATTGTGCTTCTATTCGAGGTTTTACGGTATTGACACGGCTGAGTATGACAATTTTCTCGTGTTCTATGAAGAACCAGGGCATCAAATCCAACAATATCATAAACGAATATCGTGGCATTTTCCTTAACTTTCAGAATAATAAAAAATAATAAATCGCTGGCGGTGTTCTATCTTGATTAATGTCGATAAGCGTGTAAAAAGCGGACGATGATATTAACCAATCAGAACCCTTAAAATGTATAAATCGGTCTATTAATTAGGCCCTCAATCTCGATATACAATTTTAATAAAAGACTTAGATTCTATAAATAGAAAACGTACCGACTTTATTTAGTTCTAATATTAGGCCTATGATCGGTGAACAAATAATTACCACTACACCTCCTCCTGATGTTACATCAATAACACAAAAAAACAAAATCAATCTCAGAGCCTTTCCTCCATGTTCAGACGCGGCATGCATTGAATTTGAAAGTGTAACAATTACTATCAGTGTTATCAGCCACCCCACCCCCGCCCGATATTTTAGGTTTGATCCATCCAAAAACCCTGGGTCCGCAGCGCTTGTATTCATACTTATCACCTCGCCTTTTACTAATACTGTGATGAAACTCGTCTGTAGCCCACGGGTCCATCGTGATACAACTTCAGAAGGTTCCATGTGTTAATTTCATAGTTTTCAGCATAATCAATTCATCATCATTAATCACCCATCATGAACAACATCATCAGAGGAGGTATCTTGGGCCCCAGCACTTTCCCGTCATTCGAACCATGGTCGGACAAGCCAATTGAGTTCACCGGGTTATTGTGGTTGCAGTTGCAAAAAAGTACGGTACATTTTTACGTACCACTTGACCCCTCCAGGGGTTTACTTCAATCGATATTGGATCCTATCAGAGGCAGAGAATTTGCTTGGAACTTGTTGTTGGATCCCTGGCAGCAAATTTCTGGGGCCTTCACTGGGGTGGCGCCATGATTTGCCCGACGGGGGTAGGGGGCGATGTCCCCGACGAGAGCCAAGTGGACGTCGCTCAAAACATTTCAAAAGTCCAGGGACGAAAAATATGATAATTTAAAGGTTTCTAAAGCTTCTTAATAGATAGGGGCTAGGGTGGGGGAGATCTCTCCAACGAGGACCCTGGCCCCGCCCCCTAGAGTCACCCTCGGCCAACACTGATTATCATCATCATTTAATGTTAAACATCGTCGTCATCATCATCGCTGTTCGTCATGCTCATCACCTGTCACATAAACATCATTATCTAATTATTATTGTCGTCGTCACAAACATTATCATTACCCAGGCCCGTATCCAGTGGTGGGGGGTTTATGGTTCGGGAGAACTCCCTTTTCTAGCAAACCCCCCTCTTTTCTGGCAAACCCCCCTCTTCAAATTTCCCAAATAAGTCCTCCAACCCAACTAATGCACTGCAGACCCACCCAAACAAAGACCTTTTCAAACATATCTGCTTTCATAGCATTATTTAGACCCATAAAGCACAAAAATCCCCTTGCCTTGGGGGTTTCGCCGACCCCACCGGGGCTTCAACCGTGGACCTCACGCCCAGAAAACCCCCACTTGAAAGAACCTGGCTACGGGCCTGTCACCCTCATTATCATCGTCATCATCACTACTATCATCACTGTCGTCATCATCATCGTTGCCGTCATCATATTAATAGCTGTCGTTATCGTCTTCATCATCATCATCATCAGAATAAATTATCATGATCATCTTTGTTATCGTCATCATCGTCATACAAGATACAATTATACAAGATAGCTTTATTTTCAAATTTAAAATTATTTTTATCATAAATTATTATTATTCATAATCATAATCATTATCATCATCATCATCATAAGTAACGATCTACACAATTTGATGGACAGTTGGAGGAGTAACAAACCAATGGATGACAGCTCATCGAAATTAATATATCCGCTGTACAGCTATTAACCTGATCATTGAGGAAATAATCGTGCATATGAACAACTTCCGTCGTCTGCCTGAACCGCATCTATCCATCTATCAATCCTGAGCATAAGCTCACGTGACATCCTTCTGATACGTCATGATTTTTATTTCATTTTCTTACTCAGTGTTGCCTAGTAACATCAGCTAATGTAATTTATATGGTTTATTTTATGATTTCTTATATAGTTCTCTTGCAATACTATAGTTTGCTGGAAAAACTTGTCGGGATTTGACCAAATATGGTGATTGTTGCAGGAGCGATACTATTTCAGATCTGTCGGTATCACCAATAGAGGGGGTAATTCGATATTGGGGATGGGGTCTTGAGAATTTGTTTCCACATAATCTTCGAGAGGTCGAATATAGTACCGTATATGCAAGGAGTTAAATACTAATCCGTTACGACCTCAGTGAATGAACAGTGGTATTAATCAAAAGAAGATGCAACTAAAAAAACGATGAAGATACATCACATGACTCACGACGCATCAAATATAAAGAGAAGGACATTATGTCCCTCATTATATCGGTCCCTTTGATATATTGCGACAGCTCTTAATTTGCCCGAATGACAAAACAATGGTGGTGGGTGTCTGGTGATACCATATATAGATAAAACAGGGTTACGATCAATAAGTTATGAACATTGGAGGATTTATCATGAATAGTCGACATGGGATTGTCACTGGTCCAGCTCACGGATAGAACCAACATAATGGGTCTCAAAACAATGCCATACAAGAGACCTTCGGTCGAGATTGTAAGAGGTCCAAGGCCAAAACCCAGTTCACTGACCGCAACTCGATTCAGTAATTGATATATCAGTATGCCTAAAACCATGGCTACTACCAACTAGGATTTAAGGATTTATACTTTATGCATAAGGAGCGTGGTAGAAACCTTCACTTCACCACAGGGATGTGCTATAAAACATTGGTTTTTGGGATTGTTTTAATGGACAATATTAGTAGGGTTTTGGAAGGTGTGCATGGTGGTGGGTTTTTTTTTTCATTGACACGTCCACTCTTCTTGAAATCATGGTTATGAAGTAGCAATTTAAATACAAAAAAGAACATTACAAATGCAAGAAAAAAAAAACAGAATAGAAAACTGAAAGAAATAATAATAATAATAATAATAATAATAATAATAATAATAATAATAATAATAATAATAATAATAATAATAATAATAATAATAAATAGAATATATAATGCCTAAATTGCTAACAAAAATTCTCGATGAGCCACAATTATTAAATTTTTTTGAAATACTACAGTATTAATATGGTACATCGTATAGAATAAATATAAAGCTTTCAACAACAAATCTGGAGAGAATATAATTTAGGTCTATGTAATTTAGTTAGGCTTATGCAGTAAGCGAAGAGACAATTGATAGTGATGAAATCGATTTTAAACTCGATGAATGAACAAAAAAAAAACGATACAAAATAAAATGTGCAGATACAGTATCGCATTCATATATTTTCTAGCTGCGCAAAATAATAACAGCTATGGTAGCACCGGCCTACCTCCCTGGTACAGACTATTATTTATTATTACACAAGCTTTCACAACCAGCACTGGTATATGCTGGCTTCATCACACGTGACACTTTCGATCCTCAACCTTCAATGCAGTCACACATATCATGAACAGTAACACCCCTACACCACACTGAACAAACCTCCGTTATTGTCAGCTATATTCAAAGTGATTTGTGACGCATCGATGATGTCATAAACAGATGAAAGGCGGAAAGAAAAAAAACCGGAACTCGACTTTTAAGTTTTAGTGCCGGCCCATTGTCTATAATTGCAATTGTTGCCGGTTTTGATTGTTAAACGTTTATTCTTCATATTTCTTGAATTATATTGTTAAGGATCTGTGTATGGTTGTGATTGTTGCTAAATAGTGAAAACTCAATTAAAATGTTAGAAAGTTATTAACAGTCACAGATCGGAGGGAGATCAGATTCATTTTCAACGCCTTTGGAATAATTTTACTGAAGACTGACTAACTAAATGTATACATTTTAAAAGGGAATATATATTAAAAATACTTAATAACGTTTTAATTACCTGTAGACCCCTAATGAACATGACGTGGGAGAATTTCTGCAATAGCAATTATGAACACAAACTTTTATATGTTCTTGGGGGGGGGGGGAATTCAATTTGTCTAAGTAGTGATGTTTTAATGAGTTTTCACATGTTTTGTTAATTCCATCTTACACGATTATGGCAAAAACGAAAGGAATAGAAAAGCTTACAATTTAAAATTTGATGTTTGTGGCCTTGTTAGCGGCGGTGTATCCAACTTTTCCCATTTTGTTATTTACTTTGTGATTTGTATGGTTTTCTTCATACTTGTGTATCTTAGTTTTTGTATATGTGTTGATATTATGCTTATAAGTATACTGTATCCGTAAATTATCATCCTACTAGTCAATTTTAAAAGGGATCGATCGTAGCTATGAAGAAATAGAGGAATAGTAGGGAGCCTATCAGTGGTTGTTATTGATTGGCCAGGAAAGTATTCTATCGTTTAAATATAAGCTGTCTCTTATACACATCTAGATGTGTATAAGAGACAGTTTCCGTAGTATTTATCTATATTTCCGTACGTCCGTAATTGGGCCGAATTTCTGCATTTAAACTACGGACGTTCCGTAGTACTTGAGAACCCTGCACTTTCGATTCCACTCAGTGTATTATGACTTTGCGGTGAATTTCAATGACGTCATCTTTGTCTCAGCGTATCAACGTCCCAGTGTATCAGCGTCTCAGTGTATCAGCGTCTCAGTGTATCAGCGTTTATAAGACAACGCCCTATTCCTGAGTTGTCATCTATTGACTTTAACGTCGATGACATTATTACGGATTGTGAGTAGGAATGCTTATTACGTAATAAGAATCCATGAATCAATATACATTAATTTTAGAATAACCCATAACTCACAGCGTCATTGCGCTAAAGTGTCAGTCTATCATCACCGTTAACATTATTTCGTTAACATGATGTCATGATCACCAATCGACATTATCACCTTCGTCCCAGCAGTATCATCATCCTCATAATCAGCGTCCACGTCATTGTCAATAACAAAAAACAAAAAAAAATATACAAGACGAACCATCAGTGGCGTCTATAGGAGTCTTGAAATGGTGGTTGGGGTGGGCGGAGGTGATGGGATGGACGCAAAGTTGAATTGGAAATGATTAAGTTAGGGGGCGCTAGGTGATTTTTTTTTGCTTTGGAATATTTTCAATCAGGGGAGTGGGAGGGAGGGAGGAGGGGCGACGCAAGCTCTTTTTGGCGGTGGGGCATGCGCATTGTAAAGTAGAATTCCATATTTGTATTGCTTGCTTGTTATAATGAAGTTATTTGATATCTATGGACCTTCCCAGAGTGTCAATCGAACTTAACAACTGTCCAATCAGAACAGAACTTGGAATAGTCCTGTGTTTGCGCATGTTTTTACACTGCTGTTTTGTAGGACCTTAGGAACAATATCCAAGAGGCGGGGACGACTTATGTTGCATTGCCTTTTTGTACGGTGTCTGTAAGGGTATGTTCACGCACACACCCCACACACGACGTAAGGCTGGCGTAGCCCTTTAAACTAGGCAGTGGCGTTACTTACGCCACTCACAACGCCACCTGCGTGGCGTTATTAACGCTTCTTTCAGACCCAAAGATAAGTTAACGTCACGGATCTAACGCCAGTGATGCTTGAATGATTTCACCTCATTTCAAGAGATAGACCAATCACGATTGCAATAGATTAGTTACTTTGATCCCTTTCCATTTAATTACAGTAATGGTAAAGGGGTTCTTTTTCTATTACATTTCCTTACCATTTATAAATGGTAAAGGGTTTCTTTTTCTATTGCATTTTACTTAGTTTACAATGTATATGATTTGTTGATTGTGTTTTGTAAGATATTTTAACCTATTTAGACTCTATTAAATTCTGCAACACCAACAATTGTTCCACAATGCTAGCTGATAAAAATCAGAAGTAAAATTGTTCATTTAAAATACAGGAATCATATAAGTTCACTTCCAACAATTCAGATTTAAAAGTTTTAATGATGCACTGTAAATATTTTACCACAGTTAAGAACCCGTACATTATTTAAAACTGAAAACTATTCCCCCATAGGCCTATACGCCGGCGTAAGCTACGCTAGTCTTTACGCCGTGTGTGTCAACATACCCTAAATCAATATCAAAACTGTTTCGATTAGATTTCCCATCGAAGTTGGAAACGTATTAAAACAGCCATTCAAATACTCATGCTTCTTTTTCAGATTTTCCCACAGACCATATAGCTTAAACAATGTTATAATATATTTTTATACTACTGTTAATACTGTACCTATGTCTGAGGGAAAAACTGTCCACAGCAATTAAGTTTGCTTTTTGTTTATTCTACAACCGACAAGAGTACTATTGTCTTGTCCATTCTGTATTTTTGTCTTTGTATATACTTTGTTTTAGAGTTTCTTGGTGAAATAAATGAAAACACAAAAAAAAACCAACCCATTTCTTTCATCATTTGAACATGTTTATTGACACGCGTTCCTATGTCACAGTGACTATCAAAATGGGTACCTATTATCATTCTTAGCTGATCATTGAAACAACCCTAACAATCTGATTACATTATTACTGAAACTATTTAAACTTAGTCCACATTTTACAATCCTGGATTTGACCAAATCAGTTGTTTCAATTTCTTGGTCGCCCAAAGCCAAACGTTTACGAGCAATACAATTGTTTAGGCCAATAAAGTTTGATACAAAATTTTGAAATCAATGGAGAAGAAGGAAAGGATTTGGAAGGTAAGGAGAGTAGTGACATTGCAGAGCATATTCAACACAATCTCTTACCCTGTATTAAATTAAATTAATTGTATGGTAAAATATTTGAAAAAGGAGCACTGCTGATGTTTTAAAATCTGTTATTACAATAGAAAAAAATGTTCAGACAAAAGAGAGGATAATATTCTCATGTCCTCTCAATACACCCCAAAACAAATCATGTATTAATTTCAAGAAATTAACCATTAAATACAAAAACACCATATAATCATTTTAAACAGCATTGGCCTATCACAGAATCGTGGAATCTGAATACTGTATTCTATAGAATTACAAACCATTTTACTGTATTATATAAAACATATACAGTATACAGTATATGTCAAATCAACAAATCAATCAGAGATTGTAGTGTGGGATATTTCTCAAAATATACTTACATTAGTTGAAAGATCTTATGTAATATATAAAGTACAGTATATAGAAATGTAGTCATTAAGTACATATTGTTGATATATTACTTATTAATAAGCATTTACCATAAAATGAAATTATACTTTCAAATTATTATTGTAATATTTGTCCTATATAATGCTAATATTTTGTGAGGGATGTTGTGGCAAAATAGCTAAGTTGTAGCAAAAATTGAAATTCATGTTATTTGTATTTTCAGATACCTGAGTATGTGATCTTTAAAATGAGGGGTCATTCAATGAAATTGGACATTTCAAGCCTAATTGTTGGTACAGTGGCTTTCAAAGCATACATTGTTCAATAGAATGAACTATCAAAATAACGTTAAATAAACTTCTTGTTGACCACTTCCAGTTGGTACATGATTTATAAGACATCAAACTGTTGATCTATAGTGAAAAACAAATTTGGATTTTTAGGCAATTTTTTGAGCTCCCATATTTTATAGCTCATTTACTCAATACTGGCCTGTGCAACAACTTAACCACTTCACCACTACATGCCTCATATAAACACTTGACCTACTTATCATAAAAGATACCTGACAGAATAATTATATTTAATTTTGTACTATAGAGTATGTATTCTTATTAGGTCTATATACCAATATCATTGAAAAGTACAGTATTCGGATTGTAATGTTAAATAAAATATGTTAAATAAAAACTTAATATATTCATTTATCGGTTATTAATATTATAATTTTGTTACTAACTATTGTTATTCCAAATGTAATAACAATGCCAAACACCCATCACATGTTGTTATTATATTCTGAGTAAAAGTATGCAATTATATTGTTAAGCTGCTGGATCAAAATCGGTAAGAGAGTGGTTACTTAAGACCTGCCCAGACTATCAAATCTTATTGGACAAAAAACATGTGACATGCCCAAATATGGTCATGATGACATCACATCATGACCATATACAGGCATGCAACAGTTTTTTTGTCAAAGTAAATTTGATAATCTTGACAGGGTTAAGTTTTGTGCCCTGCCTCTTTATTGAATAATCAGTGAACCAAGCATTTTAAAGTATTAAGATAGGAACGAACCAAGCATTTTAAAGTATTAAGATAGGCACATTGCTCACAAACCACATTTTTTCAGATATATTACTTAATGTACTTCTCTAACTAGAGAGCGAGTTGAAAGCAAGCAAAATATATACAATAAATTAAGACTACAAACAATTGTGGAATTGTGGGTAATTTCTGAGTGCAAGTGTGGGTAACTTACAGGGTCTAGGTTAAAGGTCAACATTCACACAATGCTTCAAGCAATCTGATAGCATTAATTAATAACTAATTAAATAAAAAAAACAAGTCAAAGAAAACATTTTTTTTTTATAAAAAACAAAGATATAATTTTAAAGGAAATATTCACATAATTTATTTATGTATGATATTATATTTCCATTAAAATAATAATAATAATAATAATAATAATAGAAACAGGTTAGATAGCAGTTAGAACACATAAACACTCAAATAAAATTTCCTAACAAATCAAACATACTGTGACAACACAATCCCACAGGGAACACAAATCAAGGCAAGCGAGATGGGTCCTTTTCAATGACAACCCAATCTGTTACCAGCGACAACTAGCAGATGGATATACATCAAGTGCTCACAGAGCCGAAATAGATTTATTGAGTAACGATCAGCCGACTTAGTGCATGCCCGCTTAAGTGTGGGAATTGCTAAAATTGTTGAATCAAAACTTCATGTTTTCTTATTACACAGTGATTGTATGTATCTCACTAATTTCCCCACAGAAATAATAAAAAAGCAACATGATAAAGAAAAAACATACATAGGAACTTGTAATTGGACTGTTACAGCCACATGTGAGAAAACAATATGATACATTAATTAATAGGGTGAAATAACAGAGTGCAGCATTATAGAGCCCAAGAAAATGCAACCTACTTTTTTTAATTCACATCGTTATAATGTATACTGTATATTCTTCCAAACTTTGAGATTTTTAATTTAGTACCATGAATTCTGCCCAAAAATATTGCTTTTAACAAACCAATCAACCGTTGAATTGCAATTAGATAATTAAAAATAAATATCATTGACAATATAATTCCTTAGTTATCATTATATTTACAACTTACCATATTAAATATTCCTATTTAATTCAACCCGATAGCACATATACATACATGTGTTTTTAGCAGGGATCCAAAATTTTGAGAAGTGACTTCCGGGAGATACGACTTAATGAGCGATTTAGCACATCCAATAAGCTATTTCGTAGTCTGAACTGCGCCAATCGTATCCAAGATTAATTAACATAAACCTATGTTGTGTGTATGTGGTTTATGTTTGTTTATGTCAATTGACATTGATATGGGCAATGTGCAGTTCAAACTACAAATTGATTATTGTTTTGCTACCAGTTGTTTTACCCATGACCAGCTGACTTTCAGGTCACGTTAACTTTCGGGATATTATTAGACTTGATTGCGGGAGTGGGAGAGACTATGCCAATTTACGGGAGATTCTCGCAGGAAACTTGAGACCTTTTTAACCGTGCCGATATATTTTGATTAACATATGTGTCAAAGACAAGCCAAATCAGTCACTCGTTGCAAATCATGTTTTAGAGAATCTATTTTGTTGCACCCTGCACTAAACTAACCTTTATATTTCTATGATACATCATGGTATGCTCTTATTTTCCCCATTTTCAATGTTAAAACAACACTTTTTAAGGATTTGATGATAGTTTCTGCATATGAGAAATGCCCGACTTTGAAGGCTAATTTCTCATATACAGTATTGTTCTTTAAACAGCTGTATGTTTAAGAGCTTTAACTTCATCAGGAAATGTCAGATTTGAATGATTTTTGTAACATTTTATAGCTCTTATTTTACTCTTTAACGCTGTGTTAATAACTCAAAATTGATATTTGCATCAAGTGACTGGTTTGGCTTGTCTTTGGCACATATTTTATTTGATACAAATTTACACCCCATTTTGAAGTGGTCATCATTTTAAAAAAAATTACACCCAGTTTTAGTAGCTATCTCATGAGCTTAGGATGATTACGTTTTCGATAACCATAGAAGGTTTTGAAGTAGTTAAGGTCATTGACGGCTACTGTATTCCAATGACTTGATGAACAACAGATCACATCCTACAGACAGCTAGGAAACATCTTAGTATTCTGAACTCATCTCATCCATTGCAACTATATTTTAACAATCTCCATCACCAGAAGAGGATACTCAAAGAAGATAAGTTATTCTTATCTAGTATTAGAAGATACTATAGTCTATAGTACCTCCTTACAATGATCTATTACTATATACAATTAATTACATTTAAGAGAAAGCAATTGAAGCTGTTATAATTGTCCTTATTCCTGATTAAAAGTGATTCATTTTTTAACAAATATTGATACAAATTATGAAAAAATTCATTGTCATCAACAATCAGCAAGGAACTCTGTTTTCCTCAGAAACAAAAATTAAACAACATTCAGTTCAATTTATTTAAAAGCAAAAACGATATTCTTATGCATAGATGATTCTGTTATGTATGAATGAGTTTCATATGTATGAATGAGTTTCAAATAAATTAACATGAAATAAATATCATTTTTGATTAATTTTAAATGGTTTAGTTATCAGATTTACAACATTTTTGTTTCAATCCATTTTTTAAAAGTAACCTCTTTTGAAATTCCACTTTAAGTCACTGATATAATACACAACTCAGATTTACATTAAAAACCCTTCACAAGAAAATTTTTATGACTTGTACTACAATAAAATAAAACATCCTGGTGGATCCGATGTAACCAATTGTTGTTGACATGAATAATATACAAACAGGTTTGGATCCACTGCAGGTAAATAATCAGTAATAAAACAAGGTTTTGAGACTCAACAGTATTTGTTCGCACGTTGAACTGCTACCTTACAACCAGCTCGATGATGAAGGACCAATGGTTGCATTTTTTATCATCTTTGGTGTGTGCGGTGGTCGTGTACGTACCGGAGACATAACCTTAAAGATATACACAAAAAAAATTGGTAATAAAATACATTTTTTAATTTACTTAGGATAGAAAATTGTGCATGCAAAAAAAAATATCCCCAGATCATTTTTTCTCCCAGGTAAAATTACAAGTTTTTAAAAAGTTACTTGTGCCCTTGGACAAACAATGATTTTTATTTTTAGTGTCTCTTTCCACCTAGGATGATAAATGATGAATGTTTGGAATAAAAAATTGTAGTGCCGGATTAGGATTCGGCCTTGAGTATACGTACCCGTGAGAGAGTTGCAACACTGGCTAGTCTTTTACCCGTTCTTGATCGCGGCGTACCAATCATTGACGTCACCTGCTCATTCAGCATGGGACTGGCATTTGACAGAGTTGACATCGCACGCTGTAACCGGAGTTGTGGAGTCCCTTTCCATGAGAATGTCCTGCCAACTTTCCTAGTTGCTTTCTTTGCTTTTCTATTGAAAAATACAGAATTTCAATTAAAAATAATGTATATCTGAAACAGAGGTGTAGCTTGGTTTTAAAGTTGTTCACACTCCAATGCCAGAGTCCTAGGTTCAAAAAATTAAAAAATTACAACTCATATCCTGTCTGTGTCTCATAATAGTTTGTAAAGTATCACATATTTCATATTCTGTAATTGGCATTTATATTGCACTTGAATGTGAAGAAAAGAAAGTAGGGAAGAGAAGAGGATTGGCAGGGGCAAGAGATGACATTCTCCCAGAAATGTGCTCCTAAATACATCAATGAGAGCAGGGACAACTAACAATTATCAACAATTAAAAAAAAATCATATTCCTAATATTTTTATTGGAGCAGGATATTGAATTATTTGAGTACAATTGTACATTATGTACAGTGATTAAATGTTCAACATACCTCATAGCTTTTCCAAGTTTACTATTTTCAAAATCACTCTTGCTGAGTTCAAGCTCCTCTGGTTCAATTTGAAGCAAGAAATGAGCCTTTTGAAAAGAAAATTGAAATTTAGTAAAGTCATCAGACAATGAAAATGTATGAGAACATTGAAATACAGAGATAAAATATATGTAAATACAAAGATACAGTGTCACTGTTTATAGTGCAACACTGTGTCAATAAATATTATACAATAATATGCTGTGTCAAATGAATTGAAAAATATGTCAATGATTATTGTACAATACTGTATTAATAACTATGGTTCAAAGATATATTGTGTCAATAAACATTTTTCAAAATTGACTAGTGTCAATATAATGGTGCAATAACATGGTAAAAAATATATACTGTGTAAATAACCATAAATATATAGATAAAGACATAAAAAAATGTTTGATGAAGATCTAAGACACAGATTTTTGAAAAAAATATTGGAGGGGGGGGGGGGGGGGGGGAAACAGATGAAAAAAGGGTGGTTACACCCTTTTCCCCCATGTTATTTTCTTAATTCAAAAATCTGTATCTCATTAGCCATTCCCAATTTTTCAATCAAACACCCTTTTTGTGTTTTAGAAAAATCAGTTGCACAAAATATAAATTTTTGTTTTATAGTATAAAGTGTTAATAAGTAAAGATATGTAGTGTCATGTTAATAAAAACAAACCAATACAGTATTTTCATTAAGATTGGTGGTGCAATAAACCATGAGTTTAAGTGTATGCTTATCTGTGACTTACTGAATCAGCTTTACAAGTGATATTTGCCATGTGTTGGCAGAGTGTTTTCAGCCACTGTGTTTTACTCTTCTCATCACCAATTAACGTAAACATAAATAGCCTGTCTGTCCTGTCAGATATCTCCATCGGTGGCTTGCATAACAATGCAAAAGCATTCTTACAATCTGCATAAAAACCACATTTAAAGTTAGTAAAGATATTGCAATGTGTTAGTGGTTCTGATTTGAACTATCAAACTTACGGTTATCTATTATTTAGTATTTATATAGTGCCTATTACTTTAGGCTACAAAGTGTGTTGTTTTCAATGGTTATTGGGTCCACATGCTTAAGTGTTGCTGTCATATTGGCGCAGTAGCAAGCAACCACACCATGTACCCATTTATACTGCTGGGTGAAGAGGAGCAACGCAGAAAAAGTGCCTAGCTCAATGACACAAGGAAAGTGCACAGCTAGGGATTAAAAGCCCAACTTCAAGGTTGGGAAACCAAACCGTTCCCGCTGCATCAAAAAACTTTCACAGTTATTCATTCATTTTTATTCAAACTATATTGGTAATTATTCTTTTTATAACATAGAAACAAAATTATGTTTTGAATATATATTTACCATCAGTTTGCTTGATGTCCAAGACCCTTCGTATATGAGACAGTGGTAACACCTCTATGTGTTTATAGCATTTATGTTGACCTGTTTTGGTAACTGCAGGACTTTTATAAGATGTTGAGTTGGCTTTACTCCTCCTCTTGCAGATCTGAACAAATATAGCTTTTGTATTATTGATTCACATAAACAAAAACAATGTCTTTAACATAAATTATAAAGCCAACATTATCTCTACAACATTTGCATTCCATAAACTCATTCAATTAGTAGTTAGTAGCAGTTAGTGAAGACAACTTTCTCAATGACGAACCCTACTGCATGTATAGGGCTGTGTGTAACAGAGTGTAGCAGAATTAAAAAAAAAAAAAAAAATAGGAAAATAAGGAAGAGGGGAGGAAAGAAAAGAACAAGGGAAGACAAGTACTGTACAAATAAGATGAAAATAACATAGAGGAAGAGGTAAAAAAGAGAAGAAAATACAAAAAGGAGTAAGAGAGTACAAGAAAAAAGAGGAAAAAGGAAGAAAAAAGCAAGAAGAGAAAAGGAGGGTCAAAATGATAAGGATTTTTTTTTTAAATCTTGGCCATTTTATAAGAAACTACATTCATTTTCCTGATTGTGAAACTGTATTCACATTCTTACACGCTCACACACGTCCAAAAGAGTAAACTACCTCATTCGTCATATTTTCAGTCAAGTGGGATAAAAACTCTTTTCAAAAATTGTTTTGTGATCACACTTAGAAAGTACCCATCTTACCTCTAACAAATCTGTAAATAAAAACATGGACACGCTTCCTCCTTTCTCAGAAAAATTATCCCCTTTGCCATGTTCACGGTCTCCGATCTCTATTGTATCGATCCTTGTAACATAGCTACGATGTGCGGACAAAAGTGTAGGCGGCACGCCGTCTATTTCACTGATGACGTCAAACATTTGTGTGTGTCCCTCTGTCTTGCGTTTGTCCTCATTGATGTGACTTCGAATTGAAACAAATGTTGTTGTAATAATAATGGTAGTAATAATAGCAGCAATTGAAACAACAAGCAGCAAAAATAATAATGGATCTTTGGGTGTTATTTTTTGTTTTTATATAGTTAAAAATTATTAAATTATTTAAATATAAAACTTTTCTCACTCTGTCACTTGTTTTAGAGCATCAAGAGCTCTTCCCAAAGCGGAATGATCTGGGTTTGTTTTGTCCGTCCGCCGTAAAAGATCTGAATGCAGAAAGAATAAGGGAACTTCATATATATCACATTCTTAAAATGTTAAAATAAATATGAAATTACAATTATTTAAAATGTAATAATGTAGGTTTATAATATATGTAAATCAAAAATATACTTACCATTATTTATTTTTAACATTTATTGACTTTCAAACAGAAAAATCTCTTAAATTAATAATTATGTAATACATATAAAAAGGATATATAGTACATGAACTTGATAAAATGAAGACACAACAAAAAGAAAAGAAAACAAATCTTGTGTGTAACACCAAAACAGATGCCTACCAATTATGAATTATACCTTAATGGTGATTTATACACAATATTTCGTCATATGGGATTCACAATAGACGGATTTAATGAGGGCCGTGTCTCTAACCTGAGAGAAGCAGGATCATACTGGGTAACCTTTGAACCGGTCTGATCAGGAGATCCGTCAACCTCTGACGACTGCATTCTGGTTTACTTTGTTGAATCTATGTAAAAGTTGAAAATGTCACATTTATATACAGGTTCTTGCAATCTGAACCTCTAAATTGTTTGGTCACCAACAGCAAACAATCAAATAACACAAAATCACCAGTAGCATTGTTATAAGCTATTCAGGGTACAACTTCTATTGTTGGCATAATATGATGATTAACATATCAACCATATAGGAATTTCTTCAGGCAACATATTATTTTTTCAATCGGTATAATTATTTCTTAAAATGTGAAAAATCTCATATATTTAATGAATTACAATACAATGTGTGTAGGTAATAGTACAATAAGTAGTAGGTAAGTCTTACTTTCATAAAAGCGTGGAAACGAGGACGCGTCTTCTCAGATTTCTCAACAGTCTGTTTAATAATCTCATAGAAGTTGACAAATGGTGGATATGCTTTCATAATGTCAGTCGACTACAAGATAAAAAATTTACATTTAATTTGAAATCATTCAGTTGCTCAGAACATGACACTGTGTTATACTACACATAATGGAAAAAAAATGTTTCATGTAGTATTTCAGGATTACAATTTCAAAATAAGGATTAATACAGGCTTGCAAAAATGATGACATGAACACAGAGAAATGCAACATAAAAGGTTAAAGGTTACTGAGCCTACATGTTTTTCAATTATAACTCCAACACTCTTCTCTTCAGAATAGTTCTTCAGAAGCTCCTGAAGGTCCTCTCTGAGTCGACAGTGGACTTGGTGGATGTCTGGCACTTTACCAAACATGGTCTTGATGTCTTCTGGAGGAAGAAGAGGTCCTCCAACCTCGTGCTGCTCAAGAGGTTCTTTGAAGACCTAAAAGAAGTGGAAAAAAGTTATGAAAATTTTTATATTCATAGGTAAATATAATTATAATTTTTTTTTTAAACAACAATTAATGGCAGACATAGGAACACAAAAATACTCATGGTTTGGAGCTTCCACCACTGCAATCAGTTTAGAAAACTGAGATGGCAGATTCCTTACAAACATCTTCAATATCTGCCAACAGTTTGTGAATTGAGAGGGCATATTCTGCTAGGATCATCAACGACTGACAGCAGCTTAGCCAATTGAGATGGTATACTCTCTGCAACTATCCTTATTATTTATGCTAAAATCTTTATAGTTGGTTCAATATACGCTAAATTGAGCTCTGCAGCCCTACCTACCTTTATTATCGTACTCAGTATAGCAACATAGTTGGTTTCTGTTTGCAGGAGCTCCATCAGGGTCTGCTGTCGGCGTGAGACAGGTTGCTTGGGAGTCTGCCCAACTTCCATAGGTGTACAAAGTCCTATGGGATGGATAATTAGCAAGAATGAATTACCAAGTTATTAAAGAACTAGAGTGTTAAGTTGGAGAAAAAACACAATTAGATAGAAATAAGGTGATTTTTAAAAACAAGTGAAATATAAATTTGTAAAAAGACCTTCTTATGTCTGAAAAATGTATCATATACTGGGTTTTCTTTGTCAAATTTATTAATACTATCACCAATTGTTATCAATAAGTATTATCATTATTTACTATTATTATTATCATTATTTATCTCACCATTGATCACAACTGATGCTTCTGGAGTCTGTGATGCATCAAGGACAGATGACGCAGATATCCCAGTTTCGTTAAGTACGCTTGATCTACGCTTCCGAGGTAAGCCCGGTGATTCCATGTGATCTGTATCATGGCTTAGTTGAGCAATGCTCTCACGCAACCTACGTCGTTTGCGAGACTTGGATGTCGGAGTCGATACAGATGACGATTTCGCTGGCGTCGCCATCTACAAGATAACAGGCGATATGTAATGAGAGTTGCTTACCTCGAATATTATGAAGAGATATTTCTTTGTTATTTTTTCTTCTTTTTCTTAATTTTATTCTTTTTTAATCTTTCTATTTGAATACTTATGTATAAATTATTGTTGGCAGGTTACAGTACTGAACCAATTTGGAAAGAAATGCTACTGTATGAAAGTGTCATTCAGTATAAAGACAGAGAAAATACAATGGATATCATCCATCCAATCTTATTAGGTTATTGGATGTACAGCAGTATAAATTTCACTGTAGTCAGACTCTTTGAGCCTTTTAACTATCAAACCCTTAAATGCTCGAATAAGCGCTGCTCTTGAATAAGCACCACACCAAACATGTTTTTTCCATTAAGCGACACTCTCGGATAAGCGCCACACCAAATGTGATTTTTTTCATTAAGCGCTGCTCTCGAATATACACCACATCGCTTAATCGAGATTACAGTATATATAATATTACCCTGTGTGTAATGAAACAGGGTTTTAAATACAATGTGTACAGTGTTGAAATGAATAAATAACACAAATATGACACAAGCATTTCCTTATAAAAATTTGTTACTGATGATAGGACCTATGATAGGCCAACTAAACTACGGGAATACGTGAAATAGGTAACATTGGAATGGGCATGGAAAGCTCCATGCCAATATTTTTTACAAAATATGTCATCAGACGATGATGCTATGAGGCAAAACAGTACAATCAGGCTGAAAGTGTGTGGTTGTACCTGACGTATCTGATCAAAATAATAATGTTTATCTTCATGTATGTTTCACTTTCCCAATGTCCTTTCATTGTGTTTTGACTCTACATTGTCTGTCATATCTGACAGACATAATCTAATGCAATGAGACTAATAACAAAATATCTACTGATGAATTAATGCTAAACAATTTTACTGAAATTAGTTTATATGAGTAATCAACGACATCTTGGAATGTACCTCTCAAAAAATTAATTCAACATTTTTCTCACCTTGTTGAAGACGTACATATCTGCATCAGCACAGGCATCAATCTTGATGCTACTCCAAAACCACTATGGACAGAAAATTCATTCATTCAAATAACAAAAACTCAAAAAATAAATTAAACATGTGGAAAAAACAAGAAACCTGACTTTAGCTGGGAAAATTTTATTGATCAAATCATACGAAATCTCAAATTTTATTCATCTCGCATCAAGCTTTTCTGTTATAGAAGCAAATCATGTTATAAAAGATATTGAAAAAATTCTATGATTTCTTGAGGAAGGGCGGAAAAAGATTTGTAAAAAGGAATTCCATTATTGGAACAATTGAAGAAAATGGTCTTAACATCTATAAAGAAAATACCTTGGAAGGATCTCACATCAGAATGTGGTAATGAAATCATTTTCAATCACAATATTGAAGAAAAAGTTGTAAAGGCTAGACATAAATAACATTCCATTATTCTATAAGGAAATTATTCTTACTTATATTCAATTGACTAAACCGGATAAAAGTGATGTTTTATACACATTGCATTTTGAATAATAGATATGTTAAAATAGATGGAAAATCTATATTTGATAACTATCTCCTTAGGAACGGCATCAAACTGATAAACGATTTATATGAAACAAAAGGAAATACTGTATCAAAACTTTTCAGTCTCTAGGTTTACCAAAAAAATATAATATGAAATGAATAAGTATTTGTGATGCTGTCACTAAAAGCTACAAAGAGATGTTAATGCCGGGTTTCAATAGAAATTTATGCAATTTCAAAATAATTTTTAATACACGAAGAAGAAATTCATAGTGGTACTGTCACAAAAAATTTTATTTATACAATATTTATTAACAGGAAAATAGTTACGCCAACAGCAAGAGAGAAATTTAATGTAGAATTTGGTATTCAGGATGACACATAGCCAAATATTGATACCTTACCTTTCCAGTGTTCATAGGAAATCAAAATGCAGATATTTCAGTATAAAAGTCTTATGAACAGCTTAATGACTAACTCTAGATTATATAAAATGAAATTGTGGAGTCATACCAATGCTCATATGTCAAAACAGAAATCGAAACTATGCAACATCTATTTTTTGACTGTACGAAAGCAAAACCAATATGGGATGCTTATAAATGCTGGTGGGAAGCCCTAACAGGAAAAAAATATTATCTTAAATTATAAAACAATTATTATAGGTTATGAGGTTGATGCTCCTGCTGTTGTTAAATTTGTGTATTCTACTAATTAAGTCTTTACTGTTCACCAGTAGAGGGCGACCATATTTGATGAATTTTAATCAATTATTGAAAATCTGAAATTTTAATTTCTATTTAGAAAAGATCAAAGAACCAAGTCTATATAATTTTAATCAAAAATGGAAGGCATTAATTAATATTTTTTCTTATAAAGACTGATTTCTTTTGATTTAACATTACGTTAAAGAAATATTTCTTCTAATCTATGGTAACTCCTCTGCATCTGAGTGGTAGTAGTCTAAGAATGGATTTGTTTGGCATACATATTGCATATTACATTGATAGCCTTTTGTATCCTTTTTCCTTTTAACGTAATGTATTTTCTCTTTAACGTAATGTACTTTCATTTTGTAGGTATGTATGTAAGAATTATATTGAATAAAAAAAAACAAAAAAAACAAACAAACACAACTTTTTATAAGACCAAGATTGAAATTAAAGCAGTTACCGTCTACAGTATTTTAATAAAAAAAATCCTTCAACCAATTTAAGGCAAAGAATATAAAATGCATTATTTATGAATCTAACATATTTCATCATTCTAATTTATAAGCTCAACGCTAGGTTTATAATATGATGATATAATATAAGTTGAAGAGTTCATACCTCCTGTTTAACGACAGTAACTTTCGGCCGTATTTCAAATGGTAGGGAAGTCATAGTGATGTCATCGACAACGATGTGCGTACAGCATTGATCAGAAGCAGACGAGATAGACCCACCTGAGGTTTATAAACAAAACATATAAATCAACCAATAACACAAAAACGGCATTGGTAAGAAGCAGAGGAAACTCATCCTCCTGAATAATACAGTTAAACTTTCGTATGTAGACTGTGCCTAACTTGAATAATTTCCAAGTCGGTCTTATTTCACATGCCAAATTGTTGTGTTTCCATTAATTTATGATCTTAAGTCAAGTTTTATCAAACAATTTTTCAATAGCATTTTAGATTTAACTTAGGCAAGTTCAACTGTATAAGTAAAATATAAAAACATAATAAAAAAAAAAAAAGCCCAACAATATATTTACAACATTGATTCAAAGATGGTGTTGGCATAGAATAGGGAGTTTTCGCAAGCTTATGAAAATGATAACGAATACGGTTAGGTTATCTAATTTGTAGACAACTATTCCCCTGTAAGTGATTCATGCCTTGGCATGAACCAAGGATCATATGAGGCATGTTGTGGCAAAATGGCTAAGTTGTAGCAAAAATTGAAATTCAAGTTATTGGTATTTTCAAATACCTGAGTATGTGATCTTTAAAATGAGGGGTCATTCGTTCAAATTGGACATTTCAAACCTAAGTTATTGGAAAGTGAAAGTACAGTACTCTTAGAGTCAAGATAAACAAGATCTTGAGTAATTGCCTTTCAAAATTATTTGTGCATACATTGTTTAATAGAATGAACTATAAAAAATAACGTTAAATAAACAATTTGTTAACCACTTCCAGAACTAATATTTTGAGACATGATTGATAAGACATTAAACTGTTGACCTATAGTGAAAAACAAATTTGGATTTTTTAGCAATTTTTTGAGCTCCCATATTTTATAGCTCATTTACTCAATACTGGACTGTGCGACAACTTTACCATTTCGCCAAAACATGCCTCATATGCTCTTACAGCATATTGCCAAGAATGTTTTAGGCACGATTGACGATAATGATAATGAAGTATTCATATTTGTAAGTTTGCAAAAGGTCCCAAATGTCGCAAATTCTTTAAAGCAGCTATAAGACAAAACAAAGTTTGTTAGTCATGATTGGTTTGTTTTCCAATCCCTCTCCAAATTTACAGAGCTCTGCCTTAGGTCAGCCTCAGTAATTCATATTTTATGTGAAAAGGGCGCAAGTCCACCAGTAGGTACCCCAGGTGGCTGCAGGTCTACCAGGTGGTGCTACATTAGGTAAACCACATGGATTAAAAAAATCCTCACCTTGTTCAACAGCAATTCCTTCCATTTGCTCCTGCTCTTCATCAGAGAATCCAATGAAACACAGCACACACTTGTGAAATGGTTTCATCTTAAATACCATCTGCAAAAATCATCAGATTTATATTGAATTTACCCATCATTGTTCACAGACATTTCGGCATCCTTCAATCCATTATTTGTTATCTGAATAACTAAATATTTCTGGGATTAAAATTTATTTTTAAGATCCTTCTCAATTGTTTTTACCTTTTTAACATACTTCAAATTTGCTGAAAATATACTCACCATGTTTTCTGAAACTGAACTGACTGTTATGTCATCACGTTTGTTCCATGATTCATGCACCCATTGCTGGGTCATAATTGGGGTACCCAGGCTCACAGCAGCCTACAAGAATTACAATGCAAAAAATACTTGATATAGAAGTAGAGGCTTAGAAAATGGCAATACTTGTGCTTTTAGACCACAATATCAGAAATTTCATTCACTAGAAGTTTGTGGATTGGCAAAGTAATGTTTTCAAGGTGTTTGAAGACAGGACAGGGGTCTATGCTTGATCTATGGACAGATGAATGCTATCATTGCCCAGGGATACTGGTTCAATAACAGCAAAATATATCAGGATACCTAAGCCAGGCACTCAATGTATTTCATGAAAACTATGCTTCATGTGGGTGTTAGACAACGCGACGCTGTCTCCTGATTGTCGGTAGTACTCTGAACGGATCGTCATTCAAAAAATGATTCATTGCACGCGTGTCGTAGCTTTGCGTTCTCCATAGAATCACATTTGCCAACAACCCTTGGGCGCAGTGAGTACCCGGGTTTAGTTGTTCTTCCGGGATGAGTAAACTGAGCAAGTGTCTTTTCATGTCTGTTGGAATTCTGACAACATCTACTTCATCACACTAAGTCTGATCAATTGTCTGTTTGATCAAACTAACCAATAAACACACTAAAAATGTTATTCAGTAATTCATAAAGCTCTAACCACACTATCAATTCTACATGGCAAATAAAATTGATTTTCTCATATAATGGTATGGTATGACATCACATCACCATGCCCATATATGGATGCAAAACAGTATACTGTGGGCAAATTATGTAATTTTATCACATAAAACTTGAGTATGGATACAGCCAGACAATCATTTATTTAAATGTCAAACCTTGTATTTACTGCCAGCTGGATTGTTAGCTATCAGGTGAGTCACTTTGGATGTGAAGTCTTTACGAACGCTGCCACCCATATGGTGGACAAGCTCTGCCATTCGCTTTAAAAGTTCCTTCTCCAGGAATCCAGTGAAGCAGACCACTAGCTTCGACATATGCCGACAGTAAATTGGTCTTGAGTTATAGGGTAGTGCCTGAAAGGGAATGTATCAAAGTATGATAACAATAAAAACAATTAATAAATACAGGGCTCCCTCAAATTAAAGACCCCTCCAATTAAAGACCACTTTCTGTGGTCCCAAATAACAAACGTCTTTTATCTTTATTATTCTAATTAGAGACCAAAGGTTTCCAAAGACCATGGAAATAGGAGGGAGATCTGTAATAAGGTCTGGAAGCGATTTGGCACACAGGGAACAGTTTGGTTTCCCAACCTCGAGGTTGGGGTTTCAATCCCTCGCTGTGCATTCCGCATGAGAAACACAAAATAGGCCTAGTGATCGTGAAGACAGTAAACATGAAACGTTTAGGGTAAGCTTTTTTGAGTATTATTTATTTCATTTCATATCAAAGAAAGCAGCACACAGTACAGTATTACTCCTTGTTTGTCAACCTTTTTATGGACTGGATACCCATGTTAATTGATTGGGCACTCATTGCAAAATGAAAAAAACTTTATTATACGTTTATTAGAAGAGGGGCGTTTATTAGAGACAATACGGTAATACGGAAAGTGTGTCACTTTGTAAAGCATCAAATGTAAGCTTACCTCATCTTTATGTGCACAGCTCATGATTAATGATGGCCCAACCACCCGGTGTTCTGACTGTGCCAGTTTCTTGAACAAGGACCCATCAAAATGATCAAGAACAAACACAGTATCAAATTGGTCTGATGGCTGATAATATTCACTACCATCAGGTGAATACACAACAGGTAAATTCAATTTCTACAGAAAAATAAATATAATAAAACACATTAAATCAATTTAACAGTAATAATAATAATAATAATTACATTAATAATATATTATCATTATAAATGTACACAAAAACAAAGACAAAAGAAGGAGGGCATGACAAGGGGGAACATCATTCCTGTACATCCTGTCATCCCACAACTACACATTTATCAATTTAGAAACTATTTCTGTTTATCTAAATTATAAACTCTTTAATAAACTCTCTTAAATTATATTCCCAATTAGCAATCTTATAAAATGGATGAAGTTATATGACTGTTCCATGTGTTTTTGTTCTTTTGCTCAAATATACCGTACCCAAAACATCTAGATTTGTAAATAAAATGCAAAACAGGTTCTATTTTTAATTAAATAATTCATTTAATTCAATTAAAAAGAATCTGGTCTGATAAAGAACATTTTAATTGATGATGTTTGTAATGAGAAAGTCCATGATAAAGTAGTAGCCATAATGCAAGACAAAGATCATCCACTTCATAGTAATATCAATGGTTAAGATCTGGTAGACGACTTAGGTCTACTCGATGCAGGACAAAATGTTTCTCAAAAAGTTATTTGGAAGTGTTACTCAGCTAATTTCTATACCTAGCTTTAAGATTATTTGTACAGTATGCTTTATATGTTTTTCTTTTCTTACTAACATTTGAGCAATTTTATGTCAAACTGAATTCTGAAAGGACACATTAAGTGAACTATTTTGCATTTATAAACAGTAAATATATAATTTCTATATAAATAATTTCCATATACAATATTATATTCAATACTTCTTCTAGATGTTATATAGAAGTATTGAAATTCATTAATCTAATTCATATCTTTACTTAATTATTATATTTTTACACAATATACTACACATTATTCAATGCAGAGATATTTTCGTCTCACCTCTAAGCAGCGGGTTAAATCTACATTATCAGCAAGTGCATCGCCAACAACACAGACCCGTACCTCAATCATACCATCACCTGGATAATAATGCAAATGAGTCATTAAAATTTATTATGCATTAAGACAATAACTCATTTAGTGATAATTGAATCTGTATTGATGTTTTAAAATTGTTTTATAGTACCGTATATCCTCGAATTGAAGCTCAGTGGGCTTAATCTCGAGATGAAGCGCATCTCGAATTGAAGCCCCCCCCCTCCCTTTTTAGCAAAATCAGCCGAAAAGAAGCCCATCTCAAAAAGAAGCCCATAGGCTTTTTTTCAAGGTAGCATAGGCTTCTTTTTGAGATATTACAGTCACGTACACTGCACATCAATTAAATACAAGCTTGGTTTATACAGTAGTTTAGGTGATTTAATGCCAGGTAAATACACAGACTGATGTTACAGTGGCCTTATTTATTGTTTTATAGTACAGCATTCATTTGGAAAAGAAGCCCCCTCTTTACTTTGCCAAAGTAGTCTCGAAAAGTAGCCCATCTTGAAAAGAAGCCCATCCAAAGTTCGCAAAGAAAAGAAGCAGCCCAGGCCTTGAATTCGAGGTTTTACGGTATTTATATATTTATATACTTGCATTCATTAGCAACGGCAATTTTTAAATTTGGGTTCAGTTTCAACATTTAACCTTTGTGTTTCAAATGAATTTATATTTGTAAAGCCGGGCACTCACTGCGCTGTACCAAAAATCTAACTCCGCTCCCTGTAAGCGCTAGACGACGTCACCCCATCTGCTGATTGTCAGTGACAGTCTGAACGGATTATCATTTTTAAAAATCCATAAGTGCGCACGTTGTGGCATTCTCCATAGAATCATTTCGGCAGACAACCCTGTCTGTGGCGAAGTGAGTGGTCGGCTTAATGGACATTGATTCATGAATCTTGAACCTCAAGTGAGGGATGTGACGATATTCTAACTGATATGAATGTTGGTTGTTCAATCAGTATTCTAAATTGATTTTTATTATATTTGAGGCATGTTGTGGCACACAGGCCAGTATTGAGTAAATGAGCCTGAAAATATGGGAGCGCAAAAAATTGCCTGAAAATACAAATTTGTTTTTCAAAATATACAGTTTAATGTCTTTACAAAATTCTGAAAGTGGTTAACAAATTGTTTATTTAACATTATTTTGATAGTTAATTCTATTAAACATGCACAAGTACCGTAACTTTTAAAGGCAATTACTCAAAATCATGCTTATCTTGACTCTAAGAGTGCTTCACTTTCACTTTCCAATAACTTTGTAATGTAAAATTTCAATTAATGAACCCTCATTTGAAAGATCACATACTCAGGTATCTGAAATACCAATAACTAAATTTGAATTTCAATTTTTGCCACAACTTAGCCATTTAGCCACAACATTCCTCATTTGCTTTGCTAGTTCATAAACAACTTGTTAAAGCTTTTCATAAAAACAATGACATTTTTTTTTTATACTAATACATTCTTATTTAATAATCTTAAACTAATTTACCAACTTCCTTAACACTTACATGGATCCTCTTGGACAGTTGTCTGATCCCCATGACAAGCATAACTGATCTCAATTTGAGATTCTTGTGCTAACAGAATAGATGACATCTTCACAATCGTTTTGTGTTTAAGTTTGATTTACCTGCACTGAGTAAAAAAAAAGGAAAAAGTATACAATTAATTTCCCAACAGCCTCAAAACCTTTTGTAGTGTGTCATGGCAAACTCTAGCTAGCAAAACTGAGGCTCTATGCTATGGTATGCCTAGGGGACTAGTGTTCATTGTTGTTCTTGCTTGTCTCCATTCATGACGAAAAAAAAAACCATCACAACACAAGCATTTGTGATTTGAAAAGTGATTCCAACAAGAAGAGAAGACTAAGAGTAAGAGCAACAAGCAAGATGGTTGCAAATATACCACACATATGTAGCCTGCTTTACCTTTCAAATGATAAAGTAGGCTTAGTTCTATACAGCACCTCCCTGTAGTCTAGCTACACAGTAGCCTTCTTTCAGGCCTTTGTGTAGGTGAGTGGCCTGCTGTACAGTATGTAGGCCTAGCCTACTGCTGCTGTGGCTCAGTCGGTAGAGTAGAGTGGCAGTGCTCATCGGACCCGTGCTCACCATGCCTGGCACTTTTGAAATGTTAATTGAGCAAAAAACACAAACTTCTCATATTCACGAGCCATGAATTAAATCACTAAAATGATATAACATTCCTCTACTAAGTATTATCAATAAATACATAAATATACTTACAAATAATTTACAATAACATAGCACAATTTATTATTTCATAATGTTGAACTTCTTCTTCTGAATTTTGTTATTTCAAATAATCCGCCTAGCTGTGATTATTTATTAAGGTATGCCGACTCTGATTGGCCAGAGGCAATCCACGCACTCATGTACATATGATTTGTTTTGCTTTTAATTCATATTCAGTACACACAAACCGTTCTATACTTAAATAAATTGTTGTTTTAAATCGTATATACGTAAATGAATTTTACAAAAAGGTAATGCAACATTTTGTGACTTCATATCTTTAAATGATTTTCTAGTTTAATCTGTCCAATTGGAAAATGCGTTTTGTGTGATTCTTTGTCCAATCAGAGGAGCCATGATCGACTCGCCTTCAAGTTAGGTCAAAGGTTAAATAATCGGATCGAGTAATCAAAGCAGACGACAAGATGGCCGATAAACGAGAATCAGGTCTGATAAAAATTGCTTTTCCCCCGTTAAAGCTTAATTTATGTGTAGTTATTCTGTGTTTACTTCATATAAATAATCTGGTTAACCTAAAAACCAATAAAATGAATAAGCCAACTGCCTGGCCCTGTCTGTGGCTAGGCCTTTGGGAACGGTACGACGGGACGGTGTACACACACACACACACACTGCCTGTACGTACGTCAGTGTCAGTCACAGTGAGTGAGTGCCACGGGTATTCAGTGCCACTGGCACCACCATCTTCTACTTACTGGCCTACCCTAGCCTAGCTAGGCTTAGCCCTGGTCGAAAGGCGCTGCCTAGATCTGGGCGAGAGCATGCCATTGGCCTAGTAGTAAGATAGGCCTTACTAAGTTCTTGTAGGGCGGGCCTATGTAGATAATACTTAGCCAGGTCTGGGAATGAATGGGATTTGAAATTATTTTCTTGATAAGTACAACAACTCCCTGGTAGCGGCAAACAGGCTGGTAAAAAATAAAAGGAAGTGGATATATTTACGTCGCCGTAAACAAATCAGAAAACGACATAGTTACGTAAATGAAACAACGCATGCGCAATCATACTTTAAAATAAACTTGCATTATCGGTCACATAAATTTATCAATTCTCGTTAAATGTACGTTAACACGGAGTTCAACTTTCAGACTCTAAATTAGCATTGGCCTTTTGCTGAGGCCCCTTTTTTGGCAAGTTAAATTTATGAATGTACTGTACCATGAATCCACAGTGCATGAAAATCAAATCTTCAAACGTGGACGTGTTTATTATAGCCATGTTAAAAAACAATAACTTGACACAACACTGCAGTGGTGGATCAAGGGTGGTTCAAGGGGTTCGGACGAACCCCCCTCCCCCTCTGTTAAGAAACTTAACAAAATACAACTGGGTCCTGGCTTACAAAAGGCATGCTAACCTACCTAGGCATAGGTTGGAAGATCAGACAATTACTGGGCTTAGCCCATCTAGTTTTCAATGAAATAAATTATACACACTGTTCTTGGTTCGCCGTCGTAATAATGTATACGAAATGTGTGTTCTTCAGGCCTATCGGTTCATTGGTCCATGGAAGAAAGACTACATCCAACTACTCAATGTTTGTTGGAATATAATAATATATTAATAAATAATAATATATAATAATATAATTTCATTTATGGGGTTTTTTGGAAAAAACATTTTAAACCCCCCTCTTTTAAATTCTGGATCCGCCCCTGAAATGGTTTCTACTCTTTAAAAAGCCATTGAACAACACACAACAGCAAATCGACGCACATGGGGAATCCCCGAATTGGTTGAATAAATTTTTGTAAACAGTTTACGACTAGCAGATAGTAGGTACAGTATTTAAATTATAATTTTACAGTTCTTACTAAACATAATTAAATTTGCTACAGTAGTAGCCTATGTATATAAAATAATTGAATGATTGTGATAATGAGCTAGAAGTATTCGTTTCACTCTCTCACATCATGATCACAACGTCGAGCAAGGCTGTTTATTCCATGTTCTGCATCCATACTTTGTAGACACATGCACAGCATGCCAATGTTGTTTTGTTAGTGATCAGACTACATGGGAAATTATGTTTGAATAAAACATTAAAAATATTTGTTTTGTCTTACCAGGGATATGTATTTTATGTATTTTTTACATCTACCTGGTCTCACTTTTTTCGTATTGATTAAATATCTTACAGAAAATACAGGCATATTATTATTCGTTGTTTACTTCTTGCTTCATATAGCGTACAGTACTTTTAGAGTTGATCATGTGCTCTCCAAATGTGGTTTTCTTGTATGTTCTCCGCGATCGATCGGGGCTCGATGCTCGACCCGACTAAAGACTATAACGATGTTGTTTTTGTTAGTGATGACATGGGTAAATGTGTTTGAATGAAAAATGATTGACTATCGTATATCAATACAGGTAGGCCTAGAAGAATATCGTCTTGACTTCGTGGTAATTGAGTTTTAGCAAGGAAACCTCGCGTAGGCCTAGGCCTTGTATTTAGATCAAGTGTGTTCATTCAACAAATGATTGTGTAAAATGAACATAACATTTCCAGCTAATAATATCACTTTTATTTGAAAAGTTAACACAATGATTTAATAATTTATTTAGTGACTAAACTACATACTGTGCTGTTGTAGAAAATTAAATTTGTACAAGAGACAGGGCCTACCCTAGCCTAGCTAGGCTTAGCCCTGGTCGAAAGGCGCTGCCTAGATCTGGGCGAGAGCATGCCATTGGCCTAGTAGTAAGATAGGCCTTACTAAGTTCTTGTAGGGCGGGCCTATGTAGATAATACTTAGCCAGGTCTGGGAATGAATGGGATTTGAAATTATTTTCTTGATAAGTACCTGTCTCTTATACACATCTAGATGTGTATAAGAGACAGCATTTGAAAGATCACATACTCAGGTATCTGAAAATACCAATAACTTAAATTTTTATTTTTGCTACAACTTAGCCATTTTGCCACAACATGCCTCATATATCTGTATGAACGTATCTGTATATCTGTACGGATCCAGTAGGGGGACACATTTTTGTCACTAAATTAAAAAATTTTCAATGCAAATCAATGTTATTTGCTACTCACTTACCTATTATGAGACTGTTGTGAGCCCCCATTTGAAAAATTCTGGATCCGCCCCTTGGTGTATGGCGTTCCAGATAACATAGCTACTCCAAAATACATACAAAATTAATATTTAATGAACAGAAACATAAATAATACAAGGTCAGTGGCTGTTGTTCAAAGAAAAAAATGAATCTAAAAAAAATAAATAAATAAACTTATGTACAGCCATTAATTAAACAAAATCTATACTCTATAGAGGATATGCACAGTACCAGAAGATGATGATGAAATCTATACTGTTGAGGAGATATCAGGCCTCCCAATCCAGAAAAGTCTGTTAGTTTCATAATTCTCCACAATATACTACCGTTCTCCAAGCCTTGAAGTCTTGTTGTAAAGCAGGACATTGCACAACATAATTACAATCAATATTTTATTATTGTTGTATATCTTGTACAAGTACCAATTTTCAACTGTCAGTTTATACATCTCATACATATGCACAACAAACAGTTATTACAGTATATTCACAACAAACACATTGTGTATGATCATTTTTTTAATATAGCACCCCTCCAATTAGATATGATCTCCTATTAAAGACCACTTTTCTTCAGTCCACATGAATGCCTTTCATTTACTTTTTTGATAATTATTTTCCAGGTTCCAGGGCACATAGAAAAAATTATTAGATTATCACTCTTCTTTTTTTTTTTTAAATTGATGAGGAAGGGCAGTTTTTTTTTTTTTTAAATAGGAACAATAGATTATTTCAATTTTGTTTTTATCGATGAGGGAGGGACTGTTTATATTTGGTGTGTAATAGTAAATATTGTATAAAAACTGGTTTAATTTTATAGTTTTTTTTTTAAAGAAAATGTATTTGAAGTCACAAAATTGCATTGTTATTTTTATGCTGTTAAAATAATTGATGCGGCAAAAAATTTTTTTAAATTCCGCATTAATATTTTCTGAATTTTTGAGATGGGCGAGAGTGTTAATCTAATAAAATGTTCTATTTGCCCATAGAGACCAAAACTGCCGAAGAATACACAAATCCTGGTGCCACAAATTCATTATTTGTCTTGTTTTGTATCTTATTATTTCTGTTTGACTTTTCGGAGTCACTGTATCAACCTTCATTTGACTATATTCATGTTTACCATATATAAAATAAAAATGTTATTAAATGATACAAAATATTGTTTTTACTTTTAGTATCAAACACACCAAAGAAAAAAAGAAAGACAAGAGGAGACCATTTCAAACAGCGTTTTCGCAAAACTTTTAATATGGTGTTGGAAGAAGAACAAACAACCAACCTTCAAGAACATAACTATTTCACAGCCTGCGTCCCTCCTTCAAATTTACCACAGAGACATTTTTGCCATGTGTGTGGATATCCTTTTACAGTATTTATTTATCATGGGGGAAAAAATCTGGAAAACTCTCAAAAATTGTTAACAAACATTAAATTTCAATTTCTTCTAACTTCAATTGGAGGCACAGAGTTAAAATCTTATTACATCCTCCTCACGTGCAACTAAATTTGTACTACCTTTTTCTTTTAGTATTATTACTTAAGTTATAGTTGTTATTATTAAGGTTTACCTTCTTTAAGAAATACTGTACCCAGGAATATTGACATTTAATTTACATTATATAGTAAAAGAATGTAGCAATACAGTTGAACTTGCCTTAGTCGAATAAAAATTGGCATTGAAAATTTGTTCGAAATTTGACTTTGATGATTAATTATTGGAAAACACAAAAATTGTGCATGTAAAATAAGATCGACTTAGAAATTATTCAAGTTAGGCAAAGTCGACTTTGTTGTTGCATGGAAAAAAACATGTTATCTATTTTTTGATATAAGGGGTCATACTTAGCTATTTAATCACTTTCAGCGAACCTTCTCATTGACTAAAGGCCATTTATTTTAATGGTCAATTATTTATTACAGTATTTTCTATTGAAATGTGCTTTTCCATTATGTTATCAAGGTTTGCTGCCAGTAAAATCATTTTGTGTTTACTGTATTTACCTTAACTGATGCTATGTACATTCCCGTCAAATTATACATGTGTTTCATGTGGTGCTCGCTTCTGCTGTGTTAAATGTTTAGGAACCCATCAGGATACAAGGTAAGATCAAAATCTCTTTTTACACTGAATGGATGTTTTTTTATCTTAATAAGATGCTGGTTAGTTTAACCATAATAAATGGGTAATGGGAACAGCCTGGGAAACATTCAGCTTAGCCGATTTACCTTAACTCCATGGAGAGTTTAGCTGAAGAATTTGTGCCAATACTAACTATGCAACAATCCAAATCTCAGTGTTCACATTGGGCTTTTCTATCATACAAAATGGTGGTTAATTTAATAGTAAATCTAGTGTAAACAGCTGTGGAAACATTCAGCTTGGTCAGTTTACCTAAGCTGCGCGATTAGACTTTTTTTAGTATTTTGTAAAATATGAATAACCATCATATAAATTGCATTACAGACTGTGTAAATGAGACATACTGTATTTTATAAATAAAAACAAATATTTATTTATAATTTTTATTAAATTTGACTAATTTTTTTTTGTTTTTGCAGATGTCTAAAATGGACAGTATGAGTTAACACATCAAACTCAATATGCGAGAAGATGAGATTTGATCACTGCTATTGCGCTACAACTTATCAACATCACACAGAGACTCATCAAGTTGTCAATGTTGTTTATTCAATCAACAAAAATGTGTTATAGACATGAGGTACCATTGTGTTCTAGAGACATTTTTAGGACACATACTGTATCTTTGATCAGTGAATTGTTATCAATTTGATTTCTTAAAACACTCAAAATCACTCTGCTTCTCTGAACAGTTACAAGAGCCAATTTAAAACAAAGTGCAAGCTTGTACTGTAGGCATGTTCACACAAGTTAGGCCAGGTACTCACTGTGCCATGGTTGTTAGCAGACGCGATCCTTTGCAGAAAGGAATGCCACGACGCATGCGCAACGAATCATTTTTAATGACTGTTCATTCAGGCTGTCACTGACAATCAGCAGACAGCGTCGCATCGTCTAACGCTCACAGGGAACAGAGTTGAATTTATTGTACTGCGGTCGCACAACACATAGTGCCCGGCTTTAGAATAAGCTATGAAGAAGCAGTTGTCTTGTCATAAGCCCTGGGTAGTGCCCATGAAGACACTCTGTTACAACAGACAGTAAACTGTTAAGGAGTAGTATGTCTCAGAGTAAGAGCTGTTCAGACATATTTTCTTCTGAGCTCGCAAGTCAATAACGCTTTTATTATGACCTCCCATTTTTCAGAATGAGTGGCAAAACAGCATTTCCTGTGATGTGTAAATATTTATTAGACACAATTTTTAAATATTTATTTTCGAGAATTTAAGTACAATATTTGTTCATTGGCAAAAGAAGTGGTACTTTTTACCTCCTGAAAATATATCCGGTAAACTGCTTTATCTATGTATTATTTTATACATTTTCATCCCTCCACCTACAATTTTAAACAGGAAATTGAGAGTAAGACCTCTCTTGAAGTACTTTCTAACCAAAGATCTTATAAACACAAGATATAGTTCTCCGCGATTTACGCGTGCAAATTCTGTAATAATGCATGAAAAGCGCCCTCTTGCAAAATTGAAAACTTTTGAACCTTGACCGCTCTGACCATAGCGTACACGTAACAATTAGTAGCGTCCGATTTACAATGCGCCCTCTCTTTAAAACGCAAGGAACGAACTTATGGCCTAACGCAAACACCCTATTTTAGATCCATGGCAATGACTAGGACGCCCTCTCCCAAAACTATTACTTTTCTGTGCCAAATCGACGCTTCTATTTGTTACGCGTAAATCACGGAGAACGCTATCTTGTGTTTATAAGGTCTTTGTTTCTAACATGCTAGTCAAGCCTCCACAATGTGGAACAAAATCTATACATTTGACAGCACACTGCCATGAGACTTCCAAACCAGATTTTAAAACAAATCACTTCATTAAAATATTAATACTGTTACTGTAATCAATACCCATCAATAATAAGATAAAATGCAAAAATGTGCTGAATAAATTGTTAAAATAGACAATTCACTATATAATTTGTTTTATTTCATTGGTTTCTATATTCCTTTTTTTAACTTAGTAATTCAAGTTTGCCTTCATCCTTTAATAGCTCATTGAAATTTAATAATCCTGAACTTTACAACTTGTGATTGGCTGCTGGCATGAAACAAAGTGCATCTGTCAATTTAAAGCTATTAACTAGTATAATAAATACACCGAGTGAAATATTAAATTTTATTCTTCAAGTTTATATATTCCTTAAAAAATCGGTTTCAGACAGTTCAATGCTAATAACATTTTGCAGTACTAATCTAAAATTTTGCAGAAATTTAAAAAAAAAAATTTCCCTCACCATGAATATTTATTTGTGAAAGCAATTTTAACCCCTGTCAGACAAAGACGACAACAAAATATACAGTATAAATTTTGAAGGCAGTGCTGCAAGTGATTAACAGTGGAAAGAGACCTACTGTAGCTGCTGCAGATGCAAGATGCCACCTTAAAAGCATCACCTGTTGAAGATGGTGTCAGTTTTTTGCAGTTCACTGGCAATTTGAATATGCATCTCTATGCCTTTGCTGAAATTCTCCCACATTTTATGCACTTTGTGTACATTTGCTGAGGCAGCTGATATGAACCGGCTGGACATTCAAGGTGCTTGGCATAATCATATAATCAATTTTTATGTGTCCATTGTATTTTAGACATCAAAATCTTGTCTATATCATATGTAATTCCCATTTTGGAAGCAGTTGGTGCAACGGCTGTGGTTTGGGGCTTGAATCCCTCACTGTGCAAGTTGCTTGTGTCCTTTGGGCATTCTACAGTATTTACTAGTTTCGTGTTCGTGGTGGTTTGCCAGTTTATGTTGTCCAATGGCCAGGGGTTACAATCCTTTGATCATTGGTTTGAGATTTGCACTTTATAAACCTGTACTATTATCATTTCTACTACAGTACTGTATTTGAAGTTTATATGGTGTCCATAATTATTCTGAATAGTTTTTTACATTCCACTCTTCCTAACAATTAACATGATTTTTAAGTCTCTTTATCAGAATTTATAGTCTCCTCATATTATTATCCCAAACAATAATCAAATATAAAGTATGAGATGCACTGATTATAGCTACCATTTAGTGTTATAAGTCAATCGTGACATCATCACCACAACTCCCAATGTTATTTGGCTACTCCCAACCAGTCCAATCATTTTTTACATAGTGGATGCTTGGCTTGATTTGTTTTAGGTTCTTGCGTAAAAAAAAAACACCTTTGTTTTGTCACCGCTAAGATATCGTGAACCACGATGAAAATTGAATTGTGATTGAAAATTACATTCATAAAACAAGGTTAATTAGAACCTGAAGAAAGAATTCAATATTAAGTATAAACAAATAAGGAATTCCTTGAATCGATGAACCCTAATAAACTAAACAAACTGAACATTTAATAGGAATATTCTAGACCTATTTTAAAGACTCAAGGAACGAATTTAGATGTAGGCCTACGGCCAGGGAGGACACCGAGGCCTCCTCCCTAAGGTCTCAGCCTAGTTATGAATTATCACACATTATTACCTGTCTGCACCGACCAAAAAGTGACTACTGTATACTCTCTTGAAGGAATGTCTATCAAAATATACAAACCAGTTCTTCTAACACAATACAATAGTTCTTCATTGTATCCGTACTGTAACTGCTGCTGATGTGAAACGTCGCTAGCTCTGTGATTGAGTTAACGCGTACTGCAGGAGCACAAATCGATATACGCACAGCTCTAAATGTAAATACGTGCTATGATAATAGTACAGGTTTATACGCACAGCTCTAAATATAAATATGCATCCAGTATACTGATCATATCACTATAGCAACCGATGACTGCTACATACAACAGTTTGGTTATCAAAACTAACATTAAAAGACAGCAATTGACTTATAAAGCAATTAGTAGAGCATGCATCGTACACTAGAGGAAAATTATTATACTTGGGTTAGATTTAATGCATTCAAAAATTTCCTCCGGCCAGGCCCTCAGGAATTTTTTTTTAAAGAATTAAATCTAACCTTCGTATAATAATTCCCTTATAGTGTATTATGCACAGCTCTAACTAATTGCTTACTATACTTGGAATGCAGCGATGATCAACTGGAGTATGCAGGTAAGCCCCAGTTCTCTGGTACAAATTCTTCAAGACTATTTAGACGTTTGTGTGCATCCTTGGTTTTTGCAGCATCCATGCGTTGGTCCGGCACAATAATAACGTACATCCCTGCAGCTTTACCAGACATGACACCAGTTATTGCATCTTCAAATACTAGTACCTTTGATTGGACAGACAAAATTCATAAAATAATTTAGGGTATACTCAAACAGTATAGAATTGCAGGAGGTCCAACGAAATGAAAAAGAAAAGTACTACCACGAGGTGGGGGGGGGGGGTGCTAGGCACCCAACTAGAGTTCAAATAGAGTTTAAAATTTGAACACAGTTATTCAAATAATACACACGCACATTTAATTTTACCAATATTTACTTTTCAACATGTTCACGGTGACATTGTCACTCACACTTAAAAGTCGATTTATGCCAAATGAATATTGCTCTTATATGGAATATTCTTCCGTGTGTTATTGCGTTGCAGCAGCAGAGTTGCTACGAAATCCTAAAAATTATTTAGATGCAGTTTTTCACCATGAATACTTTATAAAAATTTAAATGATATATTTTGTTAACTACAGTAGGCCCTACCCCTTTTATATTTTGTTACACACTGCTACCATATATGAAAAAATTCATGATGTTTAAATTATAGAGGGTTCAAAACAAAATGAAATTGTTTTAAACATCAATCTTTTTTGAGGAAAATCACTTGATCTTCAAAAGCAATGCTGAAATAATTTTTTATTTTGCTGTACCTGTTCTGGATTTGGAATCGGACTTTCAAATCTCTGAAGGGCAACAACGTAAGCATCGGGATGTGGTTTGCCATTCTTAACATCGGGATCATCTCCACAACACACAATGTGGTGAAACAAGCTAAATAATTCCTTATGTTTAGTCGTCTTCACTTCATACAGCTTAGAGGCCGAGCCAGTTGCAACAGCGATTGGTATCCTATGTTGATGAAGATGCTTCACCAGTTTTTCTGCCCCTTATGAAAAAAAAAAAGATTATTTTATCAGTGGAGTTGATGATGAAAATGTGAATAAGAATTTATTATTCCTTTTCTTTGTGTTCACTATAAAAATTGTAATTAATTTGCAAAAAATATTAGCCTAATAGCTGTTTATAATAGGTTATAAACTTGTTTTAAGCTCCTATTGTACAGGTTAAATGTCGTCTCAGAACAGCACAAAATTGCCTCAAATTGTTTAAAGTGCTACAGTGTTAATTTTTTGAGTCCCACTGGTGGCTGCATCAGCAATATTTTGGATAGCTCAGCCTCTATGGAGAAAATCCTGGCAAATGCCACTGATTGTATGTATGACAGGAAAAGACCATACTTCTTACTTTAGAGAGGGATACATACTCTGCCATAGTTAAAGAATTATTTTTTTCCCAAAAATTTGTGAATTATATTTTTTTCCCAAATCACATAAGACTTACCAGGCATAAGTTGAGACTGTGGAAAAAGTTTATTTTGTTTTTCTCTAGCTTTTGCTAGTAATTCTTCAACTGTCAATGGCAGCTGCAATGTATCAATCATTATCTTAGCCCCATCTCCTGCTTTTCTGCCCATACAGCGCTCTTTTATCTCCCATGTGTATTTTTTATCATACTCCGAACAAATTTCTTCATAAACTATAGTATACAATCGCTCTGTATCTGTTAATAGAAATGATAAGATAATGGTAAGGTAAAAGGTTAAAGGTTATGTATTTATACCACCCAATATACCGGGGTCTTTATGCGCTGAAAACAAGTGAACATCCCAGGATTCAGGCACCTCCTATCCTGATAGCAATCATGAAGAAACGCTACCCACTTGAATATAACCTCCAAGGTACACATTCAAGAGTAGTCAAATCCGATGTTATGTTATGTCCGTTTTTAATGATGATCCTTTCCAACTGCCAGTGAGTGCCTGACTTAAGAGTATGAGTACTGTACATGTTAAGGAGCCAAACTTAATAACTTAAAAAATAATTATTAGATAATAATGTAAAATTATAATACTGTATATTATGATTAATAAAGGAATAATTTTCATGTGGATCTAGACCATCATTAGTATAGCAGTAATATATGTGAATATAAGGTTGAATATAAGGTATCAGTGGCAGCACTAGTAGGGAAGGAAGACCTTGTCAGATAGGGCAAATCACATAGACAACTACCTTGTTTGGCCCTCCACAGTCATCAATGCAAACCCCTCAGAAACTCCAGGTCAGACCAAAATTTTTACAACGCCCAATTTAAGTTCATTTAATGGAATACAAAAAGGAAAACATTTTTTATTTCTTTTCTTCATTTTTTTCAGCATAATTCTTTTCAAATGCTTCAGATCATGTGTTTTCCCAAAAGTGACAAGTGTATCATAGCTCCGTGCAACAGACTGAGCAGCCTCCTTGACCCCTGTCAGGCTTCATCAGAAATCATTAGCAAACTTCTGTCAGACAGGATTAGCCCCCAAGTCTTGCTTAATATAAGTAATAAGAATAATATACTGTATACTGCCAATCTGCAGTGTTATTAATGATTATTTATAAATAATTATATTTTAATGATTTTCTGACTACTGCAAGCATTAAAAAAGCTAACTAAGGCAGTTACAGCTCCAACTGATTTATATTTACCTATACTCTACCCAGGGAGGGGTAGGCCTCGCCTATATACACTAGGGACACATTTCTTGGATAATAAAAACAATAGGAATTACTCCCCGGGGAAAAACGTACTTAAATTGCAATATCTCCGCTGATACTAGTCCGATTTACATAATTTTTGTTTTAAAATGCTTCATTCAGCTATGTCTTTCTTATAAAAATAATTAAAAAAATATTTGCAACATTTCAATTTTTTATGTTTCTAGCTACCTATAGTAGTAGTAGTAGTAGTAGTAGTACTCTAGGCCCTATGCCTAGAGTAAGTAGTACTACTAGGCCTACCTAACTGGCAGTAGGCATACACCAGATGTAGACTAGGGCTATGCAAATACTGGCTAACGTACAGACAGGCACCAGCCTAGGTCAGGACGTATGCTCTACGACCAAGGCCTAGTTAGGCCTAGCTAGCTACTACTACTAGTAGATAGTAGTACAGTAGTGTAGGGGCCCTAGCTATTCTGCACGTGGATAGGCCTTGGAGCCTAACTAGCCTAGCTCGGCCTACATCTCAGAACTTCCTGGCTTGTGGGAACATGATAAGCGAAAATAAACACGCTTATGATACTCATATCATTACAATATATCTGATATATCTTACCAATTAATAAACCATCCATATCAAATATAACATGAGTGATGTTAGGTCTAAAAGAATTCGACATGTTGTTGCACGTATGACAATCATGTAGGTAGGGAAAGGGAAAGCACCCGACAACCAAAATTGAAATGACTGACCTGGATGGATGATGCGCGCGTGGCAACGTCCCTCTATAGGCGAGTTTTGAGTCCCTGGTTGGAAAAACTCTAAAGTTTTGTATTATTGTGACTTTCGCCTGGCCGTTTTTTTCGTTGAAATTATGAAAAAAAATATGCACTTATACTCTAAATCAGACAATAATTATAATGCAATGGAATGCTGTTCCCCCGAACACTAAGAACAAGCTTACATCATCTTTGTTCTTTGACGAATTTTGCTCTTTACTTGAATCAGTTAGTGTAAATTGCTCTAATTTACTTATTGTTGGGGATTTCAATTTCCATGTGGATAACGTCAATGATAGAGATGCTGCATTATTCCTAAACCTGTCTCTTATACACATCTAGATGTGTATAAGAGACAGATAATATACTGTATACTGCCAATCTGCAGTGTTATTAATGATTATTTATAAATAATTATATTTTAATGATTTTCTGACTACTGCAAGCATTAAAAAAGCTAACTAAGGCAGTTACAGCTCCAACTGATTTATATTTACCTATACTCTACCCAGCTTTAAAAACTCACCTTTTTAACTTGTATTTTTCTTAATTTTTTTCCCCCGAATTTTATTTTTACTGTTAAGCGCATTGAGGCTTTAGCATAATGCGCTATATAAGCTAAAATTATTATTATTATTATAATGGTAATTTCATTTTATTTATTTATTCAACAGTGACCACCAATGTATTTTACAAACCAATTTTGGTTAGGGGGAAGCTTAAGCAAATGTTTACTACATCCCATTGAGAGTTAGCTGCCCACACCCCCCGCCCCCACTCCTGGCTGCCCCATTAATAAACAATAACATAAAACACACCAGATACTTGTAGTGTACAATATAAATAGGCCTATCGTATATCTAACGTTATTGATGATGCCGATTATGATGATGTGTTCCATGAATTTGACAGGGGGGGGGGGGCCAGGCTACCCAATTGGCCACCTAAAGCTAGTCCAGGTCCCGGAATAAAATCCCTGTTGTGGGTCACCTTTCTTCTATTTCCACTAAATAATGTTATGTTATATCATATTAAACACCCAGATACTTTAAAGAAGTTGATGATTGATATTCATGTCCTTGGTATGTTTTATATTCTTCCAACAACATAATTAGGGCAACAGTTGGTGCGTAGACCATGGTTAGACTCTGCATGTCCTGGCCTTGAGCGCTTACGCAAATTTGGGGCTAAGAACACAGCATTATTATTTATAACTGGTATCGCTAGCCGCTTGTGGGATATGTAGTTAACATTCAAGATGGTGATGATAAATAATGATGCAGGTTTTTGACGAAGTATGATAATAATAATAATAATAATAATAATAATAATAATAATAATAATAATAATAATAATAATAATAATAATAATAATAATAATAATAACGGTTGATTAGTGACAATGTATTACCGTAATAATAAATGTAGACACCATAATAATAATTTTAGTTTCCGTTTTTTCTTTTTTTTTTTTTTTTATCTGTCTGCAGTTAAACGGTTCATGGTATAGCAGCAGTGGCGTATCCACGGGGTTGCGAAAACAAATTGTTAAAACTCTACAACTATACAGAGAGCGTATCCTTCACACCCAGGGAATACGTAACCAGGGAAGGTACTCATGGTGCCTGAGCACCCCCCCCCCCCTTTTTTTTCAAACCTGAAATAATATTATAGTAAATTGATGGAAATTAATGGCATAGTAAAGTAAGTTACTTCAGACGTTAGCAATCAACTTTATGTTGTATTCATAGCCATCATATGCCTCCGTGCCTAAGTTGTTGTAATATTTCTACTCAGCATCCCTTTTTCAAAATCCTGGATACGCCGCTGAAACCACTTGGCAACACCCGCACCACGAACTGTATTCTATCAGTTGGTGCTTCGTTTCCCACTCCCACTCTCCGACATAAAAATTAAAAAGTACACTTCATTTATCTATCTGTAGGCTTATACATAATTTTTTCAATTTAAAAAATATAAGGGCCCAATGGAAATTAAAGGCGCAATAGAAATGGCCTAATTATTTTTACATTTAAATCTTTTCTTGGGCAGGCCCGTACGCAGCATTTTTTTTTTTTTGGGGTGTGTGCGAATTTGTGGAGAGTGGACCAAAATGACTGGGAGGGGCGCAGATTCCTGCTGGGGTCGTGTGGGCGGAGCTCCCTAGCGCTCAGACTTTTTGATAATTTGAGGTCTTAACTGATTCTGAAGATGCAATATCAACAGTATGAAACCTGGGTTTTTTTTTCAGTGACAGATGAAGGATGTAAGGGGGTGGGGGCTAGGGAGGGATTTTCACAGATGGAGGGTTCATACCACCTCAGCTCCACCATGGTTGGAGCTGAGGTAAGAAAAGTTATAGTCATGGTACCCCTAGATGGCCGGAAATGGCACTCCAAGACTCGTAAATAAATCGACGAGTAAAATATATTCCTACATATTGGACATACACATAGCCTCAGTTTAAAGCAGAATGTAAATAAAACATTGTTACATTTAAACGTAAAAGAAATACGGTAATGTAGGCCTACCACACAATGAAAACAAGGCCATATATTATTGGACATTGAAAATACTAAATTTACCATAAAGGTAAATGTTATATGAATAAATGGAATTAATGAAAATTGCGAAAACGAACGAATAATTACAAGCGCTTTACGTCGTGGATGAGGTGGGTAAACGTCAAAAATATATGAAATCGAGAATGCATAAAATAAACCTATACTGATCTTATTGGGGACAGGTAGGGAAAACAATTAATAGGCCTATATTTGTTGCTATTTTGAGGCGAATAACGCGAGCGCTTCAGGTAGGTGTGTAATCTTCGTGAAGCGCTTGCACATTCTCAACTAATTTAAAACCAATTAACAAATATATACGTACTGCTACGTTTCAACCCTAATAAATTATTCGAATTGTAATTAGAAGAGGCCAGGGAAGGACTTTCACAGATGGGAGTCGGTAACACCTCAGCCTCACCATGGTTGGGGCTGAGGTAAGCAAATTTATGATTATGACACTTTTAGATGGCTGGAAATGGCACTCCCAGACTTGAACAAGAATAAAGATGATTTTAGTGAAATCTACAAATTAGATGATTTTGTAAGCGGTGAGTCATTGACACGCAAGTGAAGGGGAAAAGCACTTAAATTCTTCAAAAGCTTATAAATACATTTAAAATTTACATTGTTTGTACGACGAATTAAAGGCAATCCTAGTTGGAAACTGCTCTGATTGGTCAAGGAGTTTTGGTGGATCGATTTCTGGAACGTGCGAGAGTGTGTCTTGAATTTTCTACCCTTGAAAATGTAGACCTTTAGTAATTTGGGTGGGTGCGTACGCACTTGTGGCATTCCCCCCCCCCCCCTTCCTGCGTACGGGCCTCTTGGGTTATCATAGGAATTAATGCCTGTTGTATATTCTTAAAGTGCCTATTTCTGTTCGCTGTTCTTGGTTTATAAAGAAATGTTTTAATTGTTGATTTTAATTCCTAAATGAAATAAAATTAAATGAATGATATCAAGATGAAATATCAGACGGGAAACAAATTTAAAACATAGTGTATTTATTGATATTCAGTTCGGAAATTTAATCTATTGATCACGTGTCTCGATCTATTAAACTATATTATTATTGAATTGATTGATCTTTTATGAAGTCTATTCCACACTTTAGTTAATAAAAAATATATATACATCATCTAAGTATATGTAAAAACCAGGTAATTTATTTTAATCGGTGGTAACATCTACATGGAATGCAGTAGATTAAACATTGAGTCACATGTTCCAATCACTCGCTATATCTCAATATTAGTATCTGTGCTCCAACATTATTGGAACATTATTTCCTCGGGTTTTGCGATTGCGACTCATCTCAGACCGTATTTCTTAAAAGTTTCAAGAATAATATGCTACAGAGGGCGGTATCCTATCTTATCAGCGTGATATTCATGTTGATCACATTTTATGGATTTTACAAATAATTAATGAGTTTATCTAATGCGACGTTTGCTTAGGTAATGGAATTCTATATCTTTATGTTACGTACGCCAACAATATCGTGTTAGTCTACCGTAATTGTTATTTTGTTTCAAATAATTGTTTAAACAAATCGAAACTTGGCGAATAATTTCATTTGATTCAATTATTCATAAAAGTCAGAGCATATTAGTGCCAATTTGTTCCTTTTCTTATTTCATCATAAATAGGTACAAAAATTACAACAAATTTAAATCATAAAATCCCTTGGTTCTTATGATGTTCACAAATCGAAAATCGATAATCAATACTCGATAAATAGATTATCGATAATGTTCAGGTCTGATCATCATTTTAAATGATTTCATGCAATATTTGTATCCGTAGGTTCCCCAGCTACCCCATGTGATAATCGCGCCATTCCTTCCCGATCCATCTCCTTGGCCTATCCATAATCCATTGGGATTAGCATGGTTGCATTCCTTGAACCAGAAACCACTTTTCCTCAAGACAGCACAATTCCCGAAGAACCAGTCGTTATCTCGATCCTGCAAAATTAACGACAGATCATTCGATATTTTGTTCACTGAATCTAATTAAGTTTATCAAAAAAATAGGCGAAATAAATATCAAAATGAAAATTAGCCTAAAATATTAAAAAAATATTAGCAAATTAATTTAAATGATTTTAAAGACATGAATAGGAACACCAAGGATTGAGGACAGTGTTGAGTTTTGAATGGTGCTCTGTTTTGCTTTATTAAAAAAGTTCAGTATATACATTAATGAAAGAAATCGGTACCGATCACACCATATACCAAATACGTTTTATTTAAATTAGTACTCAAATTGAAAGATACAAATAATATAAAAGCTTTTTTGAACGTCATTGTACATGCCTATAGAAAAAGACCGACGTAACTGGTTACATTTTATTGTACTTATAGTGCCGGCTGGAGACACATACGGTCTCTCACTGTATAGAGAACGAACGTATTGACGTAAATCCTGGACCTTTTAGGTCAAATAAAATGAAAGAAAAAGAAATAAAAACCTTCATAGGCCTATGTGAACAATGGAGGGACAGACATAGTTAGAAGAACTAAGTACACGGAATCGTAAGGGTATTTTTTGTTCAATGAAATTTAATCTAATTTTATAAATTAATTGTTAAAAACACGGGAGTCAGGGATAATAATCCGCAAATCCCAGCTACAAAATATGCAGAAGATAAAATAGAAAAAAATCTCAAGCCTCAAATGATAGCTTACAAAATCAAATCAATTAAATGCATTTTTTCAAATAAAAAAAAATCACAAAAATCCAAGACATTAATATCTTAGTGTTTTGCTGAATGCATGGACTTGTGTATTTGTGTATTGCTAATATTGCTAATATTGTTTTTTTTTCTATTATGTTTTATAAATAAGCCGTCTAATGGTTTGACGTGCACATGTCCATTTAGATATTTTATGTTAATTATACAGGTCTCCCTCCAATTAAATATCCCTCCAATTAAAGACTACCATACCCTTCTACATCCCTAAATGAATGTCTATCTGTTATATTTATAATACTTTTCAAATTAACGACCAGAGCTGCTAAAGACCATGGAAACATCGGTCCAAAAGGTTGTCCTTTGGAGAAAAACCCGTACTTGGTAATGTGCCAAAAATTCAAAAACAGTTAAAAGTTCTTGGTATAATACGATTGCGAAGGAATAGGCTATAATAACAGCCAATAGCATAGTCTAAGTAAGAACTGTTGAGTGTTTATATCCAATATATAGTCCTATGTACTTTCTATGTATTACCAGGGAGGTATTATACCTATACCTCCCTGGTATTACTATAGGAAGTATGTCAATGCCTACCTTTGTTGAAAACAACGTGTTGTTATGGTACGACATGGAATCGCCTCTGTTTCCGCCAACAAATTTTCCAAGTATCAGACGGTACATGTGATCTTCGTCCATGATGTGGAACCCGTCGTAATGAGCGAAGCCTTGCTGGCCTTCCCAGTCTTCAAATTCTATGAGTGGTTAAAATATTAATATTTTTTTTAGACTTGATATCTTGACAACGATATGATTATTAGACCAATGATTAGTCTGTAAATGCCGAGAAAATCTTCACGGATAGACACGCCTGGAACCAGTGGTGTATCTAGCGGCCCGCATCCCCATCCCTCCTCCGTTGAAAATGATCGAAGCAAAAAAAACAAAACCCTCATATCACCTTGATTTGCGAGCTAGTGCCGTACCCCCTGAATTAATCATCGATCCCCCAATTTACCTTCACCCCCATCAGTCCCCGCCCCTTTCAAGATTCAGATACGCCACTGCTTGGAAGCCGAGTTGCTACTCTTTATAACTTCCCAACCATTACTCGATTAGTTTCAATTAATGTGGTTTATGTATACACCAATTCAGTCGAAACTAAACATTATTAATGTTGATGTACTCCAGCTGTCTTTGTGTTGCTAGCATGACCTAATCAGGCTGTGGTCTGGTTTATAATGTCCCATAACATCTGACACACAGCTTGATGAAGTCATGTTGATAACATGACGTGATTTTTTTTTGGCTTTGGACATTTTCAATGGAAGCGGGTGGGGCGACGGTGTGGGGTCGATGGGGCGCGAGTGTGAGTGTGGAGAGGCACACCCCTAGATACAGTACGCAAATGCGCATTAGATACACCATGTGGGAGTAAAAATCAGTAAAAATGAAGTTGTAAACTTTCATTTCTTACCAATTCGAAGTTCGTATTTTCCGCTACTTGTCATTGCATGGATGAAGTTATTCCCGATCCAGAATTCACTATTCTTGTTCCCAAACCCTCTGGCATAATGAGACCAAGAACGGAAGAAATTCTCAGTTCCATCCTAACGCGCGTGATTTAGAGAGAAAAAAAGTTAGTTATTCAAATATAATTGTTACTTAATGGTTGCACCGTCCTGTAGTTGCATATTATTATTAATATGTAAAATCTCCCATGAAGCAAAGTATATAGAGAATGACCAAGCCCATGATTCACTCAATGCAATGATGTAGAAAAACCCTATTATTAAAATTATTTTATTATTTAAATAAAACATTGACAATAAAGAAAATAATTTAGATTATTTTTACAACAACAGGGCTTGACGAGCGAACATAGGCCTACTCCAATTAAAGCCCAATTATTGAAATGAAGGTCTTCAACGCAATCAGTAGGAACATTATCTCTTTGCCAAACGATCAGCACTAGAGCTATCTATGGCAGGAGCTACAGGAATCAAATCAGTTTTATTCTTTGTTCCCGAGCTGATATATTCATGATTTTCCATAATAATCTTGGAGTTGAATAGCCTGGTGGATAAAATACATTCAAGTGCCCGGGTCCCGGTTCAATTCATGTCAACGTTAAAGAATTTTTGATGACCTGAAACTCCAAAGCCTGATCATAATGGGACTCACTGCGCCCCCGACGGTCGTCAAGCGACGTGAGACTCATGGAGAACGCAACGCCACAAGGATGCTCACGCAACGGATCGTTTTTAATGACGATCCGTTTAGACTGTCACCGACAAGCAGCAAACGACGTCGTCGTCAAACGCTAACAAAGAGTGGAGTTGGATTCGTTGACCGACGGTCGTACGACGCAGTGAGTGCTCGGCTTTGGTTTATGCAGAGCATATTGTCTGTATTTGTCGTGTGAAAGGGATATTATGATTGGAACATGACCCTAAATAATAATGAATAAAAATATATTAGAGGGCGTAAACTTACAAATCGTCTCTGGATGACTGTCCAGCCACCATGATCCGTCGACATATCACAGTAAACCTTCATATGAGTTGATTTCTTACTGAGTTTTTCAGGTCTCTTAATGGAGTAGATACCACTCTCTGTTGTCATGTTGAAACAGGCGCATCCCCCGGTACACGGATCGTTTATATTTTGCTTGGCAAGGACTAATGCCGTTTTCTTTTCTTCTTCTTTGATTAAGTTGATCATACTTTCCTCTAGAGTAATAGCTGGTCTAATGATATCCGGAGAAAGTTCCACAGTCAAACCAACGTCGTCTGCGCTACCTTCCGTGTGACCTGGTTTGATATCGTTTTCGTTAGTGGTGATTTCGGGTGATTTCGCTTTACCTTTATTCTTGTGTGCTTCTTTACCTTTTGAATGTTGTGAAATTACTGGTGCATCCCCCCTACCTTGACCAGGATTAACTGGTTTTTTTGTAACATTCATTTCATTATTTGGACGAATAACTCTCAGATGAACAGTAGTCAATTCGCCGGGCCCCTGGACAGGTACTACGGTGCCGTTCTCCGACGTTAGATCTTCTTTCTCGGGGGTAGATTCAGTAGGCCTGCTTGGTTTTTCTGTAACACCATCTTCAGTACTGTTTACTGCAACACGTTGTGACTGAGAAAGTTCATCAGTAATTGTTTTACTACCGTTGACATCTAGAGTAGAAAATTGATTAAACTGAAATATTTTCATATACAAAACTATAATTGAACAATATAAGCTAAATGAATAATTTGGTTGGGTTGGATTTTTTTCGATGTAAAATAGACCAAAGACTTGTTTCTAGCGAGATCCTTCTCAATTGGCAGTACACCAGGAGGCACTCCTCTGCTTCTTGAAGTAAGAGTAGGGATTGGCATTCAAAATAACGTTATTTAGATAGGCAAATTATTATTTTTGGCTGGCCTGTCCGAGGGAGGCGGGAATGCCTTCCCTGACCTCTGTTCATTCATTAAAATATATTTTAAAAACACACCATTTTTTATTTCTTTCCCACATAATGTTCTAGCCTCCAAGAGGCCTTTTCACTTGCCGCTTAACATCTTAACAAGGATACCCTGTAATATGAGAATGAGATTTATTCTGATTCAAATTAAGATTCATCTTTATTCGTCATAGTAAATTTTCTTGGGTATACACAAATAACAAACAATATTCAGAAATAACATTTACACAAAAAGTTTGTTGTATTTTTTTACAGACTTTCCTAAAAATTCCTAACTGAATGGCACTATAGCAGAAATGAGTTTCTGTGTCTGTCTGTCTTTACTCTTATATGGATAATCCTGCCTGATCTACTGTGGTTATACCATGGAGATAATATATTAATTTCTATAAATTTATGAATTTTCTAAGGCGGCCCCGTCATCCAGACAATATTGCAAAAAGTATGCACCGATTGAATAACACTAAAAAAGATATAATGAGTCATTGTGTCTACCTACCTGGCTTAAAACCGAGCTCCACTTGTAATTCTTCTGCAACTCGGCCCAGCGATTCTCCGAGTGTTACAGAGCTCAGCTTTCCTGAAGAAAAAAACAACAAACGTTGATGATGATAATTTATTGTTCAGTGATGTTAGCAGTAGCGGATTCAATGGGGGCCGCAACCCCTTTAAATTTTTCTAAATTTTTTTTTTTAATGGAGAAAAGAGGAAAATTTTAACTAAATTTAGGTCTGAGAGTGCCATAATCATAAATTTTCTTACATCACCCCACCCCCTACGGTGGGGCTGAGGAGCTTAAGACTCACCATCTGTGAAAGTACCTTCCCGGGCCCCCGCTATTTCAATTCCTGGAACCGTCACTGGTTAGGATACATAATAGGCCTATGTTGCTGTGATTAGTATACTAAGGTTTGGATTGTATCGTAGAGAGGCAGAAACCAATTTAAATTTTGAATAGATTTAGAGAAGACATCAGTTTCTGCCTTATGAGACGAAACGGTTGTACTCTCAGGCCCAAAAAATAATATAAGCCTATTCCCCTACCTTTTCACACTCATTTTTTCAAATTGCCATAATGGAATTCAAATATCACTTGAAATAAGCCTATAGCACTATTATTCATGTTATTTCCTAGTCTAGGTTTCGGGGCCAGATCACTCATGGAAATGAATACCTAAAGTCTAGGTTGTGCCTTGGGCCTATTTATAGTTACAAAAATAACAAAATAATTATTTGTTGTTTATAACAAAAACAAACAGTACTGGAAAACTGAGAAGATATCTAATTAATAAGCGTATAATACTTTACTAATTTTAATAATTGGCAATTAAAATGTTTAAAAGTTTTCCAGGTCCGTATATCCAGTAAGTGGGAGTGGGGGAGGGATTCCACACTTTCATGACAGTCGAGAATGTACTAAAATATAAAATCAGTGATTTTCTATGATTTAAAAAATCTTAATTTTTACATCTGCAATCTAATCTGCCGTGATTCGGAAATTTTTGGTTTTTGGGCATTCTGTGAATGTATTTTTCATGTGAATTGATCATATACCCCAAACCATGTTTAGATAGGCCTATATTAAATTATTATAAGAGTTACGCATTATATCCATCCACCAAAAGCAAAACAAAATTGGAAGAGAGCCTTGTAGCCACCAAGCATTGAAAATTTGGCAATCAACCAATCACAGAAGATAATTATGTATATTCAATTACTTTAGTAGCTGGTGGAAGCACAATAATACCAAGTTAAGTTTTGGTCGAGGTACAAATATTGAAAGAATTGCAATATTCTTCATCATTTAAGAATAAGTTATTATATTATGACCATGACATGGGTGGCTGTTGTCATATTAATTTTAGACTGTATGTAATGTAATTAACTAAGACCAGTCAAAAAACAAACATAAAACATGTACATATGAACATTATTATTATTATTATTATTATTATTATTATTATTATTATTATTATTATTATTATTATTATTATTATTAGTTAAACTTTCCACGTCGGTACGTGCATAAAATGTAATTTCTTGTACATTGGATATAACCATAGAGAAAATAGAATTATATTTTCTCTATGATATAACATAACGTGTATAATGATAAACACTCTAAATTCTCTGTGACTATCTATGCCCCTGGTTTTTAATTTATTTATTCAAAGGGCCAAATTAATTTTAGAGTTGATTGCACGGCCCAAAGATAATCTCCTAGGCTAAGTTTTAAGCAACTTGTTTGTGGACTTAAGGTCCCTGTTGGCTGCACAGACCTTCAATTTTTTTTGGCCATTTTAAATTCTATTCTATTTTCAATTGTACTACAGCACAATGACACTAAATTCATTACAAATCCTGCAAACCAAAATATTGATTTAATACTTTGCCAAAACAAGAATTAAGACACTTCATTTTCACTATTTCTTGCTTATTGATAATCATTTATATCTTGCCTGTGTAACATTATCACAAAACAAAATTATTGGCGTCAATATTTGCCCAACGGCAGGGGAGGGGCGACGTCCCAGAACATTTGAAGGGGGTCCAGGTGCCGGGTAAATTCCCCGGAAGTTCTAACAATTTAGTGATTTTGAATGTTTTAAGGCCTTAATCGATCTTTAGAAGCCTCAAATTCTCTGAAAATTACATATGATTTTCCCTAACGAATAGGCTATGTTGAGTTCTCCTTCGAGGTATATCTCTCTGACGGGAATCCTGCCTCCGCAACCAACATCACCACTTAATTTCAATTTTCGCAAAATGAAAGGTTGTTGGGAATTGACGGTTGTATTTTAATGTTTAAAAGTGGGTTAATGTTGTCGGTGACTGGTAATAGAACTTGTCTTGTCTTTCTTTCGTGATGCAAGTGTGACGGTGTGCAAAATATCGTTTCCTGAATTGGGCTTTTTTTTCCACAAAGTAAAACCAGATAATTTTTTTCTATCACATCGACCTTGATTCTTATGTTTGCTTCTCACGGAGGACCTCCACGTTAAGCCGGGAACTCACTGCGAGCGAAGGTCGTCGGCCGACGCAGTTCTATAAAGAACGCAACGTGACAACGCACGCACAACTGACGGCGATTTTAATGACGATCCGTTCAGACGACCACTGACAATCAGCAGGCGGCGTTGTGTGGTCTAGCGCTCACAGGGAGCGAAGTTGGATTCGTCGTGCGACGGTCGTAACGACCGTCGTACGACGCAGTGAGCGCCCGGTTTTACGGCTGCTAAATATAGTTACCTGCTCGGGCGTCCATACTCCCTGGTAAGACTACTGTAGATTTTTACGATAAAACTTTTTTCATTGTGTTTTGGCCATCACTTTATTGAAAAAAAAAAATATTCATCGAATAGTTAGTACTTTCAGTTTCTTTAAATATTTTTTTTTGTAATTTTATTTTTTTTTATCGCGGCCAGAATAATTTGCTTCGCGAGTCAAATTTGGCCCGCGGGATGCCTGATAAGAAAACCAGACTGAGAGATCTAGGCCTATGCTAAACTTCCTTATGTTGTGGTCATATTAGACTAATTTCTAGGAATTTGGATAATATGTGATTAATGATCAATCAACATTATCTGTACTATTAATGATAAACATTTTAAGAGTGGCCATCCTTGAATTAAGGAAATATAAATTTGTACAGGTCTTGAAGCTACGTGACAAAATGTTCTAAGTTTAGAAGTTTGGTATTTAAAAGACAGGTATTATTCATGGTTAATTTTAAATACACTGATTACTTAGGCTACATTGTATAAATTACTATCTAAACTAAAAAATAATAATAGTTTGCTCTATAGCAGTAGTGGTACACACTGATAGTACTTAATTTACATTTTAAAGTGCATGTTTTAGGGGAAAAGCTGTACTGAGGTCAGACACACTTTAAAAATCTTTTAGAAATGCTAATGCAATACGGTAGTATTTATTTTTTTAAAACCCTTTATTTAAAATGTAAAGTAGATTGTACTAAAGTTGTATAAACCGTTGTGGATGTATGCTGATTATTTTCTTTGTTTGCACCAACCGTATAATCACATGTGTACGCATGATTGACTCCGGGGTTTTCTGTTCGACAATCTTTATTTTAAACTCATTTAAAACTAATTTGAAAACTTTTTTGTTTACAAAATCGCTTTAATTGGGTTAATTGTTCACTGCGCCTTTGATAATATTTTTTGAATTGGCGCGTTATAAATTTCTGCATATTATTATTATTATTATTATTAAATTCACGACTAAAAAGGCTCGAACCCCGACCTCAAGGTTGATAGCCCGAATATCGTATCCTTTGCACGCACTATAATCGCTCTCACAAATAACTTAACTCCACATCAAGTCCGATGTCAACACCCTCGTAACTTTTGAATACATTCAAATTTATTTTCAAAAGTAGGTCACGTTACCGTTTTAAGTGTCACGAACGTTGTACTATACAAAAAAGCTTTTAAAAACATTTTCAAGGTAATTACCGTGTCTGCACGCACGATTTGTTTGATATTTAAACGTACAAATGTTATTGTTTAGTACTTTGTTTCTTATCGTAGGGTGATCAGTTTAAATATGTTTTCAACAACCTTTATGAGTACATTTTAGATCTGCTTCTCTGTAAGTAGAAGGATTAATTCGTGTTCAATTGTTGTTACCATGTTTTTGACCTTTCCACATAACAAATTTATTTCAAAGGTTTCCTCAGCCAGATAGTCCTATTTACATAAAATACCGCTTTTGGTGTCACAGTACGGTGCACTACAAAAATGCTGTTTAAAAAAATTGTGCAGTGGAAACGGAACGAAACGAAAAACAGGCTTTAATTTCCGTTATCATTTGACTTATCTTTCAAAAAACAAGCATTCTACCTATATAGGAATATTTTTTTTTTTGGCATCGTTGGGAATTGCGAAAATACTCCAATATTCATGACTGCAAGGATGTTTTTTGTTCAGTTGTCACAATTTTAAAAATTCTCCCTTCCGTGTACAATAACCTGCTTTTCTGCGAAGAGGACGATTTGGTGTTCAAATATTGTCACAATTTTCTCCAAAGTTTTTCTATTATTATTGAATATTATGTACCGGTTCTGCTGATGGTGGTGATAATGATGTTAATGATAACGATCATAATGTTCATAATGATAATAACAATAGGCATAATAATAATAATAGGCCTCGTTAATAGGCCTAATAATAATAATAATAATAATAATAATAATAATAGCAATAATAATAATAATAATAATAATAATAATAATAATAATAATAATAATAATAACTATAAAGATAATTAATTAACAAAATTCCACTCTACCTATATTGAAAACATATGTTGTGTTGGAAATGATAATAATTGTTGATTACCAGGAGCTTGATAATGAAGGTGATGATAATAATAATAATGATAATAAAAATGTTTATAATGATAAAGATGATGATAATAATAATAATATGGTAGCCTAATCGAGGATGGAGAATCTTGAATACTCACCAAGAACCTTCTCGAACCGAAGCGTTAAGATATCTAGTTGATCTTGTAGAACTTGTAGTTGATCATGGCACTCACATTTTGACTGAAATTATAATTTAAAACTTATTGAAAGTATCAAAACAATGAAGAAAAGTTGGTCCTTGGCCCGGGGCTGTGAGCTCCCGGTGCTCCCATTGCGAAGGTGTTAGGCCCCATGGGCTGAGTAACTGAGAATTCTTCTAAAATGGATGACATTTTTATCACACTTTTTTATCTAATTTTTTCATTCAAATGGACGGGTTACAAAACATCCCCCTCCCCCGCTAGGCACATGTAACTAGGTAGCTAGTGAGGGCGGTTTATCACAGTCGGATAAACTGGTGGTCCACTGTGTGTGCGCTCATGAACCCTGGGGATCTCCTAGTCCTGGTTCAATTCCCATCGTTGTTCTTGTATTTCAACTGGACGGCTGAAATGCAAGTTACGATAACGCCCCGTCTTTCGTATGAGACGTTTTAAGCCGTTGATCCCGTGTGCATTATGGCCCATGTGCACGTTAAAGAACGAAGTACACTTTTCGGAAAAGAAAATGGATTGTCTCCTGGTATACTGCCCAATCACCACCAGAAGGTCACACTAGAAGCAAGACTTCCTCAGACTCTCGTGGGTTTTCCTTGGCGTTTACACCTATTTAGTTCAATCCAATCCAACCTTATTCCCAATACAATAATATACGCCTATATATTCACTTCACTAACTCCTACTAAAAAAAAAATTTAAAAAATAGATTTACAGTATAATATAACAACTCCATGGACTGAGTAATATTCATAAAGAAGCCAAGAAATTTCCAGATGGATAAGATGCAGTGTCTTACTAGAGATCGATAGCGAGATTTGGTAGAACACGGGATGTAAAGACAACACATTAACATGATGTGTTTTTCTGTTTGACCTATTATACTAATAAGCTCATTTTATTTGATTAAGCCATTACTGGTGAATGATAGTTGGCCATCTTAATAGGCGCGAGGTCTATTCCATGTTTGTGTTATTCATGTCATTAATAATTTTGTAACCATGGCATGCACTTTATTTCATTATTGTACTGATCAATAGCAAAACTCTCCCCGGCCGGACACCAAACCGGTATCGTTTCTGAAAGGGTCACTGATTAATCTCAGATAAGAAAGTATAATACATACTCCAAGTATTGAAATACACGCCATCGTGTTGGGATTCAATATTTAGACATTAATTATGTCATCATCAGGAATGATGATGACATAATTAATGTCGAAATATTGAATCCCAACACGATGGCGTGTATTTTAATACTTGGAGTATGTATTATACTTTCTTATCGGTATCGTTTCTATGTCTCGGTTCTAGTGTTGGAAAGTATCTTCAATGTGAACATTAATTATTTCTCCTATCTATATAAGAGGATTTTTTTTTTGGAATACATTATGTTAATCAATACGCATTAGGCCTACATGTCACGTGCATATATGACTGACAAGTATACTGGAATGGTGTTCTGTCTGATTGATGAGCATAGCGATTTGTATTAATCGATATGGGCCTACAATCGAAGGTATGGTCCAAGACAGACCATGAGTCGACCCAGCCAGGCGACAGATTCGTCAAGCTTTGGTCACAGCTGGATCGAAACACATCAGCTTAAGTCTAACACGCACAACATCGTTTTATAATACATTCAGTTATCAAAACACGAACTTCTGTATCTAACAATTGGAACATTTAGGTTACCAGAATTTTCTCCTGACCAAAGGTCATCCAAAATCTCTACATCGTCAACGAAATGTGTAACATATTTTTCGATATTTTTTGATAGATATATAGACCGTCTCAACTTATACTTTGTGGACCTAAAGTAAAACTCTGAGATGCTGTGGCCGAAGCCCCCTGTTGGCCGCACAGATTTTTTTGGCAATTTCAAATTCTATTCTATTTTCAATTGTACTACAGCACAATATTAGGACACTAAATTCATTACAATTCTATATAATACACATAGGCCTATAACACACGTACACATCAAAAGGAAGAAGGCCTATTATAACCGTAACAAGAGAGGCTAACATCAGTTAAGTACCAGAGACAGATATCTCGACTGAGTGTAAACATTGAATTACCGTAGAGTAGCGGAAGAATTCTAAACTGTGAGGATAGGCAATAGGAATAAATGTTTGGGAGGCAATCTGATAAATTTTCAATGAAATACTTAGCACATGCATGGAAAGTAAAACTGGAACTCGTCACTCCTTTTTTTTTTGTGGAGGATACATAATTATGCTACATATGATTCCATGAACATGGAGGTATAAATTAAATATTTATATTATACCTCCATGCCAAAGTGTTCATGTTGTTTATACTATTCATTACAAAGCACAGCAGGGATATAGGCCTCTACTCACTGAGTTATTCGATATCTCGCATGTTTTATTCACATTTTCCCCGAATAATTTCTATAATTAACAATAAATATATCCCATCCGAATATAGACCTAAGCTCGCCTGCGACGCCAATGTGTTATCCCAATCGGAATTCATAGTTAACGGTTTGAATTAACAACCCCGGCCTTTGACGGAACATTTTAGTAAACATAATAATAAGCTCTACCAGTTGTTAACTGACGGATTACAGTTGATACAATTTATGGTTGACGGCTGCCCATGTCGTGTTTCAATGTGCGCGTTTCAACATATTATTTATATCTATTTCTAATTGTATTAAGTAGGCCTATATTTTTGAAAATGATAATAATGAACTTAGTAGTGAGGAAAACGATGATGGGGAGAATGTTGATGATATTGATGATGTTGATAATGATGATGATGATGATGATGATGATTATAATGATGATTATGTTGATGATGATAATGACAATGATGATATGATAATGATAATGATGATGACGATGATAATGATGATGGTAATGATGATAATGCTGACGATAACATTTGAGTGAAAAAAGTTATGATTAATAATAACGAAACTAATAATAATTATGATAAACTGACATAATAATAAAATAATAATATCAATAAATAATAATAATAATAATGATTAATATAATAATAGTAAATGATGACAATAAAATAATAAAATATTTTGTAAAAAATGTTTTATGACGATAAAGGTAACAATTTTTATAATAGGTCTATTTAAAAAAATCTAAAACAGTTATAACGATACATATTTCATGCGTACTGAATACTGTTGTTGCTATTGTTGTATTTAACAAGCTTTATTTTGTCACTAGACACATGGAGCTGTTACACTCTCCGTTTCTTTACACCTGAAGCACCTGTGCAAATGATTTCCGTTTGACAAAGTGCTAAAATTGTTTATTTATGAGGTGATTGAAAATGTCATAATTTTTCCTGGGGCGACCGGTTAAAACAATCTATGGTTCATAGACAGACACGCGTGCGGTATTATTGTCAGGTAGTCGGGACATCGACATGGGTAGGCCTAGGCCTATATATAAAAGATAAAAACATGAATAGCCTATGTCTATTTTGTAGTTCCGTTTCTTTTGGGTACCAAGTGATTAAAGGAAAAAGTGAATGAATGAATAAATAAATAAATAAATTAATTAATTAATGAAAAAATGAATGAACGAACGAACGAATTAATGGAGAGGTGAATGTAGTGGAAAAAGGATAATTTTCGCAATTCAAATCCGAAACTGGTTACCGGTAGTCATTCCCTAGGATTTCAATTTTTCCTAAACGATTATTACACATCTTCCTACATATTTAGACCAATTACCAATTTAAGAACTCAAAAGAATTGCTTGGTGGATCTCCTCGATATCCAAGTGTACAGGCACCCTGCTACGAATGTCGTAGCTTCTGGTAGACCAGCTAACTTTATCTGAAAATAAATTACTTCAATTCCCTCAATAAAACCTGTTGCTAACTAGTTTCTCACCATCCTATCTGTAGGCTAGGCCCACATGCTTTTCATAATGGATAACTTACCTCTTTCTTTCTGTCAGGGACCTTGAGAATGTACGTAAAAGTCCCCTTATCTTCGTCAAATTCGGATTGTATGTGAGGATCATTGCCGGTTTCGTGCGCATCGCCACGCGTTAAAAAAGTGGCAACGGTGACAACAAGAAAGAGAGTCCACTTTAACATATCTGTGCAGATTTGTATAACAATATTTATCCCGTTTAAAAAAGAGTCGTTACGCTCTGGCGATGAACGAAACACGGTGGTGAAATTATGACAGTGAGATAGCGGACGCTCCTCTTCAATTGAGTACCGACTTGTTTCTGATATATAGAAAACAGTTTTCTCGTTAAGAATTCAGCATCTCAATGGGGACACTGATGCGAGTAGGAGGAGCGATCCCATTCATCAGCGGTGTAACAGTATGTAGGTCTACTACTATAAAGGCCTAAAAGTGTCCACAGAGCGGTGACAGGTCTTGTTGGTATGCACGGTCTAATTTGAAGCATTGTGTGACGTAATCATAGATACTGTTAAGAATGATTCGATTGTAGGCCTACTGATTGGTAGTTTTAATGCATCAACCAATGACATTTTTTGGTATGTTTTAAGTATCCGACTTCGAGTTTACCACATTGTGTTACGAGCGTGCGATACTGTAGCTATACTTTTGGTGAAATAATAAACACAGGGTTCACTTATTATTAATGCGCTGTCGAAATCGAAACACTCTCTACATGCTCATGAAGATAATTCACGCGGCTCTGTAGGATAAAATTAATATTCCAAGGTTAGACCTACAGTTAAAAATATTTAATTTGGAAAGCTTATGGAAGGCATTATTTGTTAGGCTTTAAAAGTGATAGAATGATGTGTGAATATCTTCAGATTCTTCATTGCAATGAAACGAATAATACAAACAAGTCTATCATGTCTACATCTCAAACATTCAGAGCAAAGTGGAGCTGTTGCTTGGTGATTAAAGATGCTCGCCTGCGACAAGTCTTTTTTCTCACGACTAAAGCCCGGTTTCCATAAAATCGCTACACGCCATCGCCAGTACTTTCGGCAACGCTGATTGGTCGGTCGAATCGAGAAGCCTTCCCGATTGCGTCGGGACAGCTACCGTACGCAGTGAAAACACTGTAGCAACAGTGTAATGATTTTATGGAAATATTGCATTAAAAAAGCTCTACTCCCAAGCCTTATTAAGAGACTTAATTTACAGTGCATCACTTCCATCATTTAAGTGTTGAAATGCTCGCAGTTAGATAAGAATGAAATAAAGAATAAAACATATTAGGATTGATTTGGATTGAATTGCGGTCTTTTGTCAGTTTTGTAACGTCTACTGTATTATAATTTCACCTTGACTCCTTTTATGTGACGTCCTTATGTATCCGAACATCAAACAATTTAATATATAAGGGTTTTATGTAATTACCGGCTATGGCAACATTTGTGTCAGTTGCGCTTATTGGAATATACGAACCGTATGTCGATCACAGGAGATCTGTCAGATTTCATGTTGTCTCAATTGTTTGCAGGTGGTTTCAGATAGCCGACTATAATTATCTTGGTAACCAACGCCAGCATTAATCGGATCCTAACTTTATTGATGTTTTAACTAGGGCAGACAAGTAATCCGCAGAGGAGCGTCTTTTGTATAAAGCTGGTATAAAATTTCGAATGCTAACTCCGTGGATACAATGTCCAAGGTGACTCACAAGAAGCAGATGAGACCTATAGAAAATAAGACAGATCAGCACGGGAAACCTACTTGGAACCAGTAACGTAGAAGTTACATTAAGAAGGCGACTAAAAATCATAGCCGTGCGTAGGCTACATCGTAGTACTGCGCCAATTTGGGAGTTTTCGCAACCTTACGAAAACGATAACGAATGCGTCATATTTATTATCGTCATTTGTACCTAAAACATTTTTGAAAATACATATATAATATTAGAAGTAGGCCTAAAGTTATGATCGCTTTTTACCAACAATGATGAAAGGACCTAATTATCGGCGTATATGTCTACAAAAGAATAATACAGATCTCCCTCTAATTAAAGACCCCTCCAATGAAAGACCACTTTTCTCTGGTCCGATATTAACAAATCCGTATCTTTATTATTCTAATTAGAGACTAAAGCTGCTAAAGACCACGGTCCCGAAAGTGGTCGTTAATTGGGGGGAGACCTGTATTATAATGTCCTAGTTTATTATTATAAATGACATATCATACGTCGGTTAATTATTACAGTATTTGTAATATTTATTTATAAATACAATACAATCGTTGGGTTGGACCCCTGTTCGGTTACATGAAATGGCTGATTAAAAAATGGAATACCAAGCCTGCGTAAAATCATTTCATTCACGTTGTAAATCCTAGTCAGAATCTTTTGGGATCAAATACTAAAAGTTTGTCAGTAACTGAAGCATTATTCCGGTAGGCCTACTCAATCATGAAACAATGTCATGTTTCGTCGAAACATTTATTTAAATGTAATTACTAGCCATAGACCAATTCGTCACAAGCGAATAGTTCCGTATTATATACCGCATGCATAGACGCTAGGCATCTGATTGGTTATGAATCGTGCAATAAAAAGTATTATACCGCATACATAGATTCTAGGCATCTGATTGGTTAAAAAGCGGGCAATAAAAAGTACTACATAGATTCTAGGCATCGGATTGCTTAAGAACCGGGCAATAAAAAGTACTATCACACTAAATGACCCTAGGATGTAAGCGTAGGCCTACTTGGTGTGTACTGTTTTCATACGTTTATAATAATAGGCCTATGCTTACACACCACGAGCGAACGACCACATTTTGTATCAGAGAATTACAGGTACTTAACTTAATTATGAAACAATTGTTTTTGAAATTGGTCGTCAAGGCAATGTCTCTCGTACACATTTTTCGGCTTGCACTGTAATGGCGAATATCATTCATTTCAAGTTTTTAAAATATCTATATCAAAAATGCATAGGGGAATGAGAAACAGACAAAATTTTGAAAAAAATTTCGATAATGCAAAGTAGAAAAACCGTGACAAAAATAAAAAATGTTTTATAACATTAAGGCATCATTAAGTTTTTTTGATGTTGAAAAAAATGTGGACACTTCACAACACTTATTTGACAGTCAAAAGTTTGTTATAATAAATTTTGAAAAAAAGTAGCAGAATGGGGCGTTAGTTTTCAGGAATTTTTACGAACTTTGTTCCATACAGGAATCAGTAAACTAATTCCTCCATGATTATACATGACTCATGCAAGACACGTGACGAACTTCGACTCGATGTTTTACGCATGGCAAAGGAAAATTACCTGTAAACAATTCCACTCAATACCTCCTTTGTGAACTTCCATCTATGAAAAGCAAACTATTTCAATAATCTTCGCTCAATGTTTCATGCGTGCAACAGAAAAATTATATGCATTTGCAATGAAAAACATAAAAATGAATTGTTTATTAAGTAAAAACAATATTTCAACAATTCTCTTTCAATGTTGCATGCAACAGAAAAGATAACACTCATTTTCATTTTTTCTTATACAATGCAATATTTTTGTTTCATGTGTGGAACCCAAACAGGTAAAATGAATTGTTTATCCAATAAAAATTGGCATCGTAGTAATTAGTGTTTACACTAAATATATTTTAAAAACTGCGTTATAATTTTAGACCACATTTAAAAATTCTTTAAGACATTTGTCTTTGAGTAAATACATAAATAACGTAATAGAATATAAGTTATATTTCAATGAACCTAACTTATTAGTGTTGATATTGCACCACACATATTTTGTTTCCAAACCCATCCACTAAATCAGACCACAACTATCAACAGGGGAATCATAAAAGTTTTGACTGAATAGTACATATATATTCTAATAATCTTAATCTTAAAATAGATACTAAAAAATAAACTTGGAATGTGGCTCATTATTTGTTAACATATATTTTTTTTAAACGTTGCGAATAAAATAATAATACGTTGAAGCATACTTAAAAAAACTTTTTTTTTAACAATTACGTCAAAACGTAAAATTGGTTGTGCATGAAGTCAGACTTAAATCAAAACATGGAGAAAAGATTTGTGGAAAGTTCCATTAATGACAAGGGATATGACTATAATTAGTGACTATAATATTCATTTAATTTTTGTATTCATTCTCACCCAGCATTGAGTGACTCGAAAATTATTTTCTATAAACCAATTCTCTTTATGAGGTTTAGTGAGTGGAATTGATTTTAATGGTTTTAAAAGGATTTGAACCCAGGACCCTGGGAATACAAGTAAAGTATTTTAACCACCAAGCTACAACCAGCTCCTCCATAATATATATTCAGCTTGAAACATTCAGCTATCACAACATCCATAATTAATTACATTTATTTTTAGCCTATTTTACATTATGTGCAATACAATAATACTGTAAAATATATCTTAATTTTATCTGGCACCTAGAATATATGGTACTTACAAATATATTCAAATATACACCATATTTCTAATACAGCACTATTTTGCTACATTAGAATTCATACACAAAAATGTAGGCTACATGAAAATGTATATAAAATATATCTAAATTAAAAATACTGTACTTATATAAATTGGCACCAAAATATATGGCAATGTATATTTAGCACTCAGGCATATATATCACCCATCATATATGTCATTGCAAATATGGCATTAAAATACTTTACATAGGCCTATATGGAACTCATTCATATATGGCACTCTAGCATACATTGTATTTGCGCGCAAATTAGTTCAATAAGCGAGTTTAATTAAAACACTAAAAATGACCATTAAGTTTTCATTGGAATAAGGATTCTCAAATTTCGTACCCCCTCCCTAGTTCCGCTTTATCAATTTTCACACACCCCCCCCCTCCAGGATGAAACAAGCCTAGTACGCCTCTGAAACCAGTGTTGTAGCTAGGACCAATATGTCCTGGCTAATTCGCTGTGTGTAACACAGGGAATCCAGTCTCCCTTACACTAGACAAGCAATCTTGCAGTCCTCAACTAACCCATCTCCCATAATTACGAATGTTAGTATGTTTTTACAACTGCATTATTATTTGCCTCCATGAAAGCAGGTAGTTAGTTAAAGGAAAGCATGTTAGACCAGACCTCCCTGAAATGGCTTTCACAACTTGGGATCCCTGCAGCTCTATCTAGGTGTATCGTACCTCTAGCTAAACCTCTAGGCACAAAGCACAATACCTATGCTTGTGATAATATTTATATCAGATTGGCAATAATTGTTTTACAAACAGTACCTTGGGCATGGAGTGTACAGTATTTGTATGTTTCTAATGCAAGTGACCTATCTCAACATTTAAGCAATTGTATACGTATTATGTGCAGGTCAGTGTTAATTTTCACTCAATCACAGTTGCCAAACGCTAGTGCCGTTCAAAACACAACTGGTGTGGGCAGGGGTGCTACTGTTCAATGCTGTATACCACCTCATCATATGACATTACTGTATACATATATATATATGCCACCAACATTTTACCTCAACATATACTGTATGGCACTAATTCTCAAGGGTATATATGGACCTGCCGACACAATTTTTTTTGCAGAACGCAATGACATGAAAAAAAAAAATGGAAAGTTTTTAATGACGATCAGTTCAGACTACCCCCTATAATCAGCAGACAGCGTCACTCAATCTAGCGCTCACAGATAAAGGAGTCGTGGTCATCGTACGGTGAAGTGGGTGTCCGGCTTAAGGCACCCTGAAATATATCATAGGCACACTGGCATTGCACCGGGAGCGCTAACACTATTAATTTCATGGCATTGACAATAATCAATTTTCCACCATCTTTCTTATACTATTCAAGTCCTAAGTCTGTGTCCAGCTCCTGTTCATACAGCTTATTCTTAAACAGGAACACCCTAGCATCTTGCACCCCTTTCTGATAGTACTTCTCCAAGACAGATCGGTGTGGTGGAAAAAGAGCCTGCACACCACGCACAACATTCTGTGCACTGAATTTAAAACTATGTCCAAAGATATCATAGCTCAGGTCAAACCAGGTTTCATCTCGAGGGCAGATCTGCTGTTTTGTGCCACAGAATGGTGACACAAAGATTGTTTTTCCTGATGGCATTGCAGGTTGGTTCCAGGACATCCCACCATCCATACATTTCTGTGGGGAAAAAGAAAAAAATATGACAATCTTAACTCATTATACACAAAATCACTTTATTTCTTTTGGTTAGTGATGAAACCATTTAATTTATGGAGGGTCATATTTGACATACAAGATTTAACATGGAATGGAGCCATTTCGACCCAAAGTATGGTGTACTGACAGCAGTGTAATAACGTTAATAAAAAAGCTGTCAGTACACCATACTTAGGGTCGAAATGGCTCCATTCTTTATGTTAAATGTACACTTTTTTTCTCATAAAGGAAAAAACATACAAAACCCTAAGTTGTGTCTGATTAGGAGAAGACAGCGCAAGGAACAGGGACACCAGGCCGAAGACACAGGTATGAATCAGGGACACTGGCATAAAGGCCTGGCTGATGCAATTCAACCAATGCAAGAAAAGGCATGTTAAGAGGCCAAGAAGAGAAACCAGTGAAGCAGCGGTAGTGCCAGAAATTTGCCAACAAGGGGTCCAACATGTCCAACGGAAAGGTCCCAACCAAGGGACCGATTAGAACCTCGGTCGATGGCCCGGAATAAAAAATCCCCAATAGATTTCACGGGGAGAACAAATCCCCCCACCCCCGCTGGCACCACCATTGCAGTCAAGTAGCAAGGGTGACGTAAACTCAAAGATAATAATAAAGAAACTGTTACTGCGCCAATTCAAAAATGATCAAAGCTGGCTAGTGAAGAATAAACCAGAAAAAAAAAGCAATAGAAAACAAGAAAGTTTTGAGATTCTTTTTGAATGGAACTAAATTTGTGGACTATCTAACAGAAGTGGAAAGTGATTCCAGAGTTATTTCCTATTGCTGATCAATTGTAAATAAATAATTTTACGTTTCTCTTCCAGTGACACCCTCCCGACCATTGTCTTTAAGAGAGAACGGTCTAATCCCTTTACCAACTAGTAGAGCATCCGATCAAATTAAGTTCCATTATTGCTTATAAATTTGGCAGTACAACTGTAGAGACAATCTTATGCTCTTTTCCATGTACTGATATATATTTAACATCTATGTACACCCCGTTATACATGTGACAAATGTGTTAATGTTCCTTCTAAAAGAAAGCGCATTAATCATATTACATGGGAAGCAGCTTGATGTAATAGAAACAGAGATGCAGAAATCTTGATGGTTCAGTGCACACACAGTGGCTACTACCAGTTTCAACCAACTGGGCTTGACTGCTGATCTCTGCGGACTTGCAATTCTGAGTTTTTGCTGTTGCGCTTGCTACTCTCATTTCAAAGCTGGTATTAAGGCCAACATTGGTATCAAGGGTGTGGCTGTTACTACCATCCAATCTAAGCTTCGTAGGTAGGTAGCAGTTTAATTGACAGCTGACAAATACACATAATTATGTGCGTTCTCATAGGTAGCAGGTGGGCAGATGTCATAATTGTACCTTATTATGATTACATCATATTGATTACACTACAGTTGATTTGAGGATGGTTACAACTATAATACAGTAGTTACAGTCAAAATATTTTCAGATCTCCTTCAACACATCATATGTCTATTATTCCCAAAAACCAGAACATGATAAATCAGGAGTAAGTATGGAATATAATATATTTATTTCTCATATTTAGCTTTAATATTTTAATATTCTAATATTTTGTGTTTAAACATACTTTAATAATTTTTTATCTATGACAATTAAGTATTCTCAATTCTTGACAAAAATAAATTTGATGCCAACGTTTTTCATTTAACACTGAGGGCCACATCTAAACTTCCGATTTGTTAAATGTCAAAACAATATTAATGACTACCTTATAATATTTAATCAGATTCACAATACATAGATAGAGAAAATACTGTAGCATGATATTGGAAGCAAATTAAATATTATTTAATATGGAAAAACAAGATCAATTCCTTAAAAAAAAACAAAAACAAAAAACTTTCTTTAATTTTAGGGAGAAAAAAATGAGTGCATTGTGAAACTTAAAAACCAAATGAGGAGCAAACTTAGTGAAGTTTTATAAAATGTGTTTGGTGAACCATGGAGGTATAAAATATGTTATACCTCCATGGGCGAACAGGTGTCAGACAGTGATAGGCATAAAACACTATTGTGAAGTTCCAGACATTGACTGGTAGCATCCTGATTTATCAAGAATTCTAAAATCAAGAGAAACCCATCGATGTCCAGTCACACTTTACTGTCACTTGTGCTATAATTACTGTTTCTGAATCTTCAAAGGTCGTAGGCCTAAGAGTTGTCTGTGAGACACCGATGAAGACAAGAGGTTTAATGGCCACTGACAGTGCCCGACTACCCATCGGATATCGCATTTCCCACAGGCCTAGCTGGATGTGGAATTCCTGACAGTTTTTCCACTAAAACTTTCACAATCTGATCATCTCCTGTCAGATGTAATATTTTGAAAGCTTCTCAAAGATCATCTCTTTATATAACAATAATTTTGAATGGGGAAGTGAAAAGCATTGAGACAGACTATACATTAAAATAATATATTCCTCATTTTATATTCTTTTACACTATTTTTATATTTTTATATACTTATTTATCTTTTTCAGATATGAAAAAAAAGCTTTCATTGGTTCAAAACTCTTGTTGTTGAAATGATCCACGGTTGAAAAAGACCAATAAATTATTTTGTATAACAAAGCAAAGTGTTGGCTTAGTATCAAATATCAAAATTAATATTTCCCCCCAAAAAAAAAAAAAAAATATAAAGAAATATTAAATTTTCAATAATAATTAAATTTAAAGCAAGCTTTAAGTGTCTTTGCAAAGAATACATTGACTTTTATTTATTTGTGTAACTGTTAATTAGCAAGAAAGATTAGTTGACTATTTCAGACTTCATATCCATAATTTCATTCAGTTTCTGAGGTGGTACTGAAAATACTCTACTTAAAATACATCTCTCATGTTCGAAAGTCATAGTTTATGGCATGTTCACACTTAAACAACTTGTGCTCCTGCCTGTAAATGAACTATTTGTCGAACGACTGGCTGTCACGCAGAACATAGCTTCATTTAAACCTATAAGTACTCATAGAATGTACAGTAGAACGTGCACAAGCGCTAATTAGATGACACAAGACAGCTGATTTGACTTGATGCATTTCCATTCAACAATATCTGAAATGTCTCGCTTGCATTCCAATAGTGCATAAATCAATCCTCTACATTTGATAATGTAACCGGTATTATTGCTTAATAATTTTAATTGAATGCAAGTTGTTACGTGCGTCACGGCTAACAGGTGTTCAGGGTCGTTGTAGTCTGCATGAAAGGGTCACTGTTTGACATATTCACTGAGCATTCATTGCAAGCGGTTCTCAACGAGCAGAGATACAGATGCCTAAGATAAGAGCTGTTTGTTTAACATTAATCAAATCGACCTTGCCAATACAGTAACTCACTTTATGTTTGTTTCAATTGCACGTTTTTGATTTTATTTTTCTTTCAACATGTAAAATGATGGAACAACAGATACTATTGCTTGTATAATTCTTTTGTTACGTCATACATATCACAATGATGCTAGTCCCTCTATCCATTTAGTGTATTTTTTCTTATAATTCTCTATCAGTATCGTTAATTTTTAATTATTAATATCACAGTATTTTACTTAAATGTTTTTTTTTTACATTTAACATCTGCTGGATATTCAATATACTGTACCAAGAACCCCTTCTAAATATTCAATTAAAATATTATTTTTTACCATTTTCCTTATTTTTAAAGGAAATAGCATTGGCAATTTAAAAGGATGAATGACAATAAGTTAACTGTATAAAAGTTTTCCTTTACTTACAAATATTTTAGTACACTAAAATATTTAAATTGATTACCAGCCAAATTAAGGTATGCAAATAATAGATAGTACATCTTAATATCTGATCCAAATGATCAGCTTTGCTGGATATGCAACACTCTTTAAATATGGTTTGAAATAAACAAATAAAAAATAAGCAGAAACATTATAAATAGCTCTGTTAAATTTGGGAGGAAAATCTCATTATTAAATTGATAGCTAATATTCAACATAAATATACAAAACAATTTAACTAAATTCAAATTTATTGTTTAACCTTTCAAGGGAGCAATGTACTATTAGGCCTACATATTAGTACAAAATGATAAAATATGTCACTACTTCGATAAATAGAAAACCATATTCCTGGATTCCAGCATATCATGTGATTCGCTACCCCGAGGCATCTACAAATTTAACTATAAATTAATTGTCGTTCACAAAGATAACTCTTGTGCTGATAGTTTTAATCGACAATCGCACATTTCCTGCATTCCAAAGCAGTGTGATGTCAGGTATAACCACCTTAGACTATACAGAAAACCGATGCCAATCAATCTTTACACCTATTACAAAACACCGTTAGTGCTAGTATCTTCATATTTAATCTACAGGAGGGACGGCAACTTTTATCGCTATCCGCTGCAAATAGGAAGGAGGGGGACAGAATCAATCTTGAATATTATCACGTACATCATTTTTAACTCTAGACCCATGCTATTTCTTGTAACCTGCAATTTCTACGGTCCTTAGGGTTCAAGCTGGGTCTGAAGATCACCTTTAGATGCAGCTGCTATACTTTAGGTAGTGCTTTGGTATAGCGTAGCCTCCCGCTGTCCAGGCCAAATCAAAATGATCTTGTCATTACTCCTACAAATGTACTTGAGAGCATTATTAGACGTGCAGTAGTTAATTGCTTTGTATCTTGAAACCAATTGACTTAGTCCAACAACTCAACAATTGTGGTAAACTGCAAAATGTTGTATTCTTAATAAGCACATTACAACCTTGTTACAGCTATTATTCTTGTAAATTACTAAACACATTTTTCTGTCAATCTATGGATTATACAATTCAGATTTATTTGTTTAATAAAAGCAAATTAAATGATTGTTATTATTCTGTTCAGTGATGAAGTGATAATAAGGTTTTGTTGTTGTCGATGATGATGATGATGACGATGGTAATGATGATGATTATGTTGATGATGTGAAATGAGATGTTGATGATAATGATAAACATTGCAATGAAGACAAGGAAGGATGATGATGGTGTTTATTATGAATTGATTGAATTACAATAACATAAATATAATAGTGATGAGATGATGATAATGATGCTGATAAAATGATGGCAAAGTGTAAAAAAATATATTCTTCGAACTGATCACCATTTACATATTCATCAAGGTATGCTACTGATCATAATAGAAAACATAGGACAGAGGTCACACATTAGCAGTTCAACGACACACACTAGACTTCAGGGTCAAAAATAGCTTGAATATGTCTAAATCTTAAATTGATTTGACATGAGAAAAATCACATACCATGCAAGAAATCCTGATTAAATATTATTCTTGCTATTTTACCTAATAATATGCAAATAATAGCAAACAAATAAATCAATTTTCTGTTTGCTCAGATAAAAGCTGAAAAAACTTAAGATATACAGACATAAAAATAGAATGTAGTATTTAGTTTATTCAAGGATTGTTATTGATACTCAACAAATTCCAGACAGGATATATTCATTGGGGACAAGCAGGAGCGTTTAGAGACTATGGCTAATTGAAAAGTAACTCCATGAAACGATTATTCCCAGAAGGAACAATAAAAGGTACCGGCGACTCTCACTCAGCAATAACAAACAAGACAGGCAAAAGGAATTAAGGAATTTTATAAGGGAAGACGAACATGAAAAAATCCACCCAAAAAAATACCGTAGTCTTCTTCCTTACTTAAAAATGCTTGGCTAATCTCACATCCAGATCATATAAAGTCCCTCATAAGATGTACTAAAAACAAACCAGTGCTTCCTACTGTACAGACATAGAATAACATAATAAACCTACTCATTTTAAATTTAAACTAAACAAAGTTTAAATAAACTGTTAAAATTTGCTTTATTTTTTAGTGATTTGTTTTTAGTTAGTGATTAGTCTTCATTATCATTATTCAAGTTCAAGTTTATTATTGATGACAGTGGTTTATTCCACTTTTGCTGTTCTCCAGCAATGTACTTTAATTTTGATGTTATTTATTTTGTACAGATGCTTGCTAAAATCAATAAAATTTAAGAAATCTATATGCAACTATCGATACAGTAGATATAAATCAATCAATAAGATATATATTAATCAATTAATTAACTAATTAAATAATTAATCAATCAATCACTAATCAAACAAGCAAACAGAAATTGATCAAAACAATACTATTAATTACTATTAATTTCTATATTCCTAATCCTCACTAAAATAGCCTCTAAATCAATAACCCTGTCCCCCTGGGAGTCACAGCAAGTATAATCTGGCATGTGGTCCTGATAAAGCCTACATGAACTGAATGAAAGGTGCTTGCAGAAAAGAAAAACAAACTTGGATAAACAACACATTGAACAACGGAACAAGATCCAGAAGATATCATTTGAAAGCCTTGACCATGAGGGCACCCCCTATTGGGATGATTACAATTTTTAAAAATAGATACTTTAACGGTCAGGGAATTGGTCAATCTATCGTTCAGTTAGTTCCACAGGTATCAAAGACCACAAACAATATACTCATCATTAGGCAGTATGAATCAAAGTCCGAAAAATGTGATACAAGCCATATTGATTCAATATATTTCACACTTTATTAGTTCAACTTCAAGTAAGAACTAATAAAGTTTGAAATATTTAATGAAAATGGCTTGTATCACTTTTTTCAAACTATGTTTCAAACTATTGCATGTCAAATTTATGGGTGAACCCCATGGTATTTGGCAAAAAATACTCAGCATTGATTGTGAATTATGAGTTGTAAATAAAGAATTAAGTAAAACTGCAATGCATGTAGTGCATTTAAATTCAATTAATTGAATTGCTGAAAGGGTCATCCATTATTTATATTATTTTTTATGAGAGTACAAAACATACCTTTTTCTGTAACCCCATCACTCCCCCTGATAGAGTACACAATAAAATGATGATTTTTGCAATTTTGAGGGCAACATTTTATTTTGCATAATGGATACATTTTCAACCCCCCTCTCCCCCACACCCTACCTAACGTGCATGTTCTGTACTCTTGTGAAAATTATGAAAATTATCTACAGTACCTGACTAAACCATTAGCATTGAAATGAAAATTAGAATGAGAAGCTATTTTTCTTAATAATTAATTGGTGCACAAATAACGATAAAATTCAAGGATTTTGTAATATAAATGTCTAAACCATAATTTTTTTTTATAACTGTGCAATGCGTTTATTTTTATATTCTTAAGGTGAGACATTTTTTATACCTAGTTTAGCAACTTGTTGCCCGCCAATTATGATTTCAAATAAAAATAAAATTTTATTTTTGCCTAATTAGTGTACCCACTGCCACGAAAAAATGGAAATTTCAGAAAAAAATTTTTTCTTTATTTTAATTAACCCACCGCTGCCTTGAAATCTCCCAAAAAAAATATGAATTGCCTATTTCTATTTCTAATTACATTAAAATTTAAAGCATTTAATTAACCATCCGATTACTACACTGTTTACATTCACCAATATAATTTTATTTTTATTTTCTCTGGATGTTTTTGACAAAAGTATTTGTGAAATAAGAAAACAAAATTTTATTTTTATTGTTTTTCCACCCTCCTCCTCCGATCTTTAAAAAACATAAGTTTGCAAAACAAAGTATAAAAAAAAGTCTCGCCTAAGCATTTAGCTTTTACAAATTGTTTTTTAATTAAATAAATAAAATAACTGAATATATTTAATCTTTGTTTTTGACTTATTTAGCAGTCTGTTGTTTAGTGTTAATTTCAAATAGATTTATAAGTTGCAGACGTAATTATCCATTATTATTATTATTTCAGTATAAGACAGTCTTAAACTTTTTTAAATCTTGTTTGTTTCAAACTTCCAGGAAAGCACCTCTCTGGTTGGTTTGCCATTAAAATAATATTCCTAAAAAGAAACAGGCGTTGAATACTATTTTGGCTTAGAATATTAAATAATATATCAGAAGCCAAATGAAATTATTTGAACATTTCTAATACTAATTGTCTCCCCCAAAGCCCTAAAAACCCTGTGGGCAACAGTGAGGTTTCAATTTGTTCAACCTTCAAACAAATTTATTGAAATAACATTTAATCTTAAAATAAATTTTTCTCAAATTCACCAAAGTAACATTTTTATTGAAATAAAATATGTATAATTTTGTCTAAAATTTGTCTAATAACTTTTTGTCAATCCAATAACAAACCTCATTGTCATTATATTTTCATCCCTATGAAGAAAATTAATATTGAAAGCAATTATGCTTTTAAACAAATGTTGTAAGCGTCACTCTGTGGTTGGTTTTGATTATGAAGCTAGCTAGAGCTCCTAATGATGAGGATATGACAAGGTCAAAGCCGGCCTGTAGGCCTCAGAGCCATCACCAGGGTGGCCTCCATACCGCCCTACCAGCTCACAGTTGAGAACAATTTCAAGTTGTTGGAAAAGAAGAGCCAGCCTACATAGGTCTTTAGGCAAAAACGGAGTAATTAACTAGAGTAAGGTAGGATCCTTCACAAACAGGTTCCAAACTGTGAAACAAACTAAAAAATATGCAGTGAAATTAATTAGAAGATGATGGCAAAACCGACACAATTAACCCAAGAACAGAATGATGGAACAGACTGGGTGATCTGAAGTGAATCTGAGTGGTGTACTAAACTTTGAGGTTGATGAAAGTAGGTTAAACATCCACCCATATCATGCAATAATTATCTGGGAAAGAACATTAATCAACCAGACATTTCATATTCCTGTTTGCTGCCCTCTATAGGAAATAGAAGATTCCAATTAACCATATGGAATTTACTCTATATTCAAGATATCCAAACAGAAGGACTTGATAATAAATAGTGTTTAAAGCATGTAAATATTATTAATACAATTAACTTGACTCAATCTGGAAAAAAAAAATCAAAAACATCTTACAATAATTGAATTGATCATTTAAATGGATCAAATTAAGTTATTAACTTATAATGAAACAAATTACATTTTTGTATGCAAAGTAAGAAAATTAATATTGAATTATATATTCTGTACAGGTCTACCTCCAATTAAGGACCAAGTTTGAGGCTCGCTTTTCCATGATTTTTTAGCAGATTTGGCCTCTAATTAGACCAATAAAGATAAAAGACATTGATTGAAGGGGTCTTTAACTTGTTTTTGTTAAATGTGTATTTTTAAGGTTTGTCCTGTTTACTTACCTTGCCTCTAAATGTCGGTGTCTTCATTCCACTGTACACAGGTATAAAACAACTACATAGCAATGCCTATAAAAACAAGTAGTACATTAATACAATAGTATGTCTGAGAAAGTTCAATAAGGCTCCAACTTCTTTTTTTCTGGAAATACAGTACATCCATGCAAGGCTAGGCATTATTACTTTTCTTGGGGCTTCTGAAACCACATTGAATTACATTTATGTAATAGAAGAAAGTGATATAGCTGTAAACCACTGAAATATTATAGCATTCTCCACAATATTTCAGTGGTTTACGGTACAACTATATCACTTTCTTCCATTAAATAAATTACATTTATTTAATAGAAGAAAATGATATAGTTATAAACTTCTGAAATATTGTGAAGAATGCTTTAAATAGCAAAATGATTATCTATACTAAAAATCACTATTAATGTTAATAATAATTACTAATTACAGTACCAAGATTACTAACAACTTTAATTATTATAATTATTGACAATTATTATTGGTCATTATCATTATTATAAATTACTAATAATTGTAATATATTTACCAGATGATCATCATTAACATATTTATTAATATCAGATCATCCTAATATTATTAACAAGTATTGTTATTATCATTTTATTTTATAGCTTGTAGAGAATCTGGGAATCGATCTTATTTATCACTTCTAAAGACCAACCAATTTCTTAAAGTTGATATTTATATAGAGGGCTCCCTTCAAAAAGATTATCTCAACTTAATGTATCACAGAACAAGAGTAGATACTCAGACATTGCACTTTCAGAAAGCTGAATACCATGTATTAGATTTTTTAATACTGTATAACACTGTGGCTAAAATAAGGTACAATTCTAACAATTTGTGTACGTGTATGTAGCAATCATAATGAAAATAGGTATGATTATATACGGTGATCATATTATACTAGAGTGCTACAACCCAACACTGTAAGTTTGATCCTCCAACAGGAGGGCCATCAGAAAATGCACTGGCTGCACCGGCTTTGGCTGGACCACTTTTTCTCAAAACCGTTACTTTTTTATATAAACTGATATCTTTGAGTAACAAATTTATTAGTAATGTTCACATCATATTGTCTTTTTAATGTTATACTGTACTATATATTTAAACACAAAAAAAACCCACCATGTGCTTGTTTTTGTATTGCATGTGCACTTAAACTTTTATCCTTAATCCTTAATTTTTGTAATTAACTTTTTTTTTTAAATGTTAGTAGTACTACTGTATTATAAAATGTCGGGGATTGGAGTTAGCCAAATTGTCATCACCACAAACTGCTTTGTAACTTGCAGTCAAAATTGAAACCCCTAAAGTGAAGAACATTAATTAATTAATTTTTACAGTAGTATGCATGTGCAATTTCCCAGCAAAGGAGCTATTTTTCCTACCATGGTAGATCTGAGGTGGGTATGTTAAATCCTGTATGTTCTCCTGTATGGGGCGGAATAGGAGTAGCTGCTATTTTTGGGCATCTAGAGATGCCATATTTTCAAAATCTGTTGGCCCACCATGATGGTGCTGCGGTACTGTACAGTAGGTAGGAATTCAATATCCAAGCTATTGTACTGTAACTTTAAATGCTGTGCCTGTCTCTAGTGGCTGTAATATAGGTGAATTATTTTCAAAATTTTCTCAATTCAGCCCCAGCCATTAGGCTGAGGTGGATAAAAACTCTAGTCCTTATGCTAACTTGAAATGTTGTGGCTGCCCTTTGAGGGGGAAGGGTAGTGGCTCTATAGGTTGCCAGAATCTGGGGCAGATGCAGAGGGGATGCAGACGGTGCGATCGCACCCCCTAAATTTTAGGCCTATTAAGAAAAATAATTATATTGTATTATATATATACATATTATTTTATCATTATGGACATAGTACCGGTAAGATTTTAAAAGATGTTAGAGCGCAACTTCCGGGCACATAGAGGTCCATATCATCAAAATTTTTAAAAACCTTGGCCCTAACCATGGTGGGGCTGAGGTGGTGTTGACTCTCACGCACCCCGTACCGCCAAATCCTGCATCCGCCCCAGAGAATCTACCAGGTCACCCAAGTGCCAAAAAAGTTGGTCACCAACCATGGTGGGACTTGGGTAGATATATATTCATACCCCACCAACTAAATCATGTATCCATGGATAGGTAGCGGGTCTGGAATTTTAACAAACAAATTGTTAAATGCCCACCAACCCTCATCCCCCCACCCCCCATATTATAACGGCCGGACCGCTTGCAGAATGCTTCCAACTCTTAAGCTGACCTGACCCAAGACATGTTCTTTATCTTCTTGGCTCTTTGCCTTCTTCCTTTCTTTTTGAAATCAATATTGTTTTTTTTTTTTAATTTTAATTCTCATTATCTGATCACATACAGTGCACACCTGAATAATAAATCAAGTTAATTAAAACCTGGAATAGAGCATATTGTTCATTTTTTTTTCTGATGATTGTTGGTTTTGACAATAACTGGCTTACTGGAAGTAGATGTACTATGACAGATATTAATTGGAATTGGCACAGTATGAATTATTTTATTACTATTTATTATTACTAAAATTCATATCTCACCTGAATAAGTTCATCCCTACTTTCAAATTGCGAAATTACAATATTCTTGCGATTTTTCAGCATTGTCAGCGAGATGAACAGTCGTCCACTAGCCATCGTGTGGGCGTTCGGTGGTAGGAGAGTATCAAGTTCCGTGCTTAAAGTATGCGACATATTAAAATTGGGAGTAAGAGCACCTAGTGGTTTACTTTGTATAGTGTCTGCTATGTTATAACACAGCTGCATTGCGTCCTAATTATATGGTAGAAAAAGAGAAAATTAAAAAAATTAAAATTATAAAATGACAATGGAAAATAATATCGGTAATGCCAGATAATCCATTTATTGTAATTATATGCAGGCAAAAGATACAAACCTTAAATAGAAGCCCTAGGCTTCTTTTTTTAGGACCCTTTGATGGGCTTCTCAAAATATAATTCTGGGAAAAAGCAAATTTTCCCAGCATAATTATTAATACTGTACTGCCATCATTTACATTATTTTAATATAATTATTGAAAATAAAAAAACTCCCAAAAAACATTTAGTAGCATGGTTTGAATCCCAATGAAGAAAATATGTTTTCTTTTTAATTAATTTATATTTCTGAGTAGCATCAAACCAGTGATTTCATAAAGTGTTTAAAACATCTAGTCCATACACTAAACCAACCAGGATCTATACAATTACAGACAGACTACCCAACTGTAGGTTTAATCATTGCCACATGACTATTAGACCAATTATGTTGGTGCAGTCACATGACATGATGCTGATGTAAAACGACACCAGTTCAAATCCGACTGATATTTGGCAGTTAGTTTGGTGGAGGTGTTGCAATGATGCCAAAAGCTACCAACAAGAAACAACTCTCAGACAAACAGTCTACTTCTTAACTGTTTAAATTCCATTGTTGTCTGTTCATAGATCAGCTGGCTTGTAAAATTTATTTACACATATAAGGCGCTTTTTGATTGGATTGGATTGATTGGTCTAACACACCAACGCTGGATCAAATGAGTAGAATATGCCCATTTATACTTGTATTATCTTATCATTTAGAGTGTAAATCTATTTTTATTATCTTAATGAGGTAGATGGTATTGTGAAATGGGGTCTACATGTATAGTACTCAGTAGTGGGTCAAATAATAAGTATGTGTGCAAATATTAATCATATAATACTATCAACATCTATATATCAAGTTTAAATCTCTTTTTATTATCTTAAGTAGGCAGAAAGTATTGTGTAATGGTGGCATAGAACTATAGTTAGTAACCTATGCTATGGTATCATGGTTAAATGAATATGGTACATTTTTACAATACTTTATGTATCATCATATGATTTTGAGTGTGAAAATATATTACTATTTATAAGTTAAAGGGTATTATAATTACGATGGCACACCGTCTTTCAGATGAGAAAGCATTTGGTCCTGTGTGCATTATGGCCCATGTGCATAAAAAACGCAGTCTTCGGAAAAGAGTAGGGGATTGTCTCCTGGTGTACTGCCCAATCACCACCAGAAGGACCCCACTAGAAATAAGTCTTCTTCTATACTTTCGTGGGTTATCATTGGCGTTTACACTGAATAAATCCATCCATCCATCCATGTAAGTCTTGACACTGACCTTAATTTCATTTGGATGCATTGATAATGAAATGACAGTGTCTGTCAATCAACAGGGAGACAACAATGGAATGATTAAAACAATACAGTATCTACCAGTATTGCACACTTCCTATAATTTTTTCACTTTCACATCGATTATTGATTTGTTCCAAAATGAAAGAAAACAAGAAACGAATTGTGTCCGTGTAAGTAACTTAGGGACAGAACTCTTTTGAAATTATCATTTGAACGTGCACTTACATTTAATTTTTTTGGTGAGCATAACAGCGTGGCAGCCACTAATGCCCCTGCAGAAGCACCACCAACACCTCGAACCCTCTTCATAAATCCCTTTCCATGTGTCATCAAACACTGGATCACTCCAACATGATACGTTCCCAGAAATCCGCAACCAGCGAAAGAAATATGCAAGTTGGAGCTGTTCTGTACAACCATCGTGCTTAGACTACAATCAGTATCATCGTCGTTATCCTCTTCTTCGTTAACATCTTCTAGGTATTCATCGTCTTCGGTAATTACATCACAGTAATTGCTCAGAGAAGTCTTGTTAGGTTCCGACTCAAGAATCAGCTTCATGGAGTTTACGTAGACTTGTTAATGATCACTGCGGAATAAATAGATCAAATATTTTGGTTAAGGCAAGACTTTTGTTTTTGGAAAATACTTAATTTTCGATATCTATCTACAACTAACACAAAAAAGTCAACATAAAAACATTTATTTTTCATTCTACATGTACATCCCGATTTATAAGATTTTAGATAGTTAGAACCTAAATTTTGCCCAACCACAGGGAGGCCTAATGGTTTATGGTACTACAGTATAACTTCCTGGTCTTTCAAAATTAATAATTGAAGTTTACTGATTACTATATTTAGTAGATATTTGTGATAACATTCTTTAAAAATTAATTTGCTAATCGGAATTTTCACCTACTTTCACTGATGTGTTGACACACTGTACAGACAATGCCAACAATATTGATAAACATTCACTAGATCAATAAATTTATAACAGATACTTAGCAACAATTGACAATTAGAAGATGATACATGTATCAACCTAATTTAGAAGAGATATTTCATCAATCACACTTATCTAGGTCGTGGAAATGAGTGGGTGAAGACAAATTTTACAAAACTATGGCAGGCTTTGGATTTAATTCGTTCCATTCTCAATGACCATATTTTGAAATACCCAGCCTGTATTTCCTAATATTTATATTTTCTCACGAATAATGGAGGATAGTACTATTTGATACTATACAAATACACAACATCGGTCAAGGGTAGGACAACCGTTGGCCTGTGCAGGCCTAACCACTGTAATCACTCATTATCATTATTATAATACCAGATCAAAAGAATAAACATTCCAAATTAGGCCAAACAATTCTGTGTGGACCAAGCGTGACTGACCAAAAATCTTTAAAAATCTAAACTTTTTTTTTTCCAAGAGGAGCCTAATATTAAATGGCCACAATTCATGCTTTAATAATTATAGTTGATACATTCAGCATGAATTTTAGCCCTGTTGTTTCCAATTTTTACCAACCAAAAGGCATTTAGGGTCAATGATTGTTGGCAATGATCCATATAATTAGATCCTATAGTGAAAAAAAAATTCCACACACAGGCCCGTAGGCAGGGGGTGCAGAGCATGCGGATGCACCCCAACCCCAAAACTTCAAAAGGTCCCCTTTTTAAAACCTATTAATTCACTAAAACTGTTCCTAATTAATGAAAAAATAAATGATATAATAATCTTTTGTAAAGGACATGAAACAAATTATGGGTTTCATAAATCCATTATATAAGATCCTTAAAGTGCTAATTTGTTGGCGCTTCTTCGGGCCTCGCCACCAACCGCCACCCCATCGAAAATCCTGCCTACAGCCTGCCACTGGCTCTGACTTTCACAAGTAACTGTACATAAGCAACGATTTGATTTTTAAAGGAAATTATCTTCCATTTAGTATTGGAAACCTTTTAACTCGGATGTTTTTAAATATCACTTTTAAATGTTTTAGGATCTTCATTAATCAAAGCATTTCTCTGTTTTGCAATTTCCAAATGATGATTCAAGATTCAGGATTATATACTGTACTGACCAAAAATAAACATGGAAATTCTGTTTGGATGTAACTTCTTTAATACATTCACAGATGATGATGGTTTATGTTGGTGATGATGATAATTAATGGTAACAATTGATATGATTGCTGATCATGAAGGTGATAAAAATACAGTCCGATACATTTTAACACTTTTTTTTAAAATGTTTGTTTTTTATATTTTTTTAAAAATTTCATTTTATTATTTTAATGGAATTTTATTCTACTTGATTTTGATGTACATTTTATTATATATCTAATATACGTAGTTTATTTAACACGTCGGCTGCCAGCGACGAGTATACTCGCCCACAGGGTGTTGCTGAGGGCGCCAGGAACGAGTATACTCGTAAAAAACGGGGGGGACATTCTAGCGTTTATAACTTCTTTATTATACATTGTAGGACCACACACTCAACGGCTGGTAGTTCGGGGAAGATACACCTAGACGATAACGTAAAAATGACATAATGTATGTTTGTTGTGTTATGTTGCCGGTAGTAGACTCGAGCGGTACAAGTGGGGGCCCCCTTTGAATATATACCAACCCATGCAAAAAGAGGATGAGATAACTCGCACTTGGCATAGTCAGTAAAAAGTTCTATCACAGTGCCATCGACGAGTATACTCGCCCCCTAATATTTTTCCGCCAATTTATTAGACACATCATTTTGATGATATATGACTAGATAAAATTTCAAAAAAGTATGTTTGTACATGTAAACTTGTTTTGGCACACAGGAAGGAACCGTAAAAAAAAGGTTTAGCAGTCAACGTGTTAAATCAATTTTTAAATATTTTCATGTGAAACTGGGTGAGTCGAAAACACTGCCTTTTCAGTACAGCGATTACTGTAGGTTCCTTCCAGCTTACTCAGTTGGATGGTTTTTCTTTTTACTGTTTGCGACGTAATATTTTGGAAATAAAAAGAATACAAATAAGAAAACAATGATGATAATAAAAAGGAATGATATTGACATTATCATGATAGCAACAATGATAACATTATTTATGAGAAATAAACTAAGTTTCAACCAAAGTATCAAATAAAAAGCAATCCAATTAATCTGAAAGACTTAATACTTTCCAAATAAGGAGATATGACTCTATCTACTTACTGACTGCATTACAATTATCTCCTCTCGCAATATCACTAAAGCTTTTTGCATTATAATTTCATGATAACACTGGGAGCATAAGGAAGAGAGAGCAAATTATATTTGAATTGACAGCCGGACGGAATGGCTGTGTCAATTTACAATCGTGAAAAGAATGAACAGTACTTAATAAATAAATAAACACAGAGTTCTTTCCAATTAATTACGAAGGCCTAAACCACTACAATCTCAATATACAGTAAGTGGAGTATGAAATTATATTTTAAAACAAGTTTTACAATATTGTGGTATTCTAATGTGGATTTGTTTTTAACACAAAGGTTATGAACAACAGTGTATTATTATATGTAAGCATTCTCATGTAAAGTTATGGCTTTAATTACATTAGTAGGCAATGTATTCTGGAATAAGAGTTATTTTTCCTTCTTGTATATGATTAATGACCATCTCCTATCTATTAGTGTATAAATGTAAAATATTACATAATGCAATGAAAGGGAGGTTAAAATACGAAGGATGAAAAGTAGAAAAACATAAAACGGAAATGGAAAAACAGAAGAGCGAATACCTTTGGATATAGTGAGTGAACGAAAGGAAATTAAGGGAATATTGAAAGGATGAAATGGTGACCTCAAATTGACAACAATCATCATTTTATTATCTCTTGTGTGGGGAGGAGGGGGGAGAAGGGTGGAAAATTTTAGAACAGAATATGCTTTGTTCCTATAATGATGACCATTAAAGTAGATGACCCTAAACCAAATTATATTTTATCGCCAATTTTTGTTTTACCAGCATTCCCACAGTAGTATGTGCAGTGGCGGCACCAGCGGGGGGACAGCAGGGGCTTAAGCCCCCCCCACCGGACAGGTCCAGCCCCCCCCCCACGTCGGGCAGTTGGACTAAAAAATATATAAAAATAGGCCCATGCCAAGCCAACACGTCTGTCACAATAAGAGAGTGTCATTTCTGGCCATCCAGAGGTTCCTATTATTAAAAAAGGTGGACTATTATTTAAAAAATCTCATTTGGGAGGGGGAACACCCTCTCAAACCCTTCCTCCAGCTCAGGCCTATGAGCCCAAGTCCCCCTGTCGGACAGCTCAGTCTCCCCAGAAAATATATCCTAGAGCCGCCACTGAGTATGTGTCCTGCAAAATGGAAAAAAAAAAAATAGAAACAGAAAGGGAGATAGAAAAAATATCAAACATACCTTGAAAATGGATGTAAATCTATAAAGTAATTGCAGAGCGGAATAAATGAAATTTGGAATCAAGTTCAGTTAAATTGAACAAAAAATTCCAATAACAGTAAATTACAAAATCAATCACCAGTTGTGCTAAATTAAAATTGATCAAACCTCCCTACAGGAAAACAACAAGTGTCAATGACATCAAAATGTGTTGTGAACAACCAATCCTGATGCACTAGCTAATGCACCAGCAGGTAGAAGGTTCTTAATAGCCTCTCTCTGATTGGCTGGCAAAATGCCGAGCTTCCAAACAGCAACAAATTCCTAAATTTTGCAATATCCATATAAAACAATTGATACTAACCAGTATATGTAAACTAGTAACTGGCTATTGTCTTAAAGCTAATCATTTTTAAATTAACAAATTTACATATTATACTGCATTTTATAATTGAAATTTAAAATTTAATTTCTGATTTGTATGCATTGTTTGCATATTTGTATTTTGTTGGTAAGCTGATTTTTTTTTGTAATTAAAAAATATAAAGATATTAATTTTGTTTTTGTCTCATAAAGGATGCATAAAATATATACCACTTTAAATATTCTTTATATAAACCCTAAAATTTGGCTTATAATCAATAAAATAAATACATTAAATATTTATAAAGTGTACAAAATGCGGAACAGAAAAGGGAGATTAAAAAACAAATAATTGTCTTGAAATATATTTTGAAGATCTCAACCAAGCATGATTTTCTAATTATTGTATTTATCAAAGATCTTATAAATACAAGATAGCATTCTCCACGATTTCCGCGTGCAAATTCTGTAATAACCAAGTGTACGGCACCCTCTTGCAAAAGTGAAAAACTTTTGAAATTTGACTGCTTTGACCATAGCGTATGCGTACTTTACGTTTACGCTTAACAATTAGAAGCGCCCTCTCTTTAGAACATAAGGAACAATTAACGTACTTGGTAACAAACTTTGGCGTAACATGAACACCCTAGATCCATGGAAATGACTAGGACACCCTCTCCCATAAGTGATTAATACTTTTCTGTGCCAAATCGACGCTCCTAATTTGTTACGCGTAAAATCACGGAGAACGCCATCTTGTGTTTATATGATCTTTGGTATTTAATATTTGTGGGAAAATTGTTCCAAAACTTTGCTCTATAGGCTGCTTGAACACAGATTCATTTTGAACACAGATACAGTAAAATCCTGAATAGAAGCCCTGGGGCTTCTTTTTTTTTTTTTGCAAACTTTGGATAAGCTTCTTTTCAAGATGGGATTCTTCTTGAGGCTACTTATTGCAAAGTAAAGAGGGGGCTCTTCTAACTATAAAACCATAAATAGGGCCACTGTAACATCAGTCTGTAGCATGGAGTGTATTAACCAGTGTTAAATCGCCTAAACTACTGTGTAAATCAAGCGTGTTTTTAATTCATTTCGTTTCTTTGAAATAGTACAGTACATACGTCTGTACTATTTCGAAAAGAAGACCATGTCATCCTGAAAAGAAGCCCTTGGGTCTTCAATTCGAGATGGGCTTCTTCACGACATTAAGCCCATTGGGCTTATATTTGAGGTTTTACTAGTATGATATTTATTAATTAACTGACATCGCTGGTGAACAAATATATATGGGCATCCCTTAAAGTGACATTTGCAAACTTGCAATGCCAGTTTTTTAAAACACTTCCTTGTTTTAACAGGAAGTGATTCTGTTCAAGAGAGAAATTGAGTCACATTCTTTCTTCAAATCAAACACTAATCCAGCAACTATGATCTAATGATTTTCAGTAGTAGAAAGAGAAATATAAATCAGTGAAATTTCAAATTGTTAAAATGTTTGTGTCTCATTGAAAATTAATACCGTTATAAATTGATATCTCCTTCGCTGAAAAGGAACACTTTTCAATTAAAAAGTTTTACACTGAATTATGATTATAGGCCTAGATGGCATTTTTCTATTAATGATGCAATGGTCCTTCCTGCTACAGTAAGCCCACCCCTTGAATTCTGGTTGCTAAGGTCCCACAAATGACAGTGCAAAAGCATACGCACACATGGTTTGTGCAGTGTGGCAGAGCCAACATCTGAGAGTGCATTGTTTTTAAGTGGCCTGTAAATGACAGACAGACCATCGGAGAAATTCATTTTGGATGGCCAATTTTATAATTTTCATTTTTCTGTCAAAACTGAGTGGGGGGGGGGGGTGCTAAGAAAATTACCTGGGGGAAAGTCCCCTTGCCCCGCCACTGGGTTTGTGGGACACGTGTGTTTGTAGCAATGACCTACAGTAGTGTTCCTTTAATATTTAGTTTTTTCAACTTTAAGTGATTTTAATCATTTTACGAATTTTAACTTTTTATTATGTAACAATTTTTAGTACTAAAATAATTTTTGGAATTGTTATTGCTTTTTAACTTTTTTTTTATTTGTATTTTACTGTTAGTTTTAGGGCTAAACAATGTTTTATCTCCTTGCTGCCAATGGAAATAAGTTTTACTTTTTTGGGCTTTTCCTTGTAATTAGGGTCATGTTTTGTGTTTTTTTTTTAATCATATTTGTATATATTTTATGACTCTTGATTACGAATAAATTCAATCAATCAATCAATGCGTATCCCTGCCATACTGTAATGTTTTTTAATTGCGCGGATGATAACTCAAAAACTAAAATTAGAGTGGAAAATTACTAGGAAAATAAGTGTGCAGAATTGTAACAATATAGATAGGCCTAGTATATGATAATAATTTTCGGCAAAATCTGAGCGACGAATTTCTAGGCCTAATTTTTGTGCGCAGGCCTTACTGTACAGTCTGGTATGCCTGGCCCTGTTTGCCATTGACAATCTGGAAGTAAGTCACAATATACATTATTTTTTACTTTTCTGAAAATTGCCAAACTATCCTAAAATATAGATAATATTGTGCTCTCATCATTTTTTGATTTATGTGGGAGTGGCCACATCCTCTCTGATTCCAGGTCGCGTCAAGACCATTTGAAGACCATTGGGCCTTCAAGTTGATTATCTCTGGCCTACAATATACAAGTACTGTACACGATTATCCTCAACGCCAGACACTGTGACAGGCATGCATGGTTCTCAACTTATCAACTGATCAGTGAAGGATCACTGAATTGAAATTACGGTATAGTAATAAACTTGTGCGTTGAGTGAGGAGACGCTAGATAGTAAAGCTGACTTGCCGAAGACTCAGAAAGGCGGCAAATCTAGAGCTAGGCCTAGGCCCTAGCCAAGCTTGCCAACTTCGCTGTGAGAGCTCACTCTTGCGGTGAAGCTAGTCTCGTGTCCGCCACGTGGATTACTCATCAATGTTTACATCTTGCTGCATCGTATAGGCTACCGCGGTAGCCTTCATATCAAAATTCAAAGCGATTCACTCACGTGTTGTATTGTAACAACACACCATATATCTACATTTTTATATATATTTTAAATAAACTGTTTAAAACTGAACACTACCTTGTTGGTTTTCTCCGACTAAAAAGACTTCTTATCCTTAGTTCATAAAAATAACGTCACACCACCAATCTTAAACCAAAATAATGACGTAATCTTTCTGTACAGATTAGCAGCGGCAGGTAGCGGCCGCTCCAACGAAAGAATGACGTCATACAACCCAAATAAGCCGGATGCGATCGCAAGCCAGATCCCCTCTGGTTTCCATTCAAATGGATAAAGTAATGCATATTTAATGCCACGAAGGTCAACCAACTCATATTATGAATCATTTACAAACGCTTCATTATCATCTATATTTTGTGGTATGCATATCTACATAGCCTGGATAAGCAAGAAGTGAAGCATTATTTTCAAAAAAATCTTCTATGAGTTTAAAATATTTACATTTATAAATTATTATTAATATTAATCCATTAGAATACTTAATAACCAAAAGTAATATCAGCTGGCATAAGTGTGCTTTATTTAGTCTATTGTTCTTGTGGTTTGTCACATTTTCACACCTTTTGCAAATTAAGATAGAATTTAACAGTTAAATATAGGACAAAAGTCCTTGTCCAGGGCGGCCGTGGAGAGGATTTTCCCGACGGAGGGTCCGATGTCCCCCATGGGGAGGGGAACTCCCTGACTAAAGCATGGTCTCCATACAATCGCTACACGCTATCGCCGACTCTTTTGCCGACGCTGATTGGTCAGTTAAATCAAGCTCGGTTTCCAAAGAACTACGCAGTGAAACAGTGAAAACGCTACATGCAGTACAATGATCGCACAGAATACTAATATGAAAAAAATACATCTCCCCACAGTCGTGTTTTCTCCCCAACAGGAAGGGCTCTCCCCGGTCCCCCATTGGCACCACCCCTGACCACCTGATTTGTTAAAATAAGGAATATTGTATTGTGAATCTTGAAAAGAAAAGTCTTCAAAAATCGATACATGACAACCATCTGCTTCACTCTATTGTGTGGTTGGGAAATGCTTGCGGACTTATTTCTCATGACCTCAAAAGCATCATTGTTAACCGAATAAAATGAAGAATGAATAGGTGGTATTTTAACCTACCACCTACCCTCAGGTGCAGATCCGAGGGTGGGGGAGGCACAAGGATAGGGCCCGATAAAAAGAGAACGAGAGAGAAGAAAATCAAAGGAGTGGAGCACGGCACACCGTATACTACAAAACAAGCTAATTTTCGATTTAAATTCCATGAACCAGTGTCAATGTCAAGCATTTCTAAACAAAAATCTCAAACCCCTCTGGGTACTTGGCAAGTAACACTGCCTCTCCCAGATTTTTCTCTGGATCTTCCCCTTCTGTCACCCACGTTTGTTTTCAGAACAGCTCAAAGATTATTTTGACTTACAATTGTACAGTACAGTATGTTGGAAAATTTAGAAAACTAAAAAAAAAAAAAAAAAAAAAAAAAAAAATATTGAACTGTCTGTTGAAAGATTTCCAGTCAAAAAGATTGTCATGCAAAAATAAAGTACAGTAATGTTATTATTTACAGTAGTGGAGATTCCAGGAGGGATTTTTACAGATGGAGGGTTTAGAACGACGTTCCGCAAACTATGGTCCATGGCCCAAATTTGGGCCGCGAAACATTTTTTGAGGGCCACGAAGCTGTCCGGAAATTGAAAAAAAAAAAAACAGACGTTTCATCATGGAGTTTTTAATAAAGCCGCTCCATTGTTACAGCGTATGCGTCGCTTGAACACGCTGCTAAAGTGCCAGATGATGCGTGCTATTTGAGTGTCTATGCCACCTCGGGAGCTAGACACTATATGTTATCGTCTAGTATTGAAACCCTGTAAGATCGAGTAAATCCGGTATGGAGAAATGATGGGATGAGTCACATGAGCTAAAGATAAAAATAAATATAAGACCTGTCCTAGAAAGATCACTACAGTAAACAACACCACACATTTCTTAATAACCGAATGCCCATGATGTGGATACTGTATTACTAAACATAATACCTGTCGTAGTTTTTGGAAGAAGGAGAAAGCTACGCGTGTGGCTGAACGGTGTTTGGTTGAATCATGGTAGAAAAAAAAAAAATCGACAATTGTGGGGGAGGGGGGAACACAAATGTACGGTATTATTTATTTAATAAAATAATATTTAATTTGTATACAATGAAATTTTATCACTGAGAGAATAATACCAATAATATAAATTGCTATTTTTATATAGCGCATATTGCAAGAACTGCCTCTCTGCGCTTAACAACAACTAAAAATGGATATAATACAAAGAGAGAACAGATAACGCTGGTTTAGAAAACCTCAGTCCCACCATGTCTCATATCAGAATTACAGTAATTGTCATTTCTAAATTGTTTCAATCTTCAAAATTTAGTGACAGTATTCTGGACCACCTTGAATCCTCTTCAACATACAAAACCGAAAATGGTCTTCTCCCCATGTTTCATAACTAATATTAACTACATGAAATTCAATATCAAATGCTGCTTAAAAAACAAACAGATACAAGCAAGATATGTATTCACATATGCACTTTAATAATAAGTATAAAATTGCTAAGATGCACACATTATTATCATTAACAATACTGGTGGGAAGAACTTTAGCTAATTTAGTTAATTTATATCTGCTAAAATTAGTTAATTAATACCTATTAATGACCTTAGAATCTGGTAACCCCAGATGGTTGCAGGTGTAGCAAACTATGCCTTTATATGTTTTTTTTTTTTTAAAGGGGAACGCAAAAGAATGTTTTTATAAAATTTTGAGCCACTGGTATATGTATCACACAAACTGACAAATTAAATTTTAAAAACTGATACACACTTCAATAATAAATATATTGTTAATAAGTCTATTTGCTCTAAGGGATATTACTTTTGCAGTATTCATAGTGGAGTAAAACAAACAGAATCTGTCAAATTTTTAAGGTTTTATACTCATAAACAAGTCCTACAAATAGGCAGTAATCAATCAAAAAAGTAAATTCTTTCTAAGCCGCAGGGGCTCGCATATGGGCTGAAGCTTATCCCTAGGTTCAGGTAGCGTGTAGCGGACGAGAGCGTAATGCTCCCCATGGGTGGGACACTGGTCCACCGCAGGTTACTCTCAACTATTTGCTGGTACCCATTGATACAGCTGGGTAGATAGAAGCATTGTAGATAGAGTGCCTTGCTCAAGGACATAAGCGAAATGTACAACGAAGGATTGAAACCCCGAACTTGAGGTTGGGGAACCAAATTATTTCCACTGCGCCAAACTTCTCCACAGTATCAATTAACAGTAAACTAAACAGAATTACTATTAGTAAAGCTTACTACCATAAATATTTATTACAAAAACTACAAAAGAAGAATTATACATAACATTAGGTATGTAAATTCATATTTTGTCTACTTACAATTTATTACAGTATTGGTTAATCATGAAATTTAAATTCATTGTATTTTAAGCAATTTAAATCATTATTGAATTAGGAAAGTCCAGTTTATTTCATGTAATTTTTTTTCTTTCGCCTCTTTTCCACAGCAAGTCATACAGTATATAAACTGTCATACAATAAAGATGTTAACAAAATAATTAATAATGTTCCTCTATCATTAATAATGACAATATTTTTAGAACAGTTCAAATTAGATTGTATTGGCAAGGCCCTTTGTATAATATCATGTAAAAGTATCTACAATTTAATTACTGTAATATTACTGTAAATCTACAATTTAAACTAATATTAAATCTACAATTTAAATTAATATTACATCTACAAAATAATACATATTACTTTCACAATCAAAAACTATTAAATATCAAACATATTTTTATCAGCCTTTAATTAATAATCTAAATAACTATACAATGGCAAAGATAAAACTATTTTACTTTGGGTGTGTTTACACTGGTTAAGGTGAACGGTATCTAGGAACGGTTCTTTCAAAGAACGATTTCCTATGGCAGTATAAATGAGGCCCATACAAAAAAAACCCATTCTTTTATAGTGCTGAAGAATTGTTCTTTGACACGGAATCAATTCTGTGTCCAGCAGGCAAAGAATGATCTTTCGTGGTGCAGTTTATCATCCTTATTTGGTAATCTGATTACCAATCAATGTTAAGAGAACCGTTTCTATCTCGTAGAAATACACCCTTTGATTCCTGTAAATTCAATATTTTTCTTCTCAGTTCTATTGTCTAAAGTCCTGCCTTGACACAAGTACATTCAGCAGCTCAACTACTAAGAGTTACATGCAAACACCTCAACTACAGGATTTTGTGCACACAGCTAATTCATCGGCCAAACAAACAACTCATCCACCAGCCTTGTATGTGAGATAAAACTTGCACTAAAATCTATGCGAACACAAGCATATACAGTACTACTGAGCCGATGCTATTATCAATATTGATGAGAGGCAACCACAATATTAATTTCATTTATAAGCCATGAAATACTCGCACTTAGGTCTGAAACATGTGAGCCACTTCACAGACCTGTCAACAATGCAGGCTGGGTTGACTAAGCATGGCCGGCTGAGAATGGTCAGAGTGTGGTTCAAACCTTCCACGAGGTTCAGAACCTGAATAGAAATCTCTGCACCAAACTGCCTTTCATGTAAGAGAGCAGAGTTAAATACTTTTTGTGTGTTGTGGGCTTTGTTAATTTTAGTAGCTTAGCGGTATTGCTAGCTTTCCTTACAATACAAATTAAATAATATTAATAATAATAAATATATTTTATCTTCACATAAATCATTAAATTGTTAATATGTCATATTTATATAATGATTCCTAGGGACAATACTCTTATGACAGGTGAACTGGCATTAGCATGTTATGTACTTAACTTGCTCCCTTGGGGACAATACCCAAAACAGATTGAATGTTAAGTACCGATGTACAGTTTTATCAAAAAGCGTTTAATGCAAATTAATAAATAACTAGCAGATGTTATAACATGAGATGGCTGGCTTGGGTATTAACAGTGTTGCTATATAAAAGAAAATAGAACACATAAACAAGGTAAATATTAAATCACATTAAAGAATGTTTTATGACAATATCTAATCATCATTCCAATATCATGTGATTTAGAGCACCAATCAGAATTTGATATAAAATCAAAAGGTCGTTACTTCTTCATATCCTTAAATTAAAATACAATAATAGCACCTACTACAATCATTAAGAAAATATCTCCCACACTAAAATTCAGTTACACTAATTGATTTTTTTTATATACCTGTACACAGGAAGACATGTTAAGTAGTTATTTAGTAATATTTAGAAAATGCACACACACACAAATGTAAAATATGGAGAAAAAAAATAAGAAAACATAGAAAAGTTATGAATATTCATGATTAGAAAGGTCACATGAAATGTCAATTATCACCAGATGATTATATTTTTTTCCCTCAAAGAGAATCTTCAACTAATTTTAACTATAGCTGTTTAACAGACTATATTATTGATTATTTTATACTATACTACCATTTCCAACATGAAAATTCTATATATATATAAAAGTAGGTGGAAATAGAATGTTCTGTCCCAGCTTGTACACTCCCTTTAATACCATTACTAGTTACTATGTTTAAGTGTACTCTACCACTTGATATTAAAGGGGTTCAAACAATAAATTTTGGTCAAAATCAAAACATATTTTGTATGGATTAACACAAACAAAAATATTGTTTTTGCAAGAAAGTTGGAAATACCTGACCTACAATTATTAATTTTCATTGCATAAAGGATTTGTTTTTTTATTTCTCCTTGCCAAATTTCCTGCTGTGTTCTTCAATTTTTTTCTGTCGTCGTTTAAGTTCGTTGGGAAATCTATCGTAGCACTTTTTGCAGACAGGCTTTAAATCAAACTCAATGAATTTGGATCTGAAATGAAAAATTAAACATAATTAATAATGCAGTCTACGGTCTTGCTTTGTGACTGTACTTACCTGTAAAAACTCATGTACAATATAGCAAAACTTCAAAACATTTTTAATAGAATCATATTCATATTCATTTCATATTTGGTTATTTATATAGCGCCTTTCTTTGCAGATACGAAGGGCTTATGTCTCTGATCATTGGATCCACATGCTTAAGTGTTGCTTAAGCATGTGCAAGCAACCCCACCAAGTACCCATTTAGACTCCTAGGTGGAGAGAAGCAATGAATATAAAGTGCCTTGCTCAAGGACAAAAGCAAAATGCACAGCGAGGGAAACCCCGACCTCAAAGTTGGGAAACCTTTCACGCTGCGCCAAACCGCTGCTTCGCATTCAGTACGACATCTTCAGTGTAAAAAAAAAACTGTAGACTGTTTGAGAAATCCAGCAAGACGGTGGAAAAGCAAACACACACATAAAATTTCTAATTAACTTAAGGTTTTGTTTGTTTAGTTTAATACATATGGATATGTTAATATTTAACAAGAGAGTAGAATTGAAGTGTTTGGACGGGTATTTCCTATAATATGTAGGGGGTGAATCCAGAGATGTACAAAAGTGGCAGCCAAAAGTGGGGCTGATCGAGATAACACTACCCTAGAGGGTCCGGGGGAATGCCCCCGTGAAACTGTTCTGTTCTAGACGCCCGAAAATAACCTCTGAGGTGTTTTGGGCGATCAATTTTTTCTTTTTCTTTTTACCCCTAAATCTGCCCCAGATATGAAACAAAACAGCCGCATAAGCAGAGTGACAAGATAAAGTCGAAGTCTAAAAAGGCTGTTATCCGCCTCAGTGACATTTATTTATACATTTCCTGATTTTGTACATTTATACATACTGATATACACCCACCTAGCGTTCATAAGTGTTTCACAGCAACTGCAGAAAAAATGCTCCTCGCACCATGATTTGTTCATCGTACACATCACTATCAAGGAAAAAAAAAATTTAAAAAATAATTGGATAAATTACACTTGACAGCAAATAAATATATGGAGAAAATAAATCAAACAAATACTTAAACAATATATCAATAATGAATAATATTTTAGCATTTACATAGCTCACTTTGCTGGAGTCTCACAGCACTTAAAAAGTATGAACTATGGAAAAGAGTTTTGATCAATCAATTAATGTAAATACAAATTAATGTTTACCTGAGCTTAATAGTTAAAGAGGCTTTAAAAATGAATGCTATTCAGGAATATTACAAAAAGAAAATAGTTAAATGAGGTTGAAGGATCAAGCAAAATACTCTTAAAACTAAAAATAACTTTACTGAATATTCATTAATGCACGTGAAATCTATAAATATTCATGAATGAATGTGCCTACCTTCACTGATTCATTGATTGATTCATAAATGGTTAGTAATGAGCTTTGTTGAATGAATCAGTAATGGCCAAGGTTAAAATTAATATTCTTTAAAATAGTAATGTTCTAAATGAATATTCATAGATTGAGCATTAATAGTGCATACCTTCTCCAGTAATAGCCTTGTTGCAATGGAAGCAGATGTTACCAAAAAGAGTGTTGAAGTGAGTTTCGCAGTAGGCTTTCCCCTTGCGCTCATAATGCTTGTGTCCTAGGAATGGCTTCTCACAGACGGCACACACAAAATGCTAATGAATAATCACAAAGACTAGTATTATACCAGTGTCACATTAGCATTTTTTCACAAATCCAGCCAGTTACAGGATGGAATAATGCTCTATAAAGAATCATTATCAGGTTCACACTATCAAATTCTATGTGACAAGTAACTGTGATTTGCCCATATTTGTAATATGACATCATCATAACCTTATATGGGGACATCATACAAATTTGTCACACAAAATTTGATGGTGTGGACAGAGCTTTAGTAATGAAAACAAATGTCACAAGATTTGAACCAAGACCTTGGCATTTTTAGGCAAGTATATTGTAAAATACATTTTTTTAAAAAATTACAGTCGACCTTCCCATTTACGAACTTCTCATTTACGAACCTTCTATTTTACGAACGCTCGGCCGATGACGTCATCGCTAGATTTATTCATCTTATTTATGCTATTTTTATTTATTTTAAGAAAAACGAATTACAAAGGTCATTAAAAAGGTCATTAAAAATTGCATCATAGTACTAGTTACAGTATACAGTACATTCCATAAATACATCATACTACTTTAGGCTTAGAAAAGTCAAACCAATACATGATGTAAAATAATCAAAACTAGGCGAAATTCGGGCAGGCAGTGCATGCTGCTACAGTGGTAGGCCTACCTTGTCTAGGCTAAGGGCAAGGCTGGGCAGCCTATACCAGGTGGGGCCTACCCTACTTATGGTTAACTGCGGTCTAAATGCACTGTAAATCAAATCAGCTAGTCCGAGTATAAATGTATGGTAACATCAACCTTTTATCCTTTTAAGAATAAATCACTGTTCGGATATTCAATAAGCATCTGTATTAATTATTTGTTTTTCACTGTCAAAAAAAAAAAAAAATGTAAAAAAAAAAAAAAAAAAAAAAAAACCGATTAGCAAGCTGATCTATTTTTAGTTACAGGTACCAAAACCACATGTTTGGAAGTCAGGAAGGTCGGAAAAATAGGAACAGTTTCTTTTTTTAATTTATACAGAAATACCTTGACTTTAAAATAAATAATAAGCCCAGTGCTTTTAATACAAATTAATATCAATGTTTCTCGACTAATTTGCTATAAATTATGGACAGAGGCCTAGCTATAGTTAGCAGAGAGCTGCTGTTAGGCCCAGGTAAACCACCACACTGTATGTTGAACAGTCAGCCTATAGTGACATGGAAGATTAGGTCGGTCTATCCATGGAACGATTTCCTTAGCCTATTATGAATCGATATTTATTATATTAGTTTGTCTTGTATTAACATTTAATTGATTCTTCAACGATTTCTATAAATGTTTATTGAACACTTAAATGCAAAATTAAGCCTAGATATTGGTAGGCAGGCCTAATTATAGGCTACAACTTGGCGCTTTTAAACTTGAGGGTGCTATTCTTAGGAAATTCTCATTTACAAATTTTCTCAATTACGAACTGCTTTCAGCCCAAGGTGTACGTAAATGGGAAGGTCGACTGTACAACTTTTTTTTCTAAACGGTTAATGATATACACATTTTTGAATATTTAAAAACTGGAGGGGAAGGGGCCGTAAATAGCCTTTTTTGCACTTTTCCCTTCCCCACCAGTTTTTAAATATTCAAAAATCCGTAATATCTAATTTACCGTTCTCGACTTTTTCGCCAAATATGCTTTTTGTGTCTTAGAAAAATCAGTTGTACTGTACAACATATCCAAAAATGTTTTTCCTCCAGAGCCGGACTTTAATACCATAACCATATTTTCTGCATTGTTATTTTCTAGGACTTACTAATACATGAGAAATGCACTGATCAAAAGAACTTGAACTGCTACTTCTCACTTACCTCAACATGCCACTGTTTTCCAAGTGCAGTTACAATACGTTCCTCTATAGGACGATGACAAGCACTACAAATTGGGATTCCCATCTTGTCGTGGCATGGTAAGCAATACAGCTCCGCTCGTAATTCACGTGCACTAGCCGTTAACTCCTCTCTGATTATCAATTAGAAATTAACAATGATTATTAGCAGCATTTAGAAGTGCTTTTACATTTGAATCTAACTAAGTTGGAAAGTTGTGGAAATTCTAAAGCACGGTTTCCATAAAAATCACTACACGATATCGTCAACTCCTTTGGCGATGCTAATTGGTCGGTTGAATCAGGGAGCATTTCCAATTGCATCGGGGGACAGCTACGCAGTGCAAGAATTGCAGTTAAAACGCTGCAGCGTCTGTGTATTGATTCTATGGAAAACAAGCTTAAGGTACTAAAGAAAAAGGCCCGGTAGCAACAGGCCTTGGTTTGTAATGAGTCAAAACAAGCCTTAGGTAAAAAGGAATTATGCATAAATAACATTTATATAGCGCAGCAACATAAATATTGCAGGACAGCAAAGTTATTGTGTGGTAATAGGTTAAAACCAATGTATGTGCAGTCTCCCCACAAACCCTATGTCAATACTCCTAGATAGGCCATGTGCCAAATTATTAATCACCAGTAATTAAATAGTGACATAAGACACTAATAAACTGAAAATTCTAAAAGGTGTTAAATACCTCAAAGTGTTCTAT